GGATGTGTGGGGTTATCCCTCATTCTTGTGAGACATCAGGTTCACAATTTCGAGTTATCAAAATACTGGAATTCTTATCTGATGCTATCGGCAGCCTATGCTATTACACTTACAAGACTGAATATATGACCATCGTTTTGATTGCATCCCTGTGGGCATTTAACTGACATTGTCCATGCCGTGAACAAGTTTGTGGGATAAAATAAGGCAGTTCATGTTTTGCAGTTCATGTTTTATCTATATAACCTAAAAGGTAACAACTGACTTTCAAACAATTTTAAACGCATTTAAACGGTTTTTATATAGCTGAATTCGTTTTGGGAGCAAAATTAATAGGCCTGGTTTTTCGCTATTTGGTCTCGGTTGATCTGTACAAAGCTGTGTAGACGCATTAGCTTATTATTACCCGCATGAATCTACTTTCGAAAAATTTTTGTTTTAATAATATCATTGAGTTGGATAATGTCTGCACTACATGTGACAATGATTTGTAATATTTAACCACTAGCAATCAACTTCCAGTCCTCGTATGTCCTCGCAACGATCTGGACGTGGCCAACTCCACCTCTAAACTGAATTATATCAAAAGGGACCGTATTGGGAATTGAGTTCTTGGCCTCTTTCCAAAAATAAAACCCTTATTTTGCTCACTTTTCCACATATTTTTTTTTGAACCTTTCCAATCATTTATATAATCTTGGAATAACCCATATTTTTTGCGTTGTCAACACAATTCTGCCTTAGTCCCAAATTGCAATTGTACTTGCGTTTGTGAGTGTTGTCACCGCATCACTCAGCCGTTCTTTGGTCCTCCTCCTTGTTCTTCTTCTGTTGGCTTCCCTGTGTTCACAACTTTAAAATGGCCACAGTTCCCGATTTACCAGTTTTGGACATTGTTATGGGTGGGGTCGACCATCCAGAAACTAAACAATCATTTGGTGCTCAGGATTATGTTCCCCAGAAAAAGGGCATTGCCAAACTTGGCAACAACATACGAACTGCAGTAGTTAAATACGCTCGGTTTGTCGGTCCCGGGTTGATGGTTTCAGTCGCATACATGGATCCTGGAAATTACGCGACTGCTACTTCAGCTGGAGCTTCCAATCGGTATGCACTGCTGTTTGTGGTTTTTATTTCTAACGCGGTGGCAGTTTTCCTTCAAAGCTTGTGCATTAAACTAGGCACCGTTACCGGAAAGGACCTCGCAAGGAGCTGCAGAGAAATCTGTCCGCGATGGCTGAATTTGGTGCTTTACTTGTTTGCAGAGTGTGCCATTGTGGCCACGGATGTGGCTGAGGTGATTGGTTCAGCTATAGCATTGAACATATTGTTCAGGGTGCCGCTTCCGGCCGGAGTTGCGATCTCAGTGGTTGATGTGTTCTTGGTCTTGATGGCTTACAGGCCTGGCTCTTCACTACGATTTGTGCGGTATTTCGAGTATGGAGTTGCAGTTCTGGTGTTGGCAGTTGTGATTTGCTTCTGCGTGGAGCTGGGATACTTGCCTCAGGAAACTTCTGCTAAGCAGATCTTCCGGGGATTTGCTCCTTCTAAAGAGATGTTCCATAACAACGGAATATACACAGCTGCTTCCATTTTGGGTGCGACAGTTATGCCACATAGTCTATTTTTAGGGTCTGGACTGGTACAACCGAGACTGCGCGAATACGACGTGGCCACAGATCACATCCAGTTGTCAGAGGATTCAGCTGAAAACGAAGAGATGTACTACAGTTATAAGCCTTCATCTGCAGCCATCGACTACTGTTTGAAGTATTCAATCATCGAATTAGCAACCGCATTGTTCACTTTTGCTCTGTTTGTGAATTGTGCTATTCTGATAGTTTCTGGGGCCACGCTTTACGGAACAACAGAGGCCGTCGACGCTGATCTCTACGATATCCATTCGCTGCTTTCCACAACAATTGCACCCGTTGTTGGTACTGTTTTCATGGTAGCACTTCTATGTTCAGGCCAATCTGCCGGGATTGTGTGCACGATTGCAGGTCAGATTGTGTGCGAGGGCCACATTCAATGGAGAGTAAAACCATGGATGCGGCGACTCATAACTAGGTCCATTGCAATCGTGCCTTGTCTGGCAATATCTGCCAGTCTTGGGAGACACGGGATGGGTATAGCTTTGAATGCAAGCCAGTTTGCCCTCTCAATTACACTGCCGTTTCTCACTGCACCGTTGATCATTTTTACATGCAATCGACGCATAATGCGGGTGGAGAGGGAAGACGGGACTTACAAAGACATGTCCAATAACTGGCTCACCACGGTTATCGCAGTTGTGGTGTGGATTTTTGTTGCGGTATTGAACGTGTATGCTTTGGTTCAAGCAAATAAGTCATAAAAGAAGTCGAGACGAAAAGGGAGAGGTTTAAGGCTGAAGACTGGCGATGAGAGCGGAATCAGCTAACTAAGGAGCCTTTTGGCACAATATATGAAGATTTTTGAGTGGAAAATCATTTACGAATAACTACTGCATACCCAAAACGAAAATAACCGAATTTTTGACTTTTGATACTAACTAGTTCTTGCTGATACAGACCTTCGATACTAGCGTTCATTATATGGACCTCAATACTGTTTTTTTGACCTCGCATTGTCCTTTTTTATGCAGAAGACCTTTTCTGCTCGCGATCAAGTGAAATGACGCCCTGTGCAATCATGCTGTTGACGGAAGAAACCATGGCCATGACAGAAGCTCTGGTAGCGTTCTCGTGGATACCAATACCCCATTGCGAAGTGCCTTCAGCGGTTGAAAGCTGGATATAGGAGGCAGCCTTGGTCTTGGAACCCTTACCAACAGAGTGCTCAGAGTAGTTGGCCACCTCGAGTTCAACATCGAAGGAGGTAGAGAGAGCCTGCAAGAAGGCAGAAATTGGACCATTACCGGTACCGGATATGCTGATTGGTTCAGAACCATGAACGGAGATCTTGGCGTTCAAAATGAGCTCATCGGAAGAAGAACCCTTCTTGAACTCGGTATCCAAAAGCTGCACGCTTGTTTGGGCGACACTGTCGATGTTGTAAGTGGAATGAAGCAACTTGCTGATCTCTTCAGACTTAAGTTCGCGGCCAAGCTTGTCGGCCTCGATCTGAACGACAGAACTGAACGAGATCTGCATCTGTCTTGGGAGATCCAGGCCAAGAGTTCTGAGAACAACCCAAGCAGCACCACCCTTACCTGATTGAGAGTTGACACGGATGACGGCTTCGTAATTGCGGCCAATATCCTTTGGATCCAGAGGCAGGTAAGGAATCATCCAGCGAGTGTCACCATTGGCCCATCTCTTTTCCTGAGCGGCAAATCCCTTCTTGATAGCATCTTGGTGAGAACCAGAAAAGGCAGACACCACCAAAGAACCTCCGTATGGAGCTCTGGCGGAAACGGGAAGTTTGTTACACTTTTCAACCACGTCAATGATCGATTCGATATCGCTGAAGTCGAGCTCGGGTGAGACACCGCTGGTGTACATGTTGAGTGCAACAGTCACGATATCGACGTTTCCAGTTCTCTCACCATTTCCAAAGAGACATCCCTCAACACGATCACCACCAGCCATCAGACCCAACTCCGCGGCAGCAACGCCGCAACCACGGTCGTTATGAGGATGAAGAGAAATACAAACCTTTTCACGTTCGGACACATTTCTGGAGAAGTACTCGATTTGGTCGGCATACACGTTAGGCGAACTGACCTCAATGGTGGCAGGCAAGTTGAAAATTAATGGATTCTCGGCAGTTGGCTCCCAGGCAGCCTTGACGGCCTCACAAATCTCCAAAGCGAACTCGGATGGAGTCGACGAGAAACATTCAGGCGAAAACTCGTAGGTCCAGATGGTATCCTGCATGTCTGGGTGGTCCTTCGTCAGTGATCTTACCAATTTGGTAGTTTCGATGGCCTTGGCAATCGCGTCTTGCTGAGACATGTGGAAGACGACATCACGGAATAGGTCCGAAGTGGCCAAGTAGGTGTGGATAGTGGCGCGCTTGGCACCTTTCACCGAATCCACGGTTCTGCGAACCAGATGTTCTCTTGATTGGGTCAAAACCTGAATGGAAACGTCCTCTGGAGCGTGTTCAACGGCGTATCTGGTGAAGTCGAAATCGGTTTGCGAGGCAGATGGAAAAGAGACCTCGATCTCCTTGAATCCCACTTCCACAAGCTTATGGAAATATTCCTTCTTTTGCTCGATGGACATAGGGTCTGGAAGTGACTGGTTGCCGTCTCTGAGATCTGTGGACAACCAACGTGGCGCCTTCTTAATCTTGTTGTTAGGCCAGGTACGATCCTTGAGTTGTACACCCTCGAAGGCCGAATACTTGGTCGAGGGATCACGGAGCATATTGCTCCAAGCACCCTTGGTGGACTTCTGTAAAAGACAGACTGTTTGCTTGAACATGGCTGAGTTGGCACGAGGAAGAAAACTTGAAGAGCTTTGCTAGCTTAGAAATTTTCCACGACTTAAGAACTGTAAAACCCAAAGATTTCAAAGAGCTGAGCTGAGTACTTGCAACTTAGATTTAAGACCTCGAGAAGTTCAATCCTTTTTCAAAACTCACCTCGGTGAAACTCTCATCAGGCTATCAGGCCAATTTTTCATCAGTGACTCAGTAAAAATCTTATCCGGATTTCGCGGGTGCGATGAGGGGTAGAGGGCCGGTACCGGCCTTGGCCTATGGCCTATGGGGTATGACGTGAATGTCATAGGCGACTGAACGAAAATAAAAAAAGTGTATTCCACACAGGAAATATGTTCCGATAAAAAAATAGAGGAAAATAGCAATCAACAAAAGTCATCAAGGATTGTCTCATAAACCTCTCAAATATCAGCGGCTGGTTAGCATTATGTTCTCCATGTTCTTCTTTCGACCCTCTCCATGACCAGTTCCAGATTCGACGCGTTTCCCGTTAAAAAAGTCAAGTTCCGGCCCGAGAAATGAGAATTGCGCGACCAAGTCCCCGCCGGTCCGCAGAGACGTCGGGTAAATGCGGAAGTGTGTGAATCAAAAATTAAATGGGGGGAGTACTATCTATTATCTACTACAATCTTAAACGTTTTCTACAAGAAGTGTGTTCGATTAATACAGACGCGTAAAAGCGTTATTGCGTAATTCACAGTGTCTATCTTTCTGTAGTGTACATGTTCGTATCAATTTCAACAGGCGGGGGGCAGTTCGTGTCAGTGTGTCGATTTCGATATCGAGACGATTCTGCGAAATCTTCTAAACATCACTCTGAGGGTTATTGGCTCACTCGCGTTCAACACTCTGCAGCGCCTCTGCTATCCCGTCAAGTAACCCATCAACCTCTTCGAGCTCAACGCTGCAACACAGCGACACCAGCCGTCTGTACTGGTTCATCTTTTCGCTCTCGCCCGAGGCTTCCGCAAAGAGTGTCACAATCTCCTCAACCTTGCGTTTCCGTGACAACTGAAGCCTTGAAAGCTCTACAACGGATGCTATCGTTGTGGCATCGACAGTGGCTGCAACTGATTGAGGACCAGCGCCCGATTCTCCTTCACATCTCTGGACGACTTCAGCCAGGTCTTTGGCCTGAGCACGCTCTAATAGTGACCTCAAACGGGCCGACTTCTGGGCATATTGTTCACCCAATTCAACCAGTTGAGCTGCAACACTCATACCTTTATCGTGACGAGCCACTATGACTCCAATTTCCACGTTGGTGGTGCGAACATCCTCCTCCAAACCCGCCAATTGAGCTCTGCTTTCGCTCAAGTCGTCGTCTGTTTGCTGGAGTTCTGCGTCAAAAGCACTCGATAGTTCCAGCAGTTTTTCGGACAATTGCGATGATACGCGATGGTTTATCTGCATTGCCGTCTCTGAATAGCGTGGAACGTTGAAATTGAGACTCGGAAACGACTGGAGAGTCTCCACACTTTCTAGGTCTGGTCGAAGCGAAGCAGTGGATAGAAAGTCGTAGACTGTCTCTCCATGCTCGTTAGAGATATCCACTCGAGCGCCATAACCCAACATCACCTTCACGCACTTTTTTGCACCGCTGAGCACAAAAACATGCAACGCGGTATTCCCCTCGGCATCCTGCTGGTTGACGAAGTTGGAAAGCCTTTCAAGAGGCTGAATTTCAGAAACTTTCGCCAGCAATGCGTCGAGGTAGTAACGAGCAGCCGGCAATCTTGCACGCGAATCTGAAGAGGCTGCAATGTGGTGGAGCATAGTTCGACCGCGACTATCACGGTCTAATAAAGTATCTCTCAGCAAGTCCAAAAGCTTTGGGAAAGTACGCCTTGCAAATGCATTGGTGAACAACACTGCTCTCATCGCAGGGACCTGCCCTGCATGGTTGAGACAGCGGTAGTTTGCGCCGTAGTTTAACAAAGCATCTGAGATCCGCAGATCACCCATAGAGCACGCCCAGTGGAATGTTGTGTTGCCTTCTTTGTCTATGGGCTGATTAACATCAAATCCACGAGTGGGATGTAGCAGAAACTCGGGGACTTCTTGGGGCCGTTCGGGGGGAGCCAGAAAGTACTCCAATAGTCTCGAAGTATACTCCTTTCCAGGGTCATACCAACCAGCTTCCGTGGGATGCGTCGATTGTCGCAATGCAACCTGACCGGATCCATCTTGGTGCGAACGCAACGCGTTGTCAAGATCTGTATCGCTCATGAACTCGCTGGGAGAAGACGAAAGCTCCAAATGGCTGTTCGGTTCGTCAGCATCGTAATCATTGTATAAAGGTCGGGGCCTACTGTGCTGTTGGATCGAGCGGTATTGCTCGTGCCTATTTGTAGCTACAGCATTTCTTGCAGCCGGTTCGTCAACTGTGGAGTTTTCGCGTGATTTGGGAGGACGGCCGCGCTTGCGTGGAATCGACGCCGAAAGAGCATTGGTGGGTGATTCTGCTCCAGGTCTCACCATTCGACGCAAAGCGGGCTTCTCGGGCTTTTCCAAACGTTCAGGCTTTTTTGGCTTTGTAGCCGAACTTGCGTGGTGATGTTTTGGAGCCGGTGGAGGTGGTGGATCACCAGCATTAGGCGCAAAGTCAAAGATGGCACTGAGCTCACCATCAACACCAAACTGAACAGCAATCTCGCGAGCTCGCTCTAAAGGTACCCACGTACCCTGGTACTTACCATAACCACCCTGGATCTTTTCGTGGGTACCTGTTTGGACGTCACGTTCGAGGATTCTGGTTCGTTTCGCTTTCGGAAAGTCTGCAACTTTTAGTATGTGCGTTGCGTTGATCCAACCATCCTGCTGACGGCGCATCACTGACGTTTTGGGGGTGATGAACTCGAAAACGGGCACACCCGAGTAGGTGGCCGAGTATACTTGGTCGGACATAGCGGTGGGATGAAGTTCAGCAAACCACACAAGGTTCTAGGCGTTCAAGTGCTCTATCTGCTTAATTCTAGAGAGAAAACCAGCAAAACCAGAAAATGGAACAGGGAAATACTCGTATAGCCACTTGTAGATGTTCTGGTTGTCACTGCTGTAGCAGTTAATATAGGTGTAAAAAAAGATCCCCGACAATTGTTGTCACGAAAGTTTCGTTGCCTTAATAATGTCACGGTTGCGAGCCTTTTACCGGTTTCTTTATAATTCACCGGCTGGGAGGCGTCAATGCTGATGTTGTGACAGCGCTTTCCTTGCGAAGAGAGATACTCGTTGTATCTTAGAGCTCAACAGTCACCCAAACCAACTGTAACCTAAACGCAACCAGTCTAATCGCTCAATTAACAAGCGAATCCACAGTTGACCGCTTTGGTATCTCACAAGCGGTTTATGCGTTTGCGTGGTTGACAGTTACGTACAACACAGTAATCTCTCCGTCAATTGCTTAGCGAAATGCAAACAAACTGGTGAAGAGCAATACGTGGAGAATCGCACTCTTTCTGTGACTCGAGTGGTCTTTTTGATTGTGCTAGGGTCAGCTTCGTCTTCTTGAAACAGGCCTGTTTGTCTTGTCTCCTCTGGTCTTCTCTCTTGTTCTTTCCAACCGTTCCACACAGACAGGGGAGGGTAGGGTAAGTAATACAAAATTGGTGAATGAACTACTGTGCGGCTTACGGCTTGAGGCATGAGCACAGGATCAAGGAGTATGGTTTGAAGGTGGAACGAAGAATACTCATTGTTTGAATGACCTGGAAACGGCTCCTGAGTATTTTTCGGGAAAGAAGAGAGCGCTGAGAGTCAAAAAGCGCGGAAGGTTTGGCGTCTAAAGACTTTCCTCATCAGTTTCTCGGGATTACTGTGTAGCGCATAAGACATGCAAGAAAACTCAATTCTATTATGTTTTTGATTGAGTATTACCAAAAATGCCTATTGTTATTTTTTGTTTTTCTTCGTTTATTTGTCTTCGTGAGGAACACCGACAGTATCTGTTAGAAAAATCACGACATTTACAGAAATTGACGCTCTGGCGCCCCGAAGACCAAACGACGTCCAGACTACATTATTCCCCACACACAGAGAGAGAGGCACAGGGAGAGAGCGCCGAACACGCCACGTTTGTTCAAACCCGTGCAATGCTTTTGTATACGACACCCGCTATCCGGTTGTCTCGTATCTCATATGTTTTCCTTTTTTTAGACCAGATTTAACCGCCTAACGCTGCCAAGTGTGACTCAAATTTGCGTGTACCGCCAAAGTCACGACGCGATGCAGTGTTTACATCTGCGTGCCTGTAGCCTTGTTTGACACAGCAATTAACATGTTGACCAGGTCTCAGCACTAGCATTCGTTTAACATAAGCCAAATACCATGGAAGTATCGAAGCCCAAAGCCTGGTTCAGGTCTTTTAGCAACAATAACTTGCACGGATATTTGAAACCCGATTGCCGAGTCTATGTGGATCAACACCAAGCATCTGTGTACAACGCTGGAACGACCCAGGACTCACTCACATACCCTATTTTGACAGATCTTCGAAGCTGTCAGACTGTGGATGTTAACTTGACTCTTGCTGGCTCAACTCTGCAGTGTTCTGTGCCTGTTATTGTGGAAAGATGCTGTCGTCATATTGCTGCTAGCGAAAAGCCGGATGGGCTGTTCAGAGTGAACGGCTCTGTGAAGACAGTACGTGCCACAGAACAGATTCTGGCAGCAGATGTGGCATATTCCTTTGATGGGCTCAATTCTTACGACATCTCGATGTTGTTGAAACGATATCTATCTTTTGCTGACCCGCTTGTACCAAGAGCAATCAGCGAAACCCTCAAAAACATTGCTGAGAACGGCTCTGGGAACATTGAATTGTACGCAGCCACACTGGCTCAGATTCCAACTCGCAAAGTCCACACCTTGTTGTACGTTCTTCACTTCTTGCACGCGCTGGCGCTCCCTGAGGTGGTGCTCCAAACACGGATGACGCCCCACAATCTGGCCAAAATCTTTCAGTTATCGCTGTTTAGATTCGAAATTACAGGAAATATGAGTGCGGAAGACCTTATGGGCTCGTGCCGCGTGTTTGAGGAAACTCTGCAGTGCTGGATCGAAGATTTTGAGTCTTTGTTCACCGCAGTTTGTGCGAGGCTGCGCGAGGTCCCGGAAGTTAAGCTTCCAGTACACTACGAAAGTCGAGCAAGATCCCTTGAGTCGTTACATGTTACTAAACGTAAGAATAGGCGACTGTCTTTGTTTTTGGATCGTTCCGTGTCGGCGTCGGCTTCAATTCTTGAAGAGCCCGTGCCGCTACTGCCCGAACGTCCACAACAAAGGGCTGTTTCTGATCCGGTTCCACGTGATAAGAAGGACTCCAAAGTTAAGCTTGGCCGCAGGCTCTCGGTTCGTTTCGGACTGTCGCGTATGGCTGCGTAGGACGAATGTGTTAAAAACACCTAATATGACTAATACCATGAACATAATTGACTGATAGTGCAGGTTGTAGAACTGTAATTCCCATAATTCTTGAAAACATTAAATTTGAGGTAAACGGTCTGGCGTGTTGAAAGATTGGAGACATATGTTTCAGCCGCACCACCTCACTACGGGTGAACAATTTCATATGGCGCGTACTCACCGGTTGTTGTGCGTAGGTTTGCCATTTGGTAGCCATTCCCATATGGAGTTACCTAAGTGGACCCTTTTCTGTTGATCCATAGCTATTTATCTCCGTTTTCACCTGACTGGTAGCTATTGAAAAGCCATAAACGTCAAAACTTCGTGTCCTGCACCGGCAGATAGTATGCACACGACCGCAACCGTTGCTTTGACTAATCACCAAAAGAATCACCAGAGATCGAGAAAAAAGTTATTACTGAGTGTTTTACGGAACTTAATGCTACCATATTTTCCAGTCTTCCTTTGTTGAGCGAGTAGTGATAGTCTAAAGAAACACGTGCAAGTCATCACATGTCAACTGAAATCCCGAAATCCCGGACCATGAGTCTTAGTCAGGACTTGCACGGCTTTGAGTCAACCTACGAGTTTCACGGACAGCTCCTAAGCTGAATACATCAGATCTACAAATCTCGGTTTGATTCATCTTCCCCTTTGACTCTTCTGCAAATATTGCCCATCGTTCGCATTTCAAAAGCACGTGAGAATCAGGGGTCGTGTTACTCCCAGTATCTGCCCGCTTTTGCTTATGTACGCAGACCTGCTGGGGTCATCTTCCTCCTTCGTCTTACAAAGTTCCGTGCCCACCTCTCTTCGCTACATTTCAAGCCGTGCTATCCTAGTTCAAATCGAAAAAAACCCTAATCAGCCTGTGTTTGCTTCTTTGCTGAATACAACGGTACCAAATTTGGGTCAGTCCGTGTGTTTTTTGCTAACCCATAGCCAAATCAAATTGTGAGATCTTGCTCGCTACCCCCACTTCGTTTAGTACCCCGATCTTTTACACCTACATGCCTGCAAAATGATCTCAAGGCGCCAGACGAGGCAGTCCTCGATCATGGCATTTGCCGTGGGTCTGCTGACAGCGGTTGGTGGTTTTTTATATGGCTATGATACCGGAATCATCAACGGCATGCTTGAAATGGATTATGTCAAGCGAAATTTTGCGCCGAACGGTAAGAACTTCACGGCGCCAGACACCGCCATCATTACAGCAGTTCTGTCTATTGGGACATTCGTCGGTGCGTTGTTTGCACCTGTTTTATCGGACACTATTGGCCGTCGGCTGACCATAGTGTATTCTGCCGGCATCGTCTTCTCGTTGGGAACCATTCTCCAGCTTATTCTCACCAATATGGCGTTGCTATGTGTTGGTCGTTTCGTCAGCGGACTGGGAGTTGGCATTATCAGTGCGGTTATTCCGCTTTACCAGGCTGAGTCGTCTCCCAAAGGTGTTCGTGGTGCCATTATCTCGCTCTACCAATGCGCAATCACACTGGGGCTTTTGGTTTCCAGTGCCGTTGTCCAAGGAACACATAAGATTGACGATTCGCGTTGTTTCCGCATCCCCATAAGTCTCCAGCTCATATGGTCAGCTGTGCTGTCCACTGGAGTGTTCTTTTTGCCCGAGTCGCCGCGCTTTTTCGTGAAGAAAGACCGTTTGGACGATGCCATTGTGGCACTGTCGCGGTTCCGCAAACTCCCTGTCACGGATGAATCATTGATCGAAGAACTGATCGAAATCAAGGCTTCTCACGATTATGAGATGAGCTTTGGAAAGCCGTCCATATTTGATTGCTTCCGGAGTTCACCCTCGCGGTGTCGCCAAGGTTACAGAATGTTCACCGGAATGGCGCTACAGGCTCTTCAGCAGTGTACGGGTATCAACTTCATTTTCTACTATGGTGTGAACTTCTTTGTCCATGCCAGCGTGCAGAACTCGTACCTAATCTCGTTTATCACCTACGCCGTCAACGTCACTTTCACAATACCAGGAATCATTTTTGTGGAGGTTATCGGTCGAAGAAAACTTATAATCTTTGGTGCTGCTGGAATGACAGTTTCCAACTTCATCATCGCAATTGTTGGCTGTACGACGGATTCTGTGATCGCCAATAAGGTGATGATCGCGTTTGTATGTCTATTCATTGCATTTTTTGCCTCCAGTTGGGGTCCTGTCGTTTGGGTAATCGTTGGAGAGTCTTACTCGCTTTCGGTCCGTCAAAAGGCAGTGTCTCTGACTGCTGCAACAAACTGGATTGTCAACTTTGTGTTTGCCTACTCCACTCCATACTTGGTTGATGCTGGAAAGCACACTGCCGCACTAGGCACCAAGATCTTCTTTCTCTGGGGCGCATGCTGCACATTAGCTTGTGTTTTCTCGTACTTATTCGTATACGAGACGAAAGGCCTGATGCTCGAAGAGATCGACGAGATGTATCGCGTTTGCCGTAGTGCGGGCAAATCTGCTGGTTTCAAATCCACTCTTCATGAACGGTATGTGCTAAATAACCAGGAAGAACAGAGGACAACTGTTAGCAGTTCGACAAACGACAAGCGTTTGGAGTCGAGCAGTTCGACCAACGATAAACGTTTGGAGCTGAGCCGCACAGTAACAACAGGACTCTACGAACGGTCTCATCATGGAGGCAATTTCCAGCTTAATGTCGTGACTGGCACCCCGCCTTCGATTGATTCGAACTCCGACGATGATGAGCTAATGGACGTCGTGGATGGCCACGGCGTTAATGCTTATAATTATACGAATGAGCAGGACTTGATGGAGTTTATCCAGGGTTTGCATTTGGATAACAGGTTTCAATTTGAGAGATCTGGAGACTCCGAAGGACCTGAGAGGCCCGAATGATCCAAAATAAGAGTCCAAAGGGCCTACCTATAACGTCAATTTCCGAAAATGTCGCTCAAAAATGTCAGAAACTGACGTCTCTGGGCTGGAATTTCACGAACTACTTACTCTCAACTCCCTGGTTTCACCCATAGTTTCCACAATCACTCAACTTTCACAGCAAACCGCGTACCCCTCGCCCGTCAATATACCGTTTTTTACTTTCGTTTTTGTCTCATTTTGGGTCTCTGTGAGCCTATCTCCGTATTCTAAACTACCTGCTATCAATCCCCGAGCCATGACAAAGTTGCGTGCCCTTCACTTTGTTCCCCGCACGACACCTCACATTTCGCGAAGAAGGCCACGGATTCAACTTGGCAACTTAACAAGACTATCTTCCCTCAGTCCAATTCTGCGGAGGAAAATCACTGGAAAATACATTCCGGATCCAAGGTGAGGCTCTGGTTGTGACTTTTTTTGTGTTTTTTCGTCCTGGGATTTGAGACATGGTTGAGTCTTCACCCGTGGTTTCCCCCGTCGTTTCCCCCGTCGTGAACGGTGCGGCCGCGTACGACTGGAAAGGCTCCGCTGGAGTTTTAGAAAGATATGGATCGATTCTCAAAATGGCAATTGCACCACGGAACTCGAAATTGGCGGAGGATCCCACCTACTGGCAGATCTTCTCATTTTACGTGTGCCACTCGGTGCTTGTTGTACTGTATCTGCTGCTTTTCTGCTACAGACTATACAACTTTTCTGCCAACAAGCTGAAATTGAGGTTCCTGAATCTCACATATAACCCTTCGCGTTCTCCGAGTCTAATTCGCAACGATGTCGGCAAACTGGCCAAGATTCCGCGCCAAATTGCCGCAATTCTCAACTGCAGAGCTGAGGAAGAGGAGAACGGAGGTGTTGACGGATTGCTCAATGACAGCTCCGAGCTGGCAGCATGGTGCGTTTCTAGTGGTATTCCAAATCTTGCAATATATGAAAGAACTGGGACCATGAAACACCATATCCCCGAATTGCGTCGGGCCGTTTTCCGCAAATTAACCGCGTATTTCGGGACAGGAAACGTTCCTTCATACTCAATTCGTGTTCCCCATTTGAATCTGACCTTCTACGGTGCTTCTGATGAATACGAGAAGTCAAATTCCAAACCCGCGATCGAAATTTCACTGCTGAGTCTCGAAGACGGGCGTAACACCATTGTGGAAATGACCCGTGTTATGGCCGAGCTAGCCAAAACTGGAGAGCTGGACGAGAAGAAAGTGACTTTGAAGTTCATAGATGATGAACTGAAGCAGCTCGTTGGCGCTGAGCCCGATCTAATCGTCATGTTTCAGCCGTATATCGATCTCCAAGGCTTTCCACCATGGCATATTCGTCTCAGCGAAATGTACTGGGAGCCTGACAACGATGATGTCACTTATGCCGTTTATCTGCGTTCCCTCCAGAAGTTTTCCACTTGCAAAGTCAATGTTGGCAAGTGAGGGAGTCTCCTAAACCTTACCATACAGGTTCTTCCGCACCCAATTCCGCTACCAATTTGCATATCTATATATAACTGGCTCCTGTGGCTATATTACGGAAACGTTTGTTCCGATCTAATTTACCATTTTGCATTCTTGAACGCCTCACTGTAGTCATAAAGTGGTCTTTTGGAACGCGTTAGTGGGCACGACCATCTGCGGATCTACTGCGCCACTTGGATCTCCGAGGAGGGTAGGTGTTTAAATCAAAGCTGTTGACATACGGTGCCATTTGAACTCATGAACTGACTTAAAACATAGACAAAAGTGTTGGAATTGTGAGTTTATCATTTTCTTTATTTTGTCACCTTGATATTCTTTTGCTTCAGCCGGGTCCGCGCAGTTTTTGAACACCTCGCCACATGAAATTCCAAATGGGAAATTTGTGGCGGTGCTCAAAAAGGAGTCGATCCGACAAGAAAAAGTCGCCAGCTAATCGTCTTCCCGCAACCCTCCCCTTGTTTCCTTTAACGCTCTTCTCTGTTACCACTTTCGAACAAGGGAACTGAATATCAAAAAGGACATTCTCGAATTGGAATAGTAAGTGTGCGAATTATCTGGTGTTACAGATTGGATTGATGGATCGATATAATTGCGGTCGAGGCATTTAATTGCGAAGGCTTTGCTTGAAGGCGTTGATGCGAGACAAGACGGTTTTGATCATTTCAAATCGTCATGATACTCACGGGCTCCCTCGGACTCGGTGCCAAAGTGATTGCATTGGATTGAATGTTCTTGTTGGGACTTGTCCTACTTTGGTGATTGATGCTGTGTCAAATCAGTCTCATGATGTGTTCCAACAGGGGCTATGCCGTGACCATTTGGAAATAAAAGGCCATTTTTCACGCGAATCAGGTGAAATGTTGCCTGTTTCGTGTTTCCCCAAATGGATTTGTTCTAATAGCAACGTTTGTCTCGAGAGTTAGCTATTTGTTCCCTCTGTTTCCTAAATGACACGCGTCGATCCTTTCAAAGTGTCGCTGTTTGTGATCTAAACTTCACGATCCATCAAGATGTGACTTTCACCAGTGATTTATCCACATCTAACTCAATCGTTCAATTACTAACTTCAGCAGATGGGTTTGAGTATTTCAAAGTTGTTGCAAGGCCTTTTTGGCCGCAAAGAGATGCGTATCTTGATGGTTGGTTTGGATGCCGCTGGTAAGACTACCATCCTGTACAAGCTCAAGCTGGGTGAGATTGTCACCACCATCCCAACGATCGGTTTCAACGTGGAGACCGTTGACTACAAGAACATCTCGTTCACCGTCTGGGATGTCGGTGGACAAGACAAGATCAGACCGCTGTGGAGACACTACTTCCAGAACACCCAGGGTATCATCTTTGTCGTTGACTCTAACGATAGGGACCGTATCTCTGAGGCCAGGGAAGAGCTGCAGAGAATGCTCAACGAGGACGAACTCAGAGACGCGTTGCTATTGGTGTTCGCCAACAAGCAGGATCTGCCAAATGCCATGAATGCAGCTGAGATCACAGAGAAGCTTGGTCTGCAATCAATCAGACCTCGTCCTTGGTACATCCAAGCCACCTGCGCCACGTCTGGTGATGGTTTGTACGAGGGTCTTGAATGGTTGGCCACCAGCCTGAAGAAGAACAAGGGTACTTAGAGGACCCATACAAAAATGACTACATTTATCTTTTGGCGAGGTGTTGGTATGAAAGCATCCGATGTTGGAACTATTCTTTTATATTTTGAAGAGTTTTTTGGCCTGGTCCTTCGATAGGACCCAGCCCAAGGAGATTATAGAAGGGCATGGATCTCATCGTCATTGCCATCGGAAGAAGCCTCGAAGCTAATCTCAATTATTCTCCCAATTCGGATATACATAGCGTCTGATTTGCTAATCTGTTTCATTATACATTTCGTGTGTTGTAGGTAGTTGAGAACAATGACGAAGTTCCACTCTGAGTTGTACTTGAACATCTGTGAGTTATACTATGTGTGTTGCAATTTGAAGTAAGTTCTGGTTCTGTCTTGATAACCATTAGCTATAGATTTTAATTGTTCTCTGGTGTACAGCCGTTTGCAGTGAAATTTGAAGCTACAAAAAAGATACTGTAAGTTCCAATCAGGTCCCACATTTGCTTGAAGTGCTTCACATCATCTTTGAAGATTTATTCAAGCTGCTTGTATACTACATTTGTACTCCAAACTGCAGATTTTGTTATAGTCCACATATGCTCTTCGGAGCATACAAAACCGAATCTGATATGATTCATCAACAGACCCCTTATCTCGTTATCGCCTTGATAAAAGCTGCAGCGCTTGGACCTATCACGTGCAGCATTTCTGCCATCAAACCCCGTGCCATGTACGCCGCGCATACTCAGGGCAAGTTGCCCTTAATGTGCTCACGTGATACTCCCAGACGCAGATTTGTCCGGTGCACACACCCCCTCCGGCTTGCCAGTTTTTTCACCAGCTGAAGTCAACTAGTTCGTCTGAACAGATATTTGTGTTCTCCATCCCCCCGATCAAAATACATATATCTTTAAAATGGTATGTCTAGAACAGTGTTGATTAGTTCGCTTTTTTGAACCTACACAGATTCCATTTATGTCCTGAGTCCGTTGCTAGTTGAAGTTGGTCAAGCAGAAACTTTGTTGGAACATCCATCATGAAACCGGTGTCCACTATACCCGTCACCAACTACCGGTAAACTCACTGAAACCCGTCTGATGATGTCTCAGAGACCTCATAATCATCATCAAAAGATTCTATCTGGAACTGTGCCGGGTCCAACAACGAACAAAATTTTACCAAGCTCCAATACTAACGCATTACAGGCCGGTGTCAAAGCTTACGAACTCCGTACAAAGTCCAAGGAGCAACTCGAGGAGCAGCTCGTTGACCTCAAGAAGGAATTGGCTTCCTTGAAGGTCCAAAAGTTGCAGAGACCATCTTTGCCAAAGATCCACACTGTCAGAAAGAACATTGCTAGAGTCTTGACCGTCATCAACCTACAACAGCGTGAGGCCGTCAGAGCCTTCTACGCCGGCAAGAAGTACCTGCCAAAGGACTTGAGAGCCAAGAAGACTCGTGCTTTGAGAAGAAAGCTCACCAAGTTCGAGAGAAACCAAATCACTGACAAGCAAAGAAAGGCCAACATTGCCTACCCTGCTAAGAAGTTCGCCATCAAGGCCTAAGTCTGGGAGTATGTTAGAAAGGTGAAAAAATATTAATTCTTTTGAAATATATTGTCGTAGAGGTCGTAGAAACCACCCAGATACGTCAGTGGTGACTCTCGAGAGCCAAGACTGTACTAAATCTACTTTTCATGGCTATATCTGTAGTCTCTCTTTTAAGGCCCCATTCGGAGTGTCATTTAATAACTATCAGAAAGCTTCAGTTCACATTCAAGGCTTCATCAAAAGCCATATAAGTGGAAATTAATGATTCACTTCAAAGCTCCATTCCATTGCAATCTCAACCTTATGCGTATTCTCTTTTCTTCAAAATCCACTTGTTTTCCCCCAGCTTCATCTCATAACTCCATCTTGACATCCCCATCACCATCTTTTTCACTCAGCTTGGCAGCGCGTCTCTCACGCTTGAACTCAAAGATCTTTTGCTTCATCTCAACATCATCCACAACGTCCTCCAGTTTGAGAGGAAGACGGTTGAACGGATCTGTAGGGTCACTCAAAAGATGTGCCTTGATAGTGGATCTGTCTATCGTAACGTGGGATCCCGGTAGAATGACCGGGTCGGTCATAAGCGTGTACATCAGTGGATCTAGGAAATCGTCTGGGATCTCTCCCAGCTCCTGCTCGTCTTGCTCGTCTTGCACGAGAGCGTTATGGGCATCTCCCGAGAATTTGATAAGAGAATCCAGGAAAGCTGGCGAAGACGAACTTTGGTACCGTGACAAAATCGACACCGCCTTCTTGAAATATTGCACATCGAAGGATCTCGCGTCCCGGGCAACAGCCAGAACGAATCGTTCCTGGCCAGACAAATTGATATAGATCGAACACAACCTGTATAACAAATCGCGAGGCTTGAAGTGGTACTGTTCAGGGTTCTTCACCTTCAACTCACGGCACTTAGGGCCCACCAATGCTGCCAGATTGTAGTCCAGCATTCCTGCCAAACGGTCAACGACCTCTTCAATCACAAAAGACTCGGGCGTCTCTGCTGTCATCAAAGCAAATAGCTCTATCGTCTTATTGGACAATTGCATGTATGACTTGGTCTGATCTTCGGCTGTCGTGAGGTTTGTGGCTAGCTCTTCGTCTGTATCTTCGAGTGTGGGCTGCTCTCCTCTAGCACGGGCCTCAATCTCACGCTGAACTGTTCCCACAGTAGTAAGCTTGCTGAGAGACTCATCAAGAAGATACCTAGTATCATTGAGCATTCTGGCCACGAAACGGACAAAGAAGTCGACATTCTTTGTGGTTTTCTTGAGGCCCTCGCGCTGCTGTGGAAACGTCCACAACTGTTCCAAAATTACGGAAATGTGATATCTTGAGTTGAACTTGTCGTAGAACTGAGACGAGGCACCCGTTCTCTCCACCATCACGTAGAAATCCAACAGAGACATAATCAAGTTCTGCGAAACTAGCGCGTCTCCGGTAAATATATCCATCATGAATCCGGGTCTCTTATCCTGAGTCTGCAAGGCTCCAAAAAAGAGCACCTCAGTCAGTCTAGCCTTCAAGTGTGGGTTGTGCATCAGCTCTGGACATCTCAAGAGAACAACCGTAAACTGTACAAACGTGTCGAGTCTCTTGTTGTACACCAGAGGCTGGTTGTTGTAACGTGATATGAAATGGCAATAGTTCACGATACCCTCAACTAAGAACTCCGGATAGTACTTGAACGGCTCGGGAGCAAGAGTTCGCAAATACTCGTGATCGTCCATCTTCCCCACACTATCGTCGAGATTGACAAAAGGAATCTTCAACGGGGATTTTGGGTACAAGTGACCCGGGTCAATCAGCCGCATTAAAAACGCACATGCACCGGCCACAGCATCAAACACTTCGAGTTGCAGATCACGGTTGGAAAATACCATGTCTATGGCATTCTTCTCGGCTCGCATGTGTTCCTGCTTCTTCTTAAGAGGGTCGAGACGAACACGCATCATCTGTTCGACCATTGGATTCGCCGACTTCGATATGGCATTTTCCATCTGCTTTAGCTGGGCATTTATCTGTTTGAGCGCAGACTTAATCCTGTTCTCGTAGGTGATGATGCCTCCAATTCCGTAGTTGAGATAGCTGAGTGTCAGATAGAAACAGTCGGATATGAAGTTGGGAGTGGCCTCAGACTTGTTCTTCTCATAGTATTCGTGAGCCTCGGGAAGAGTAGCATAGAGTCTAGTCTCGTCCTTCAAGTCAATCAACTTGTTCTTAGCTAAATAATCCAGGTCGATCTTGTCGATCTTGAGAGAATTGGCGGACAGAAAAGGCTCCGAAAGCCTGATCAACACCATTGAGATGTTGAACATGAATGAATTGGATGCCACATCGGCTGGGTTTGCTTGTTCACCTCTTCTGAGATGGTTTTTGTTCACTATATCAGCAAGGTATCCCAGAAAAGCCTTTCTGGAAGCCTCACCACCTCTAACCAGCTTGTCAGAGATGAAAAAGAGCCTATCTATGAGAAACTTATGTTCGGCCTGCAAAGATTCGTGGATCACATTGAGTTGAATCTTTGTCTGCTCGCCCTTGTAGTTCTCGTGAGAAACTTGAGACAGTAGCGGCGAGATTCGGAAAAGGGGACCGAGCAATGTGAGTCTTTCAAAGTCGGGAGCAGCAATTCCATCAGGATGAAACCCCGGGATCAGATGGAAACTCTGGGCCACTGCCTTCTCAGAAAGCAGTAATTGGAACACAGTCACCATTTTGAGATACTCCCTGCTGTTGAGGTCCATGTTGTAGAGTTTTGCACACAATGGAGGCACTATTGCCTCCAAAAATTCATCCAAGGAGTCATTCGCGACCGCTCTGTTCACCATTTCAATCAAAAAATCAGCCAATTCGTCCACACCCTGGTGCAACGAGTCAACCGTGTTGAGCAACAGTGGCTCGTCCACAAATAACGAGGGAAGCTGGTAACAGAAAACTCCGTAGCTGGTAGTAAGTCTCACCACCTCGTCCAGCACCTCCAGTTTCTGCTTTCTTAGCGGGTCTGTGGTCTTCACTGACCTTTTTGCTTTAACGGCGCGAGACCATGCATTCTGGAGGTATTTCAGTGGTGAACTTCCGAGTCCTTGTTCGGTAAGAAGCTCAAGCAAGACGGTGTCGATGAGCTCCTTATTCAGAACCGGATCGCGGTCTTCGGATACCAGCTCTGTATAAGTTGATTCCATAAAGCGAAGCTTTGTGTTTTCCGAGTCCAGGGTCACTTCTAGAATGTTTTCTAATTGTTTAGTGGTCCATACCTCCAAAGATTCTTGAACAGGTTCACGAACAGACGCTGGGGCCACTGGCGGCGCTGGAATTGGCTCCGCTGCTGGTGGCTGATCCACTTTTTTGGGTGTTCCAGCCCTTTCAGCTAATTCAATGGGTGCTTTGGGCGTTTCAGTGACAACACGGGGTTGCGCTGGCTGGCTGACAAGCCGAGCAAGTCTCTTGGCCCGTATCTGTGGGCATTAGTAAACCGAGTCTAATTAACCAGTCATCTCCATGGACAAATCAAAACCCTTTCCGTAATCACTTACATCATCAGATGGGTTGCCCGAACTCATGATCTTCGCTTTAGTTCAACAACAGAGTGGGAACAAACACGTAGCCAGGCAGGAGTTCTTGATCCTATCAATGATTGTATTCGCCTCTGGAGGTAGTGTGCTGGCACATCGGTAACTTGGTCACGTGACTTTTCAGAAAGCGACAGAAAGTGGCAGAATGATAGGCAAAGAGAGTTAGATCGAGAGTTTTTATTATAAGTGCAGGGTTCTGGGATAATGTTAATACACAATAGTCTAGAAGAGGTTCCAGATTATGTTTTGAGTCGAAAGGTTTGACTTAGGTGGTGTACCTCATGGGGCTTATCTGATGTGGTGTGCAGGGTCCAGCTCCAAAGGAGTACCAGTTGTCTGACGATAACGTTCTATCTGCGCCAATGGCGCCGTAAACATTCAGATTCTGGATAAAGTTGTCGCATTTCAAAACCATGGATCTTAGAAAGATCCTTACTGGCTAGAGCCAAAACTGAGTCGGTGTACCCACCAATATGGAGTAGAGTGCGGCATCGACTGCACCAGGTCTCTAATTCCCATCATGGTAAAATAATGATGTGGATCCACTTCGATGGCGACGATGATCATTCATATAATAGCCTCAATTTAACACTGCAATGACCGCAATTTTGGTACAGAAATCCTAAACTCACCTGATACACCCTAGCTGAGTTTCCAAATCTCAGCTAACCACCCCACACTATTAGCCGGCTCGGTACCCTCTAGACTTCACACCCTCCTGAGTACCTGCATACTATCCAGCCTGGGTCGAGCGCCCATAAGTCCCAGTCTGAAAACCCATGATACCTCAAACTCAACGTCCCCAACCCTATTATGACTCCCGAGGATCTCACCGAAAATAGCCTAAGTCAGCCCGGCGCAGGCGCGGGGGAGGGGTCGTGGACTCGGACAAATAGTGCGCCTGAAGAGCCCAAGGCTATTTATCATGATCAAGAGTTCCCTCTTTACTCCCTGCAGAATTGCGGATCACGTCTTTCACAAGAGCTTTTTAGCCACAATTCGAGAGCTGTTGCACCAATTGCAATTGCCGATACTGCCGAGTCCCACATGACCTCCGAAGACTCCTCGGAAGAGCTGAGGCATCCGCGGCTGACGAACAATGCAAATTACAAGCCGCCGTTGAACTCAACCCCACAGCACGACCCAATCCTGTCCAAGATCTGCGAGAAATACAGGATTACGCCGATTCTTTATACCGCATTATTCAATGATAACCCCAACGATCGCCATTTCATACTCAATCTGGAGAAGGACCTTATTGAGTTCATCAAGGCCCCCGCCTCCGATTCGTGGAGACTGAACCCGCTGAACTCTTACTATCGGCTTTTGACCCATCAGATTGCCGAGTACTACACGTTAGGACACATTTTACTGAAAGACGCGTGTTCCATGGTGATATTCAAGAACAACACATCGATGGTGAACAATTCGAAGCCGATAGCCGCGGACGGCTTGAGCGTCCCGTCGATAGGCGGCGAATCCGAGCAAAACGCTGTCGAGAAACTAAACAGGCCGAAACTTGCAGATCTTCCGAACGAGCTGGGAGAGGCCTATTTTTCGAATAGTGGTCCTGCTGTGAAGAAGGAAGAGAAAAAGTTCAAGATCATGAGGAAAGGTTCCAATGTGGACCCTCTAGCTTCAAACGTCGACGCGCTTGCGGAAGCCCCATCGACGTCCTCTGCTGATCCCGGGTTATCGAAAGAAGAGCGATATCAGCGTGCCAGGGAGCGTATTTTTGAAAATGGCGACGAGGAAGAGGAGGAAGAAGAGGAAGACAGGGAAGAGCTCAATGGTAACGACAGCGGCTATCCAATGTACCCTTTCCAGCCGAGTTTTTATTACCCACCGCAGATCCCTCCACATACCGCTCCCGTGGGGCAGAGTAAGCAGTTTCAGTATCCACCGATGGTGCCGCCGCAATTTGCCTATTATCCAGCGGCATATTCCGGTTATGGCTACGCGTATGACACCCGGCCCAAGAGGAATGGTCGTCGTGGATCAGGACGGGGCGGAAAACCCTACTATTACTACCCACAGCCTCCGCAGACATATCCCAAGAACGGGTCGGGAGGTCCGCAGTACTACAACGGGTCTGGAGTTCTCCCGGGATACCCTGGATTGCCAGTGCATCCGGGGTCTCTGCCGCCGTACCAGGCCGATCTCGAGCGTGCGACCGAGGACATCGCAACGCTGGGGATCGATTCTGGGCAAAAACACCAAAGTCATTGAGTGTACATCGTCATTTACCGGAACGGGAGTGGACAGAAGGGAAGCGGGTGGGTTTAGGAGATGTTTGGACATTATCGAGTCAGAAATACTCAGAAATGCTTCCAGGTGCTCACAAAGTATTTCGAGAATGATCGTATATTCTCTTACTCTGTCTTTTCTAAATCGGCTTGAAAAACTCTCTAGAATGCTCATCTATGGTTCCACAACACATGTGTGTCTTTAGACTACCTATAAATGAACTATCAACGTTTATTAGTAACCTTAGCCTTAGGCTCCACCAGCCTTAAATGCCTCCAAGACCTCACCTGACGATCTGTAACGTCCATGGGAATGCCAAATGAACAGTCTTATCATCATCAATAAACTTTGACACCGCAGAGTACGAGCCTCTTGCCAACATCCCCTTGGGTGCCTCCACCTCGGGAAACTGTTTCTCGTGGAAAGGCTTGTTCACAGTGTTTGGAGGGAACGACCCGCAGGGCTCTTCCACCCTGTCCACGGTAATTCCGGCTTTCTTCACGGCCTGAAGATACTTCACTCCCGTGACAATCTCGTGCTGCACGCGGAACTTGATTTTGAGCGTATAGATGGAGCCCTCTTTGATCTTGATTTGGGGCTTCTTGCTCTCGATCTGGGCAGCTGAGTCGCGTGAAAAATCCACGATAATCGGGTCCTGACCTTCAACATCGACTACCATCTCCAAGATTACGAGCCTGCGCTTGTCTCCAGCGGCAACAGGCAAAAGTTCCGAGGTGTCGGTGGTGATACCAAGGGAGGCCTTCCATTTGGCCAGCGATTCGTCCTCCGCGTCCAACTTCGCGTACTCCTCGATTGTCTTCTTCTCCCCAACAACAAATCCAGGAGTATCCTCTGGGATCAAATCGTCTTCCTGTGACATATCGTTCTATAGCAATGGTTTCCTCGGTGGTAGGTGAGTTACGTTTATTCAGCATCTGTCAATGGAGGCACTGGAGAGCAGACGCGTATATCGCCAGGTCGTGCACACTCCGATCTTTAAAATCTGAAAAATCTCTTAACCACCGCCCAAATGGCCAAACTTAATGCTAAAAAAACCAAATTTTTTCCTAAAGGTCTAATAAACTGAAGAGATGTTTTTGAAACCACCCATTTGTTTTTCGTTTGGAAAACATTGGCGTGTTATCGGTTGTCCGTTTGTGTGCTGAAGCTCAGGCAGCGGCTTCGGTCATCGCCGGCGCTCCGATAGCAGCCTCAAAGGCATGCCATCTTAAATCTGGAAAATGGCAGCAGGAACAGTTGAGCATTCTTCTTAGTCCAGTAGCCTATACTTCCGGAATTTTTTCCTAGATATAACCAGATACAACCATTCATACGCATATTTCACAATCCTTCATGTCAAATTATATTCTACCACCAATATCAAGCATCACTTCACTGGACACCCAGGCCAAGGTACAGCTTCTCACGCATCTGTTTGAAAAATGCGAAACACTCACTTCTTATCTTGTTCCGGAGCTATTCAACCAGAATCACACCTCTTATGTGAATCTCATCGAGGCAGCCCGAAGTTTGCTTTTGAAACTATTGGAGGGGTCAGATTTCCAGCGGATCAACCGTATCATTGCGGCTCACCCTAGGTTGGGTCCCCAGAAGCAGCAGCTGTCATCGCACTCTTCGTCTGAACAAAAGTCTCTGGCAGCATCCTCTCCGGAGGAAACAGAGAAACTCGTTTCGTTGAATGAAGAATACGAGGCTGTGTTCCCCGGGCTGAGATACGTGGTGTTTGTAAATGGCCGGTCGAGGGCCAGTATCATGGAGAACATGAGGAAACGCATAGACCGTGGAGATGTTGGCCTTGAGAGGCGAGAGGCATTTGAAGCGATGTGCGATATTGCACTTGATCGGGCAAAAAAATTGGGTGCAAAGCTATAAAAAAAAGCGACAGCTGAAGCTGCTAAACTGGAGTTGTCGAAGGTGTCAGGCTTATAAAGCTCAGCCTTTGCCTGTCTATTCAAATAACAATGGTTTCAATTAAAAAATAAACAAATGAATGTAGAAAGTGATCAGAACAACAAAATGGAACCAACTGAACTAAAACGGACGAAACATAGATCAAGGTGTGTGGAAAGTTGCAGAATGACGGGCTGTGCCGATGATGAATGCCCTCTTTCTGTTTGTGCGGCAATCTCACTTTATCATGTTCTTTACTCATAGGAAGTAGTCTGGCGTCTTTCTTGTCACTGTGGGTTCGCCCGGTCTCACACTGGGGTCGTACTGTAAGAAGTTCCTCTCGTGAGACTCGTCAACCTCCATGATGGCTGCCTGGTTTCCGCATCTGTAGCAGTAGTTTGGAGCACTGAAGATGGTCACCACGAGATCCTGGTGTGACCACGAATAACCCTCCATCACAAGCTGGTGAGCTCTGGCCACCAGTGAAAGATCGTTGGTGTGGTTAAACTGCTCACTGATGTCTTGGCCAAAGGTGAAACCGGCACCTCTGGGCGAGATTCCCCATCCGCCTCTGTCATCCGGGTCTGACCACAGAAGGTCACACATAGGACCCTCGTGTGGCACTTCCTGGATTCTGTTCAGCTCTCTAACCTGGTCAATTGTTTCAATCATTGGGGACAGTCCACCGTGGAGACAGAAAATTTTGTTCTCCACGAGGGCGGTGATGGGAAAGTAATCAAACAGATCAGTAAATAGTTTCCATACGCTTGCAGAGCCGTATTTGCGGAAACACTCATCGTAGAATCCGTAAACCTGTGTTATCTGACGGGATTCGTGGTTTCCTCTCAGAATGGTGATTCTCTTAGGATACCTCACCTTCATGGCAACCAGATAACTCACAGTCTCGACAGAGTAGTAACCTCTGTCAACGTAGTCACCCATAAACAGATAGTTCGTGTCCGGACATGGACCTCCAATCTTGAACAGTTCCATCAAGTCGTGGAATTGACCGTGAATGTCACCACATATCGTGACAGGAACGTTCACTGGCTGGACGTTCTCCTCGTACTTGAGAACATCGATGGCCATGTTGCACAGTTTCTTCACTGACTCCTCACTCAAAGGCTTGCACTCGCTAAGCTGGGCGATCCATGCATCCAAGGTGTCGATGTTCGACCCAGGGGCCTCATTTGCCCGCGAATATTTCTGGTTCATCGAGAAATCAAACGATTCGGAAGAAGATGAGTTGTGGTCATCATCAACAAGACTGTCATCATGAGCCGTAACGGCGTCTTCCATCTGGACGTCTGTATCTATGTCCATTTTGTATGCACTCTTATGTGTTGTACTCACTGGTCGTGCTCTGTTGGTGCGATCACGAGACTGTTGTTTACCGGCTTGTTCAAAAAGCGGCAGGGTTTCTCAGCTCAAGTGGATCCGCGTTGTAATCACGAATTTTCGTCTCGGTAATTCAATCGGTAGTATAAATCAAGATTGAAACCTCCGGCGTATGTTTGAAGGTGGTGTGGAACTCGTTCGACAAGCTATGTGGCCAACTGGTGGATGAAGCGGACGTGTCTGGTAGACGTTTGTATGAGCCGACTCGAACAAATCAAATTTTCAAAATGCGCTGATTGAAACGGGCTCGTCAAGCTCCGTATATCTTCTGATCAATCCTTGTTGTATGGAACCTGAGAGATGATGGACAAAAAGGAGGATGAAAGGGTGTTCCGTCACTGGCCCGACTGCTTGGAGTTGAGTTGAATTTTAGTTACGTACACGACAGTAAAAGGCAGATCAAGTCACGTGAAGAAAGTGCCAGCTCAAAATGTGTGTAGAGTTTGGATTTAATGATTATTTTGGAGTATCAAATAAAGGGTTTGAGATTCTTGGATAGAAGTGAGTAGTTAGATAGTCTTGAACCGGTTTTTTTTGGTGATATAATCAAAATGCAGCTGGTCTACCGCAGGTCCTACGGCGATCTCAGGGAGCAGTCGGCAGCCGTGTCTAGCCAAAGATTCTACTGTGAATTCTTCCTTCAGCCCAAACAAACAACGCAATTGACTACAGAAATCCGCAAACTGGCAATCTGCTGCGTGGATACACTCTTCCAGTGCCACCTTCAACCTGAAATCCTGCCCCAGAGAATCAACCCCGCGTGAGAGTGCCCCTAACCTGTGATGTCATTGGGCGGCGCACTTCTTATTCTCTGAGCCGCACGTCAGCGTCTAATACCTAAACGTGTGTTTGGAGGAACAGAAAGCGCTTCTCAAATATTCCAGGTTCTGCAAAGATTTTCAATGAATGCAGAAGAAATAGAAGTGCTTGGGCCAGAGTCAGGCGACTTTGGAAATTGTGCCAGTCCGAGGCTGGACTCACCGGCAATCCACGTCTCTCCCTTCTCAAGTTCGGCCAACTCTTCAGCTAGACCTCGACTATTGCCAATAGTCTCGCAAAACGACCGAGTTGACCCTGTCTCATGGCCACTACGTAGCAGACATTGCACAACAGCAGAAGATGTTCATCAGTTTCGCAAAGAGAATTCGGGGACAAATGAAAGCTCTCCTAGTCCCATAGAAGAAGACCTAGGCGAACCCCATGAGCCGCCATATCACGTTGATCCAGAAACATTACTCAGAACTAAGTCTCTGCGATCAAGAATTATCCAGATTCAGGACTCGCGGATTTTTCCCCCCAGCGATTGGTTTCTGGCTGCCATGGAGGAAAGGCTTGTTAGATGGAGGCCGCCAGTACCGCAGGCCAATGTGGATGATGCTCTAAGAGGCCATCATCCCTATCAGATCAAAATTCCGACACAACTTCAAGGAATAATTAGTGATCACGGTGTGCCCTCGAGGAGTTTGAGCACGAGTGATTCGGAGGTGCTAAAGCGGCATCTTCAGAGAACAAACCGGATGCAAGAGGGTTCGAGTAGGCAGCTCGAAGCAAAGGCTACAGATGTCACACGTAAGAAACACGCTGTTTTTCGGTTGAGAAAGGCTTGATTTGAAATGCAAATTTTTTTTCATTCATATGCCTTTGTCCTGCCTTCACGTTTACTAACATTTTTGTGAAATTTTCAGAACTTGGTGAAATTGTTGAAATTTCAGAAAACGAGCCCAATCACAAAAACACCTCCAACTCTAGCACAATGTCAACCAACGAGTGGGTTCAAGGTCTGAACCAAGCAATGCCTCCTAACTCTTCTGACTCCTTCTTCGTTCCTCTAGAAAAGCAGAAGTTTTCAGAGTTGACTACTCTTCCACCATCAAGCATTTTCAGACCAAGCTTCCCTCTATCCAGAAGTGAGCTAGTTGAAGCCCAAGACAGTTCAGAACTTTCAGAACTTCATCCCATGAGACCAAGAACATACACTGCCTCTCCATTTGATCCCGAGACTGTGCTAGAGCAGTTTGGCAAGGACCAGCAGTATTCCCATGTCGAAGCGAGATCCTGGTACTGTTTCTGTTGATCTACTTCTATCAAATTCAATGGCTAGTCTTTTTTGTAGCCTACTTTTTATAAAACTAGAAATGAGAACAATCTAAGAATGTGCAGCTCCTTATTCCGCGGCCTCGGCAAATCTTTCACCAATGTTCGTTACCAACTTTTCAAATTCACGCTTCGACTCGGCTTCACCTCTGCTTGGTTCGAAGAACTTAGCCGAAGAAACTGCATGCTTGACATCCGAAGTAGCCTCTGCGAGTTTGGACCACTGGGCTCCTCCGGCGACAGCCTTTTGGGCCTCGTCGTAATAGCCCACGAAGGCTCTCATCATGTCGTAGGTCTTCCAGATAGGACAGAAGGCATCGTAGGTGGAGTAACCGTTTTGCTGCAAGAAGTCCTCCTTGATTAAGTTGGCAACATCCAGCGTGATCTTGTCTGCATCAGAAAGGGCAGACTTACCCACCAGTTGCACAACCTGTTCCAGCTCTTCGGCATTGGACAGGATCTCTCTGATTCTGTCTCTCAAGGCTGGGAATTCGGGGAACTCAGAGTCGTAGTACTTGTTCAAAACGTTGGTGTACTTCGAGTACGAGACTGATGTGTTAATGGATGGGAAATGCTTTCTCTGAGCCAGCTTCTTGTCAAGACCCCAGAACACCTGGGTGATACCCAAGGTGGAGGTGGTGACAGGATCCGAGAAATCACCACCTGCTGGTGAAACAGCAGCAACAATGGACACAGATCCGATTCTGTCTGGGGAACCTAGGGCAACAGCCTTACCAGCTCTTTCGTAGAAAGAGGCGAGCTTGGCACCCAAGTAGGCAGGGAAACCTTGATCAGCAGGCATTTCACCCAGACGACCAGAGATTTCTCTCAAGGCCTCGGCCCATCTAGAAGACGAGTCTGCAATCATGGAAACATTCTTACCCTGATCTCTGAAGTACTCTGCAAGAGTGATACCGGTGTAGATAGAGGCCTCTCTGGCGGCGACAGGCATGTTGGAGGTGTTGGCGACCAAGGTGGTACGCTTCATGATTGGCTCCTTGGTTCCAGAAATCTCGGTGAAAAGCTCTGGGAACTCCATAAGGACTTCTGCCATTTCATTTCCACGTTCTCCACAGTTGTGCACAAGAGCCAGAGAAGACAGCAAGTACTCCTTATCGGAAGAATCTGGAAGAGTGACACCGTAGTAGTCGGCCTCTGGCTTCTCCTCAAGGGTGAAGTAGAAAGGAACGGCCTCTCTGGTGAACTCCTTGAATTCAGCTCTCTTTCTATCAAGAGAACAGTTTCTGAGAACACCCAAAAGTGCTGGACCACTCAAGAAAACGCGGTAGTTCAAACGATGGTTTACACCCGATTTGTCGATATGGGCCTTCTCAACTGTGACAGAAACTCTGATACCCAGCGAACGAGCGAGTCTAACAAGACCCTCCGAAACACCACTGTAGATAGTAGTAACTGTGGCAGAGTAAGAGTCGTTGTCAGTTTTAACATACCCATCGGAGTCAATCAGACCAGCAATGAAATGTTCTCTGACAGAAATGTCATCGTTGGACAAGTGAGTTGGAACGTGTTTAGAGTAGTGGACTTCAACACTGTCACCATTGTCATGTTCAGAGACTTTTCTAACACCGAATGATTTGACAACATCCCAGAAAACATTTCCTACATTCAACTTTGGACGCAGAACACTGTCACCAGACTGTCTGATAGGACGCAACATGACAGATAGGTCACCACGTTCATCCCAAGAATGCTCCGAAACTGCAGACCCAGAAGATGAGGGTCTTGAATCCTCAGAAGCTTCGATCTCCTCAATGAGGTCCTGTTCGGTTGGGTCACCTGGAAGATCACCTTCGTAAACTAAAGCTCCATCCTCAGCAATTGCAGCCTCAGTCAATTTAGAAGCCTCAACTTCCTCAGCCTCGTTGGTCTTGTAGTAACGGTGGTGGTGTTCGGCAGTGGAAGCAACCAATCCGAATTCCTCACCGAAAGCATTGATACGCTCGGAGTACTGAGTGTCCAATGGATCAAGAGAAAACATTGAGCGAGTCATGTAACCGTCACCAACCCAGGAACCGAGGAGGTAAGCCATTTGTGGAGCCAGATCTTTGGAAAAACCGTAGCTTTCGAGAGTCTTACCCAACTTTCCAGTTTCAAGATGAACTGGGTTAATCAATTGGTAGGAGGACTTCTTGACAAAGTATCCGAGATTCTTGTAGTCTTTAGCCTCAATAGTCCAGTCAATTGGTTCGGTACTGATATCAGAGGCGTAAAGCTCAGCCTTTCTCAAGGCACCGGCTGCACCACCATGAATATCATGTTGATAAGTCCTTGTTTTCTTCTTAACAATTTCCCCGACAGCAGTAGCCACCTTTTCGAAATAAGTAACACTGGTGTACATCTTACCTCTGAGCTGGTGAGTGGTCAGGTTAACGTGTTGAGGAGTACGAAGAACCAGCTTGTGATGGTCAGAGCACACGTAGTTCATCAATCCCTCAGCATCGTCTGCCGATTGGTGTTGGGTAGTGTGACGGACTTCGTACATCGTAGCCTTTCCTCTTGGAAGAGCAATAACAGATCTTGGAGTACCGTCTTTACCCATGACTTCTTCACCAATTGCAATTCTCTCGACTGGCTTGTCGGTACCATCTGCCATCAGCACCTTGGTTCCCTTGGCAAAACATCCAACGTAGATGATAACATCAGAGTTAGAATATTTTGACAACGATTGCGAAATGACAGTTTTTCCACAGCCGAAAGCACCTGGAATACATGTAGTACCACCCTGAACAACAGGGAACAGGGCATCCAACACTCTTTGGCCTGTAAGCAACGGATAGTCCGCCGACAATTTTTCGGCGACAGGTCTAGGAACACGCACCGGCCAGGTATGCATCATGGAGTAGGAGTATGACTTGCCCTCGAACTCAACCTCCAGAATTGGAGTGTCGACAGAGTAGGAACCTGCCTCGGCAATGGATGTGATGGTACCTCTGGCTCTTGGAGGAAGGAGGATCTTGTGGTCGGAAAGTAAAGAGTTCTCAAACACGTTACCAAAGATATCTCCCGAGGTGATATGGTCACCAACACTCAGATTACCAGGCTTGAAGTCGTACTGGACGGTTCTGGATAGAGCTGGAGCATCAATACCTCTTGGGATATAGATAGACTGAGACATCTCCTTAATGGCCTTCAAAGGTCTCTGAATACCATCGTAAATGGTTTCCATCAAACCCGGTCCCAATTCGACAGAAAGAGGCTTACCAGTTCTGAGCACTGGATCACCAACAGTGACACCAGCAGTCTCTTCATAAACTTGGATAGTCGCCTTGTCACCATCAATTCTGATGACCTCACCAACCAAGGTATCGTGTCCAACCTTAACCAGCTCGTACATGGCACAACCAATCATATTTTCGGCTACGACCACCGGACCAGAGACCGAGTAGATCTGGCCATATTGCGATTCTTCAGCGTCGAGACTGAGCTTCTTCAGCTCCTTACGAGCATTCTCAAGAGCACCAGCCTAGAATTGGGTTAGTAACATATCTAATTGGCCAATTGGGTTTCAGAAGGGAGAAAATTCTGGCGCAACAGCCCAAGGAGCACTAGAACGTCTTCGTTGCATCCAGAAAGGGGCTAAGAGTACACCTGGAATTTCCGCCAGTGTAAAATACATACCATGTTTGTATCTCTGCACTATTAAGCTAGACAATCAGAGAGATGAAACGTGCAGCAGTTTTCTCGATTCAAGTCTGATTGACGTCCAAAGATTAGAAAGCTGACTGCTCTTGCTCGAGGACCCCGATCCTTCCTTAGGTGGCTGCTTTGGAGGTCATCTGTCATTCCGTGCCGGGTCGGCGATAATCGGTAAGTACACGATATTGGGGAAACCTGTCGCCGGGTCGGTAACCAGTCGACGAGAACGATTGAAAGGTGCACTGGACGGGCGAACAATTTATGTGGGTGGGGATTGCCGGAGTTAATGAAAGGGCGACATCCGTTTACCGCTACAGAATCATATTTTTTTCAAGGAATGATTGCAAGCAATGCATTCACTGTCCTAAGCGGACGCTTTTTAACGTTATTAAGGTGATAAGAACATAGACCGTTCACGTGAAACAAATGAACTCAAAAGTAGCACAACCACTTAGTAAACCAACAACCTTTTGCGGCTTCATGATAATCACAACGCATTCACCTAGCAACTGGCTCTCAAGCCTCATATATCAAACAGGAGCATCAATGCCCTTCGAAAAACCAAATTTGGAAAACGCATGTTAGGCAATGACACGTATGAGAATAGAAAGACAATTGAGCAGAAGGTGAGGAGCCATGATGCTCAGAAAACCAATCACTGGTGTTCTAGGCAGTCACACTACAGACGAGATTCGAATTGAAACCGTCCGCTTATTTTGATCTAGCTCTCACCTTCCGCCGCTTTCTCTTGAGTCTTCTGACTCTCTTCTTTCTCCATTTAGCTCTCATGATGAGTGTTTCAATAAAGTTAAGAAAAGAAGAGAAGAAAGGAGGAAGAAAGAGAGAAGAGGGGGAAGAGCGAAGAAGAGGACGTCGACGATGACTGCCATTTGCTGTCGGGTCAGCCACCCTTCTCTCTAGAAGGGCCCATCACTTCATAAAACACGTGGCTTTATCAAGGGTTACTAACCCTCGTGCGGCTTAGTCTTCTTAAGCTTGCCAACTTCCTGGTGCAAGGCAGTAAGCAACGCCGCATTGAGCTCGGGAGCACCAAATTTGGCAGCAATGGACTCAATAGTGTCCTCAGCAAGAACAACGGTTGAGGCGGAGTCCGTGGAGGTCACGGCAGGCTCAACATAGGTCTGCACATTGGCTTTGGTCAGCTCGTCCTTGGTGTTCAAGTACAGATCAGAAAGACCTTCCACCTCTATAAATTCCAAATGGACTCCGGTGGTGGAAGGCGGAAGTCCAATTAGGTAGCTGAGGTATCTTGCGCCCCTCAGGGCCGTGAAGTGACACCAAGCTCTGTATGCAACGTAAAATCCAGGCACATTGGGCACTACAGGAAGCAATGCAACCGGCAGAGTAAACGGCAAAAGCACAAGCGAATACAGTAGGTATTTCTTATGATGACTCTCGCCCAGAATTGCATTCTGCTTCAGTTGTTCCGTTAGCTTTGACTGCGTTACCATCCCCTTCGGATAGAACAGAGGGATCTTCTCCAGCTGATCCGAGGATATGGAGTGTAGATCCACAACGGAAGGTTTCACCGTGAGATCACTTGTACTTCCCAAAATGTTCACACCATCTTCATTCGATTTGAGCTCGCGAACAATCGAGTTCTGGGATGGAATCGAACGCAATGATCCCTCGTCCCACGGAATTCTGTCCAGCATCCTCTTAACAAAGCCCACAATTGCAACATTGATCTTGTTGTCCGAATCCTCCATTTTCTTCCAGGCCTTTGCTGCCCAACTTGCCGCTTTCACATCTAACGGCTCCTTGCCTGCCGGCAATGCTTTCTTGGTGTGCTTGCAGTAAACGTAGCTCTTGGTGGATGTCAATGGTATCGCCACAAGATATATGGGCAAGTCCTTAATATTGCTGTATTTTGCCACCGAAGATCCAAATCTGTGCTGTTGGTTGTTGTAGAGACATCCATGCTGGCTAAGGCCTAGCTGGTGATAGTGTATGGCAGATGGCAACCTTGCCACACGTCTGGCCGAAACAGCCACCACGCCTAACTTCGGTATGCTGGATATGTTCATCTGATCAATTGTCTAGAAAATGCAACTTTGTCTGTAAAAACTCTTGGAAAAATCGGTTGGAAGGTAGCAAAGTTTGAGATCTGGCTTCCATGCTGTTTAGTATGGTGGCCTCTCTTGCGTGTCACGCCTCCAATCTCAAGGCTGAGTCGGTGCACGCACTCCGCTATCTAATCGTTATAGTTGGTCTGTCTGGGTCCAAACGAAGACTAAAGAAGAGATTGTAAGGTATCGCGTTGAATGGGAGTTGACAGTGGTTTGTTTTTCCCGAAAGCTTCGGAATACGTGACTTTTGGACTTGAACAGGAAGCATTCAGTGAAGGTCATGGGTGGAGTGAAATTTGAGGGTGAAACAAATGGCGGACCTGCAGTCCTGGTGGTGTTCGAGGTTTCCATTATATAGCTCAGGGAAGTTTCTTATCAAACTTTACAAACCAGATTTCCGGGTCCAAAAAGGTTCGTCCAAACGAGCAGGTAGACTTTCATTAGAAGAGCATTCGTGGGATCTCTTGATGGTGCGGCTCATGCGAAAAGGAATGCCTGCTACTCATTCACAGCTTGAAGGTTCTATATCTCTGACTTGACCCTTAGACTTTCTTATATGCCTATCTTCCTCCTAGGAACTTTTGTTTCTCATGGCCGAATGTCAATCTGGCTTTTGGTAATCACTGCGAATGAGCACTCCTTATAAAGCCCTGATGTACTGCTCTGATGGCCATACCTTGCTTCCCGTATGCCTTGAGTCAATCAAGTTAAACTCTTCTCAATTACTTTTCTGTAGTAGGTCCTTTCTCCGAAAAATGGGTATTTCCATATTTCTGTTTAGGATTGAATTCAAGCCTTCAAAGATAATGCTGATGGATGACGTAAACATGCGGCGTATCTTTGGTTATCACACAGAAAAGAACGCACAATGATTCCGCCAGTTACTGTAAGAACCACAAATAAAGCAAATCTACTCCATAAAAGCTCCTCATAAAGACACTTAGACAAGCGATCAACCCAAATATTTCATCCGCAAATACCATTACCCGGATTGCCAGATCTCGTTTCATCTTCTCTCGCTTGCACCGATTACCCGCTACCAATTGGCAGAATTAGAGTCGAAGAGCCTCACGCATTGAGGCCGCTCCCATACTCAAACAAACTCTCGAAGTATCTCCATCCAACGCCTCTGTTTCATCTCTTTAGAGGTTTCTTCGCATAGATGCTTACACATTCCAGTGTGCCATCCAGTTCAGAACCGCCATCCGAGACCGCGGGAGCGACGGTATCCGCACAGCCTGGAAGCGCCCAATCAGATGGAACAAGACTGTCTGAAGCTCCACACGAGTTCGGTTCTAAAGTGATGAGCGACCATAAACCACAGTATCGACAAGTTTTACAGCCTGTACCGATGTATGTGCTGGACAGGTTGAGCAAACCGCATTTTAAGGATGGAGAGCAAGCTGAGAGCAACGAAGATCCGTTCGTGGAAAGCATGAAGGGAGACTGGAGACAATTATTAAGCACCATCAACGAGAGGCAGGCATACTCGGGAGACTTGGTGACACATGAAGACACTTTCCCGTATGAAATACCGAATTTGGAAGAGAAATGGGGTGGGGACAGACGGTTGATGCGGGCTTTAAATAGTGATGTGGAGTCGGAATACGGAGAAGAGGAAGAGAATTCCAAGCGGAAAAGAGGCTATGTGTTCACAAGAATATTTGATCTTCGTTCAAAAGCGCGATACTGGATGTCGCCAGAGAAGCGGAAAGATTGGAAGCCAGCGCTGTTCCAAATACTGTTGACGAACTCGTTTGTGCCGTTGTTGCTACGGCAGTTCACATTTGCCCTATCGGTCATTGCACTGGGTTTGGCTGGAAGAATTGAATATTCCACCCGGAACTTTGATGTTCCGCAGCAACCCAGTTCTATTATGGTGCTGTGCGTCCAATCATGTGCAATTATCTACCTGTGCTACATCTCATATGACGAGTTCACCAGTCAGCCTCTGGGACTGAGAGACCCCACCGCGAAAATCAGACTCATTCTGCTGGACCTCCTGTTTATCATATTTTCCTCTGCGAATCTGGCATTGGCGTTCAACACACTTTACGACAACAGATGGGTGTGTGAAGTAGGCACCGCAGCATCAACCGAAACCACTTCAATGTCTGTTTGCGACAGACAAAGGACTTTGGCGGCGTTTCTATTCATCATACTTTGCATGTGGGTGCTTGTTTTTACTGTGAGCATCTTCCGTGTGGTTCAAATCTTTTCGAAAAATCACGTCAGGCCCGGCAGGTTGAAGTGAGCAGAAAAAGCAAGACATTATGACGAATAATGACAAACCGAAATGGACAACACTCAACCAAAATAGAGTTGAATAAGACTATCTGATAATTGCAATTATGATTCAAAACAAATATATATTTCCGTATAAATTCATGATGTTATGTCTCAGATTGCGCATAACTCCACCAGCCCCAATATTTTGCCCCAGCCACAGCTGGCCTGCTGGCCCACTACTCTGTGGCTGGCGCCTCCCATCTGAACTCTGTCGTCATCCTTTACAGTCTTTACAGTTCCATTACGCGTATTGCTCCTGGCTTGCTGGTTTTTGAGTGTCGTTAGCATTGGGGATCGTTCCGTGTGTGTCGTTTGAATTGTAAGTTTGATAAAACACCCAAGAGGCTTGCCCAGATCACGACATCGCAACCCATGGTTAGCCGTACATCATGACCGAAAAACTACCAGATTCAGACAACATAAACGATACGTGGGCTTTTGTTGAGCCCGGGTTATCGACAATTCTCGGAGATGATCTCAGTGCAGATCTCGGCATTCGCATGTACACCAACATATACACTGCAATCTTTGACTATTGCACCACTAGATCGCGTGAGCAGAACGAAGCAGGCCGAATTGAGCTTGTGGGCGGAGAGATTTACAATCGGCTGCGGAAGTTTCTTATCCGCTACGTTCAGGAGATGAGCAAGAGCAGTAATGAGACGTTTTTGCACTTTTACGTCAGGCGGTGGAGGAGGTTCATCATCGGATCAGAGCGTTTGGCCGATGTTATGGACTATCTGAACAGGTTCTGGATCCCCAAAGAAAAGGCCGCCGGAAGAGGCGATATCTACGATGTTAACACACTGTGTCTCTTGACATGGAGAGACTATGTTTTTGATGAGCACCAGGAGGAATTGGTGAGGGAGATCTTGGATATCATCGAAGATCAGAGATTAGGCAAGGCTGGGGTCAACACCGATATCCAGGTTGCTATTAAATCTTTTGTTTCGCTTGGATTTGAGCTTTCTGACTTCAGAAAGAAGAACTTGTCGATTTACATGAGCGCATTTGAAACGCCGTTTTTGCGTGAGACGGAGAACTTTTATCGCAAGGAATCCAGGGAGTTTCTCCAGAACAACTCCGTGGTGGATTACATCACCAAGGCGGAGGCGAGGTTGTCGGAGGAAAACACTCGTATCACTGCATTACTGGATGACCACACCAAGAAGCCTCTCAATCACTGTCTCAACAACGTTTTGATTTGGTCACATTCGGAGGAGATCAACGCTCAATTACATCCGCTGCTGGACCAGGTAAGACTGGACGACGTCAAGAAATTGTATGGTTTACTTTCCAGGGTTCCTACCACCCTCGAGCCTTTGCTCAACAATTTTGAAGACTACGTCAAACAGCAGGGCCTGAAGGCCATTGTCGAACTCAAGGCCAAAATCGACGCTGCCGAGCCTGTTAAGGGCAGAAAGCCCGAGGTTGATGCTGGATCATACATCCGCACCATGGTGAGCGTCTACAATAAGTTTGCCAACGTTGTGGCCACATCGTTTGGATTCAGCGACTACTTTGTCAAGTCGCTTGATACAGCATGTTCTGCTTTCATCAACGTCAATGCCATCGCCATTCCCAACCCAAGAGTCCCATCGCGGACCTCTGACTATCTGGCCAGATACGCCGACGAAATGTTGAAGAAGAAGAATGACGCCGAGAGAAGCAGCACCATGAACATCGAAGATCTCATGACCGTGTTCAAGTTCCTGTCTGACAAGAATGCATTTGAGATCAGATACCGCAGACTGTTGGCCAAAAGACTGCTTTCGCCCACGACAAACGAGGAGGACGAAGAAGAAATTATACAGAGATTGAAGGATGTTAGTGGAGGAGAATACACCCATAAGATGACGTTGATGTTTTCAGATATCAAAAACTCGAAGGATTTGCGGGTCTGGTTCTACGAGACTGTCAAGACTGACCCCATTGCCGACCAAATTATCCCCGATTTTGAGATGAATGTTTTGGGCCAAAACTCGTGGCCATTCTCGCAGTTCAAAGAAGCGTTCATTCTGCCGGATGAGTTCCTTCCCACAGTACAGAAGTTTGAGGATCTCTACAAGGAGAAGCACAGTGGTAGAGAGCTCAAATGGCTTTGGAACCTTTGTAAAGGTGAGCTCAAGGCAAGGCTCTCGAAACCTGGAAAACCTCCTTTTATCTTCACAGTGACACTTTTCCAGATGGCTATCATCTTGAGATTCAACGAAAAAGATACATTGTCAGCGGAGGAACTGCTGGAGGCCACAGGCTTAACACCGGAGATATTCGCCATCAATGTTGCGCAGTTAATAAGAGGAAGATTGCTTATCCAATCTCCCGAGGGCCCAGAAAACATCTCGAAGCCATCCACAAAGTACACGATAGTCAAAGACTACAAGAACAAGCGAGTCAAGGTGAATTTTGCGCTCGGAGTCAAGGCCGATGTCAAACAGGAGAGCGACGACACCACCAAGGAGATCGATGAAAGTCGCAGATGGTGGCTGAAGGCATGTGTGGTGAGACTGATGAAGTTTAAGCACAAGCTCACTTACAACGAGCTGATCTCGGAGGTTATTCTCCAGTCTGCCAACAGGGTTCAGCCAGAGATCAAGGAGATCAAGCAGGTGATAGAGGGCCTGATCCAAGACGATTATCTTGGTCGTCTGGATGATGGAACTACCTTACAATATCTAGCATAACTAATTAAACCAGAAGATGAAACTTTAGCTCAAACGGAGGAAACCGAAAAATTGAAAAATATCTGATAGCCCCAATAAAATGTTATCGGGTGTGCGGCTATCAATCAAGGCAACTCTAACCGACTGATCAACGATTTCGGGGCTGCCCCCTTTCGGTCTTCAGCAGTTAGCACCTCAAGAGAGCTACGATATAACCAAAATTTGGCTGAAAAATCATCATGTCTGAACCTGGTAGGTATATTTATGCTGGTTTGTGGATTCTTGCGGTTCTTCTGAGTGTTATTTGGTGCTCTTTTTACGGCTCCAGCTACAGAGTGAATGGTGGACTCAACAAGCTTCAAAAGTTAACAGTTGCAAGTACTAACATCATCCGTTTTTTCTATAGAAGGATTCCAAAAAGTCTTGGAGGAGCCAAGAAAGGCTGTGATGCAGAACCCATACGGGCCTAATCCCTCTGACTACCTCTCCAACGTATCTAACTTCCAGTTGATTGAATCCACGCTCAGAGAAGGTGAACAGTTTGCCAACGCTTTCTTCAGCACCGAGAAGAAAATTGAAATCGCCAAGGCTTTGGATGACTTTGGTGTTGATTACATCGAACTAACGTCTCCTGTTGCTTCTGAGCAGTCCCGTAAGGACTGTGAGGCCATCTGTAAACTTGGGCTCAAGGCCAAGATCCTGACCCATATCAGATGTCACATGGACGACGCCAGAGTTGCCGTTGAGACCGGTGTTGATGGTGTGGATGTGGTGATTGGAACCTCGCAGTTCTTGAGACAGTTTTCTCACGGAAAGGACATGAACTACATCACCAACAGTGCCGTCGAGGTGATTGAGTTTGTCAAGTCCAAGGGTATCGAGATCAGATTCTCCTCTGAGGACTCATTCAGATCCGACCTTGTTGACTTGCTGAACATCTACAGAACCGTGGACAAGATCGGAGTTAACAGAGTTGGTATTGCCGACACTGTCGGATGTGCCAACCCAAGACAGGTATACGAGTTGGTTCGTACTCTCAAGTCGGTGGTCCACTGTGATATTGAGACCCATTTCCACAACGATACCGGGTGTGCCATTGCCAACGCCTACACTGCTCTGGAGGCTGGTGCTCGTCTCATTGACGTTTCCGTTTTGGGAATTGGTGAGAGAAACGGAATCACTCCTCTGGGTGGCCTGATGGCCAGGATGATCGCTGCTGACAGGGATTACGTGCTGTCCAAGTACAAGCTGCACAAGTTGAGAGATTTGGAGAACTTGGTGGCTGAAGCCGTTCAGGTCAACATCCCCTTTAATAACCCTATCACCGGTTTCTGTGCTTTTACCCACAAGGCTGGTATTCACGCCAAAGCTATCCTGGCCAACCCATCTACTTACGAGATCTTGAAGCCATCAGACTTTGGTCTGACCAGGTACATTCATTTCGCCAACAGGCTCACTGGGTGGAATGCCATCAAGTCCAGAGTTGACCAATTGAATCTGGACTTGACTGACGATCAGGTCAAGGACGTGACCAGCAAGATCAAGAAGCTGGGTGACGTGAGACCTCTAAACATCGATGATGTGGACTCCATCATCAAGGACTACCACGCCGTGGTGTCTACTCCTTTGGTCAAGCCAAACAATGGCGAAGCCATTGACGAGGAGATGTCCTTGTTGAACTCTGTCAAGAGAAAGAGACTAGAATAACTAATAGGATGAAGACCACAGTCACTCTTGTTAGAGCCTGAAACTTGCAAATCACCTTTCCCTACAATCGTAATACCAATCGTAGCACACAGTGTCCACGGTTTAGCGAATACTGCCGCAATCCAGCTATTTTTTCAATGATTTTATTTCTGCATAATCGTTGTTTATATATTATCGCAAATACGACATGGAGCGTCATTCCGCAAATTCAGCACGGGCCTTAGATGGAGTTGATCTTCTTCTCCAACTCGTCCAAGCTCTCCTTTTGCTTCTTGATTTGCTCCTTGAGAGCAGCCAATTGCTCGGCCTGGTGCTTCTTGATGTAGAGGTCTTCCTGGGCCTTTTCGCGCTTCTGTTGAGGGGAGCTGTAATTAGTATGTGAGTCTTGGGGGCAGTACACGGCGGAACCTTGGATCTGAAATTTGGCCAGGGTTAGGAGAGCAATGCTCAATTCCAATGGCACGGTCATAATCGCATCAAAACCGGCTTTCTCGGTCAAAGCAAAGCCAGGTTTCGCCAGTTCAATTCTAGGGATAACTTACGGTGAAAGCATCGCCGGATCCGTCAGAACGAGGAGCACCGGTGGCTCCTTCGGAGTAGAATCTGAGAGCAACAGTTCTGTTAGCACGGGCAACGGAGGTGAGAGCACGACGGGAAAACATTGTGGATTTCGAATATAGTGGTGATGAGATTGACTCAAGCTGGGGATGAACTCATTCAAGCAAACTGTCTTAGGTGATGGATGGCAGGCGTCGCAAGGAGATGATTGGCCTGTGGAGAAATGCGGCCCGGGCTGCGTAACCACATGATGACTTGAATAAAGTTGTGTTGTATGCAGATGTATGAAGTTAACAAGACAAAACATTTGGAGTATTTTTGCATTATTTTACAGGCATGTCGCTTGTAGCAAAGAGACAGAAAACGAATAATGTTGTTGGAACTTTCGAGGGCCAGACAGCTTCTTCGCTTTTAGTAAGCCCAGCTGTGGCTCTTACAGGCCACGAAGGAACAGTTCTGTCTTCCTCGTTCAGTAATGACGGGTCGCGATTGGCTTCTGGTGGAATGGACAGGAATATTCTCCTTTGGCGGATTCCCTGGGGAAATTTGTCTGATTTGGGTGCAATAAACTATGGAGAAATTACCGGACACAAGAGTGCAGTCACGAGAGTGAGATGGTCCAAAGACGACTCCATGCTTGTTTCTTCGTCTGCAGATTCTACGGTTGGATTTTGGGATGCCGAGACTGGAACAAGAATACGAAAGTGTTTGGGTCATGAAGGAGTGGTTAATGATGTTTCTGTGGGGCTATCGAAAGATGATGTTAATGTGGAGGCTGTAAGTGCAGGTGATGATGGTGTGGTTTATCTTTGGGACTCGAGATACAAGAGACCTGTCTCTTCTTTCAGGACAGAATTTCCTCTTCTGGCGACAGCAACGAGCAAGGATGGATATAGGGTGTTTGCATCTGGAATTGATCCCACCATTTACTGTATCGATATACGATCTACTGAAAAGCCTCTTTGGACCTGCGAGTCTCACCAGGACACGGTGACATCGTTGGTTCTTTCTCCAGACGAAGAGTTGCTCTTCTCTCGGTCTGACGATTCAAAGGTTAGATCTTATGTCTCCAAAGAATTTGTGCCCGAGACCACCCCCAGGCCGCGTCCGTATGTGTATGACGGAGCTCCTGCTGGTACTGACAACATTCCGATTCGCTTGACAATGAGCAAGAACGGCAAGCTGCTAGCCTCCGGAGGAGGTGATAAGACTGTGACCGTATGGAATTTTGAAACCAGAAGAATGTTGGCGAAACTCACGGGTCACACAGGTACTGTGGTGGATGTGGATATCCATCCTCAATTGCCTCTCATAGCGAGTTCATCTACAGATGGAACTATTATATTGCGCGACCTCGTGGTCTAATGTATTATAACAAAGATGTTTAATGACGTTCAGATGAACTTGACTCTTTTCTCCGCAGGTTTCGGTGCTGCCTCGTTCGCAACGGCCTTCTTCTCCTTGACCTTGGACATATGCTCGCTCAGTCTTTCCAAACTTGTTTGGGAAAAGAGAGGCAAATCCCATATTCTCGATCCATCTGGTTGGAGAGAGCCTTTTGGTTCCAATAAACCGTACCCGTCCGTTTCAGTGGTGCCAAAAGTAGAGAGTCTGCGTTCCACGTTGACGGCAGGTGCCACTACGGGCTTTTGCTCCTCTTCTCCATTCCTGATCCTCAAGAAATCATGTCTCATCACGAACTCTTGCATTCCTGAATCGTCTATCAGGTCATGATCACTGATTTCGTTGATCTCATTTCCATCCTTGAACCTCTTGTTGTACATCTCCTCCTCAATGGTGTTCTTCAACATCAACGTCTCTACTCTCACCACATTCTTCTGGCCAATACGATGGGCTCTCTTCACTGCTTGTGCCTCAACAGCTCTGTCCCAGACAGGGTTGAGAAAGTATACCCTGGTTGCTGCCACGATGTTTAGTCCGTGTGCTGCTAGCTTCAGATCCATGATAAGAGCCAGTCCGTTTGGACTGTCGCTGAACTGATCAAGGTTCTTGGGCCGATCAGCTGCTTTCAAGTATGTGGCATACATGAGGTAACCAACACCCAAAATATCCAGCATTTCCGTCAGATAATACGCGGAATCCTCAAACTCATAGAAAACAATGCTTTTGGTGCCCTCTAGCTGATGCTCCAGAAGCCTGGCTGCCATGTATGATAGTTTGGCTGAAGCCGTTCCAACGATCCTGGAGGTCTTGATCTTCCCAAGCAAGGTGGCTGTTTCCACGTCACTTTCGTGTGCATTTTTTACCAGATTCTGAATCTGAGAGTCCTTCTTCAAGCTTATCATTGCTTCGTTTGAAGAGTCACTCAGTCTTCTCTTACCACCGGTAGTCGTCACCAGGGTCCCTGTGTGTTTCGGAGCCGAGCCATTCTGTTGAATCTTTTGAGAGTTACCTTCAACATAACTGATCTTCTCGGATATTCCGTTGCGATCGTTTTCGCGACGACGAGTTTTGCCGGCGGCCTTCTTCCAGTAGTTTGCCCAAAATGGTCTGACCTCTTCAAGAAGCCTAGTCTCCAAGAGCTCATTGGAACGCACAAATCTATTTTTGAGAAATATTCTTTGTGCCATTAGCAACTGAGGTGCTCCATATACGGAAATGTCTTTGCTGAAAACCTCAATTGACAAACTACTCGTGAAAAGTTGAGGGAGCCCTTCAACGTAATAGTTCATCTCCTGGATAGCAGAAGCAGTACGCCATCTTGGGTTTGCCAGTGCTTTTTTGGAAAAATACACCGATTTCACAAGCAATTGTCGATCCTCTGGAGAATAGTAATGGTTACCTGCATCATCTTTCTTCTCCAGTGCGGTTTTGCAGATTGCTACCAGAGCATCAAGATCATCAATGGTGAATCCTGTCCAGAAGAACGTTGCTCTACGCAAATTTGTGATCAACCTCCGGAGCTGAGGTCTATTGTTGGGATGGAACATATAGTCACGATCTGTTCGTTCGGAAGTGACTGCATTTGTTGCCAATACAGCGGTGTAAAGGTTGATGGACAACTTATCGAAATAGGACGGTTCCAGAAACACAGCCATATGATGAAGAGGAGGAAGTTTCACTTCTGTTTCAACATCAGCCATACTATGTCTTACCAGCACGCACGATAGAAACTCTTGCAATTGGATATCAAAGTTGTAGGGAGCCGCAAGGAAAGGCTCCAGAATGGAGCTTCTCCATAACTTTGAGGACGAGGCCCAAGGGTCGATCTTCAAAAAATTCTGGACAATGGCCCCAATACGGCTGAGATCATCTTTGGCATCAAAAGTCTTTTTTGCAGTATAAACGGAACTTTGTTCAGCCTTATCCTGTTCTTCATTCACATGAAGCCGTGTGAGACCTGCAGTTGGAGTACCGGTTATGACCCATTTTCGATCAGCAGACATCTCTTTTGCAAGATAAACTGCATTTGAAGTCTTGGACGTCATACTGTGACCTTCGTCTATGATAAACCTTTTCCAATGGATATTTTTCATGAGTGAGACAGAAGCTGGACTGGTGAAACACGAGATAGCCATGATCACCATGTCGGAGGCTATGATGGTTTTGTGGTCCACTCCCAAAAGTGAATCTTTATTTCTGAAATAAAGAACGTTCAAATACCCATCTTTGACATGTTTTTCAATTTCATGGGTCCATTGGTGCCATATATTGTCTGGAGTTACCACCAGAGTAGTGGAGCAAAGATACACTTTTCGTTTCTCAAAACGGGTCATATCGCTCTCAGACCTGAGACGAGTTCTTCTAAGCATAGACATCATATTATCGGCTTCACTAACCTCAAAGAACCCTGTGTATTCTTGCAGCAATCGAATGCAGTTACTGGGCAGCCTATCTATATAGGCTTTCCAGGGAATTGACTCCTTTCCGATTTGACGCACACAATAAGTTGAAAGTGACTGTACCTGAGGATCGCTTCTTTCATAAAAATGGTGTTGAGGTGGAATCACAGAAAGCTCAAGCTTCGAAGCACATACTAGGGCTAGACAGATCAGGGTCTTTCCTAGGCCCATATTCTCCGCCAGAATGCCTCCTCTAGGCGTGGTGAAAGTCTCAGGATAATTTACAATCTGATATGTATTCATATCAAAGAAAAAATCTTTGGCTTTGGTTGCGAGTTGCTTAGTCGAAGTCACTCGCAAAAGATTTGGCATTACTGCCCTCACAGGGAAGTACTCTCTTTCAAGCATTTTGGCCACAGACTGTCTTTGATATGTGTAAAGATCACTTTTAAGTCCCGGAATCTCATCGCTCAAAATCGAATGAATGATTTCCTTCTGTAGTTTGGAGACTTTATCCGAGTTGAGATGTGCAAACGAAGGTGACTTAACGTTCTCGTAAGCCTCCAACAGTCTCTCCTCAGCTCTGACATTGGAGCTTTGGTTTCTTGCATTTGACCAGGTGGGACCAGTTGGTAGGATGGAACACTCCTCTGCCATTCTTTTCAATTCAAAAGATAAGCTTTGCTCTTCGTTGGGCCAAAGCTTATTAGTGGAACCCACCTTTTTCAGGCTAAACTCACTCCAGGGAGATGTCATTGGAAATAGGAGAGTACCACTTCGGATATGGTCCATTAGTTGATCAGATGATGAGATATTCCAAGCCGTTGCGGTGTAATCCAACACACCGATCAACTGGCCCATCACCGTCCTATACTTGGTATCCTGCGCCGATGTCTTCTTGAACCTGGAAATAGTCTCTCTAAACTCACGAACAACAGTGTTGCCCTTCACATCTGCTGGTAAGGCATATAATCGCACCACAGCTATAGTCTCCAGGCCGTGCAACTGGAAAACACGGTAGGTAACCCTCAGATAGCCTCGGTCCACCAAATAACGAATATCGGCGACAATCGCCGAAAAAGTCCTGTTTCCACCAGCCGATGGGCTAAACAACACCAGGTTATAGTTAAATGGCGTATCAAACCAGAACCAGCCATCAGGTGCTTCTGCACCGTTAGCAGGCACTCTTGGAAGAGCATAGAAGAAAAGTGTGCCTAGGGCGCAGAAGTTGGAAAGATCATTGGTGATTGAAGTAATGGGCTCCAATCGGTGCTAATTATGAGTTAGACACAATGAAATATATAAAAACATTGAATTCAATAACAATATCTTACTCTGATAACCATTCGTGCCGATCTGTTTTGGGTCTGCTTGAGTAAATTGTATGAGAGAGTGAAATTTAGCAGGACCCCCGGATAAGGATTGAGCTCATCTCTGCCGAGCGTGCGGCTCAAGTGAAAAATTGAACGGTTAGACAGAATGTTAGTAATATTTGACTAGTGGTATTAATTTTCAAGTGTTTATTACCTATTCAACGGTCACAAGTTCAAGCTTCTGCTGAATAAATTTCCAGTCTTGCTTCTTTCAATTTTTCACCGCTTCATCTCTCATTAGTCTCCTTCTCGAAAAAGTCCCGGATCTCCTGCTCTGTGACAATCTTGCCCTCTTCTGCGAATGGTCTCAGAAAAGTGGTCAGCTTTGACTTTATGGTTTCATACGCCTGAAGTCCACTAATTGCCTGCTCGCGAGGCAGAGAGTTCAAGGCTTTAGCTCCAAGATCGAACAGAGATGAAGCATCATCATCTTCGTCTTCTGGTGGTTCGTAAACAGGATCCTCCAAGTAGAGAAACGGGAACTTTTTCAAGAATTGGATCAAAAGAGCTTGTTGTGGATCGTTCTTCAAAATTACCTTTTGCAACACCTCCTTGAACCCTTCTTTCAAAAAGATTGTCTCTGGGTATTCTTTTTTGCCCTGTTTCTGTTTCTTCTGCGGAGGTACATCTTCTATCTTGACGCTAGATTCTTCGGCTAATATTTTCTCCCTTTCTTCTTCAGATTTACATTCGATATGAGCAAGTTTCGCAAGCTGGATTTCAGCTGGAAGTAGGCTCAATGCTGCCTTATGTTTCGCAAAACATTTCCAACATATGATACAGTCGAAATCGTCTAGATCAGGAAACCCTTTCAATGGTTCAACATCCACCCCATCATCGCTATCATTATCAGCAGCAGCTTCTAGACCCGCTTCACCTAGGCTATCAAGACGATTGACACCATGAACTTCTGATTTGACCTCAACCTGGTTCGAACGGCGTACTTGGCCAGAAGGATAACCCATCAAACACTCATCATGAAACCAGTCTTCACCGCAGACATCTCCCAATGCACACTGGACCATATTTCCGGTCTCCTGGACCGGATTGTACACCTTTTCACAAGAACAAAATACGCCTTTGAAGTTGTGATTGTAGACATTGGAGAGGGAAGGAACGTCTTCTGCTGGCTGACGAACTGTACTCTTACTATCAATGCCAGACGAGTTCCTTCTAGAGCCAGGAAGTTTTGTGCGTAAGCAACAAGCGCCGTTGGACTTCATTCTTGTGGTTCCACAGTCACAAGTGAAGTTCCGCTTGGTGAAGAGCTCCACCAAAGTGTGGGTACTGTGGCATTGCACTGAACAGGAGTAGCATATTCCCGATAGAACACCGTTGTCCTTTTCCAGACAATCCAGACACGCATACACTTGTTGTTTCAATGGACCCAGAACGTATGTGCACACATTGGGATCATATGGCATATGTTCCCTGGCCTCTTTCTCTCTAAAAACAGTTAGTGTTGGCTCACAGGCTAGACCAAGACTGATACATACAATGCCAATTGCTGGCGGAGATAATCTACCGCGGTGATGGAATCCGAGCTCATTGAAAATGCCAAAAGCAAACAACTGGAACTATCTTTGTTTTACAAAAAGAGCTAGATCTTACTCAAGTGCAAAAGACTACGAGGACCAGATCTCATGCCAAATCAATTGGGTAGCCCACTACGCGTCTAGTTCTATCGCATAACATAACCCCATATTTTGATCTGCATTCTGCATATGCATATACGTATAAATATTTTCAAACTCCACCGATAACTAGAGTCTTGATATTCGTGTACTCTTCTACACCATACTTGGATCCCTCTCTTCCAAACCCGCTTTCCTTAACACCTCCAAATGGCATGGCAGCCTCGGAGATCACACCAGTGTTCACACCTACCATGCCCACTTGCAGGGCCTCACCAACTCTAAACACGCGCGCATAGTCTTGGGAGTAAAAATAGCCAGCAAGCCCCACTTCGGAGTTGTTTGCCATTTTCAGCACCTCATCTTCACTGCTGAACTTAATCAATGGTGCCAATGGTCCGAAGGTTTCCTCTTGCGCCGCAAGCATATCTCCAGTGACATCTGAGAGAACAGTCAGTTCGTGGAAAGCAGGGCCCAGGTGTGAGGCCTCAGATCCTCCAACCAATATCGATGCTCCTTTGGAAAGAGCATCATTAACATGTTCCTTAACCTTCTCTAGAGCTTTTTTGTGTATCAGAGGCCCATGCGTGACACCCTCATCCAAACCTCTTCCTAGTATGGTCTTTTTGACTTCAGCAACCAGTTTCGCCGCAAACTCGTCATACACCTTCTCGTGAACATAAAGTCGGTTAGCACAAACACATGTTTGACCTGAGGATCTGAACTTGCATGCCATTGCTCCCTGGACTGCCTTATCTATATCGGCATCCTCAAAAACGATGAAGGGAGCATTTCCACCCAGTTCCATTGAAAGACGTTTCAGTGTCCCAGATGATTGTTCCACCAAAATCTTACCAACACGTGTTGAACCTGTGAATGAGACCTTTTGAATTTTAGGATTTGTGCAAAACAACTTTCCCACCTCGGCAGTTTGCTTTGGCGATGACGGAACAATGTTCACTACTCCTGCGGGAAACCCTGCCAACTGCGAAAGATGGCCTAACGCCAACGCTGATAGAGGGGTTTCAGATGCTGGCTTAATAACAGCAGTACACCCAGCAGCAATCGCAGCACCAAGTTTTCTGGTTATCATGGCACTAGGGAAGTTCCAGGGTGTAAGAATTCCAACCACTCCTACTGGTTGTCTCATTGTAAGTATGCGGCTCGACCCAGTCGTAGATGGAATGGTATCGCCATACAATCTGGGTGCTTCTTCGCCGAACCACTTCAGAAAACTTGCAGAGTACTTGACTTCACCAATTGCATCTGCCAGTGGCTTTCCGTTTTCCAAAGTGACGAGTTTGGCGAGGTCCTCAATGTTCTCCATCATCAGCTCGTAGAAGTTAGTGAGCAAATCCGCTCTATGCCGGGGAACTGATGCTCCAAACGATATAAACGAATCCGAAGCAGCATTGATAGCGGAGTTGATGTCTTCAAGAGATGTGCTGCTAACTTCGGCAATTGGCTCCAAGCTCGCTGGATTTTTCACCGTGAACGTTTCATCGCCTGCAATCCATTTTCCATTGATAAGAGCATCGACTTTGAGCAAGTCTGGGTTCTTCAGGTGAGATGCCAAAGAGTAGGACCTTTGAGAAAAACTCTTCTTCAGGTGAATGCAGCGCAACATCCTGATCCTGAATGAAATTGACTGAAAATTCTGCCTCTTTTCGAGCTATCTCGTTGTGCTATTCCACCCCAAATTAGACCGAGCAATCACTCGGCTACGTGCCGGAACCAAAATCAAAGACGACTATCAAGACCATCATTCTTATCTATACCTCTACAGCATGCTATCAGTATCATTCCACTCAACTATATACAAAACAAGTCGTCAAAACTGTCATTTCTATTCCTTGCTTTCCTTCCTCTCCTTCTCCTTTTCAGCTTCGATCTTGTCAAACTCAGCCTTCCAGACAGCGTTACCATCCTCCTTGGAAACATCCGAGAACAACACCTCGAACACATCGCTGTACCAATCGGCAGGTACTGGCTTGATTCCTTCCTTCACGTTTTCGGGAAGCTCATTCCAGTCTGCGAGGTTGTCCTTAGGGAAGATAATCGTATCAACACCGGATCTCTTGGCAGCAACAGTCTTTTCTTTCAAACCTCCAATTCTCAGAACCTTTCCAGTCAGGGTCAATTCACCGGTCATAGCAACTGTGGGCGATAATGGTTTATTAAGCGCAAGCGACAGGAATGACGAAGTCATTGTAACACCGGCAGAAGGACCGTCTTTAGGTGTAGCTCCCTCGGGACAATGGAGATGGATCTTGGCCTTCTCGAAGAATCTATTTTCAGGGAAGTTTTTGGCCAAGAACATCTTCGAGAAGGAGTATGCAATTCTGGAGGATTCTTTCATAACGTCACCCAACTGACCAGTGATTTCCACCTTTGGAGTACAGTCCCGGGTGATGGCCTGTTCAAGAACAGACTCAATGTAGAGAGCAGAACCTCCCATAGATGTCCATGCAAGACCCATAACAACACCGGCTGGAGTGGTTTCATAAAGTCTATCAGAAGTGTATACTGGAGGTCCAACATAGTCCTTCAAGTTCTCAGGGGTGATGTCAACCTTGTAATCTTCTGGAACAACGATCTGTGGGGCTTTGACTTCAGTCTCTGAGCTTTCCGAAGCAGCAGGAGCGGACCCAGACTCTGATGATGTTTCAGCTGCAGCCTCAACCTGTGCTGCTTCTTCCTCTCTCAACTCGTCGATCTCCTGATCACCCACCTCTCTCACAACATTCAGAGCAGCCTTACGGTAGATCTTCTCAATGTGTTTCTTCAAGTTTCTGACTCCACTCTCGCGACAATATTGCTTGATCAAGGCGACAATAGTGTCCTCTTCCAAAGAAACGTTCACGTTTTCAAGACCAGAGTTCACCTTTGCTTCAGGTGCAAGGTATTTCTCTGCGATCTTGATCTTCTCATCAGCGATGTACCCAGAGATCTCGATCACCTCCATTCTATCCAGCAATGGACCTGGGATTGTGCTCAACTGGTTGGCCGTGCACACAAACAAAACCTTGGACAAGTCGATTGGAACATCCATATAGTTATCCAAGAACGTGTTGTTCTGTTCAGGATCCAAAAGCTCCAGGAGAGCAGCAGAGGGATCTCCGCCATTTACACTGTGGGAATGGGAGATTTTGTCGATCTCATCAATGAGAATCAGCGGGTTTTCGGTTTGCGTCTTTTTCAAGGCTTGAACAACTCTACCTGGAATGGCTCCAACGTAGGTTCTTCTATGACCCTTGATCTCAGAAACATCACTCAAACCTCCGACAGAAAACCTGTAAAACTTTCTGTTAAGTGCTCTCGCAATGGACTTACCAATCGATGTCTTACCAACACCTGGTGGACCAACAAAACAAATGATCTTACCATTGATCTTGTCCAGCAGCTTACCCACTGCTATGAACTCAAGGATTCTATCCTTGACATCCTTCAACCCGTAATGGTCCTCGTCCAAAACGGTCATGGCACGGTTGATACTGTAGTTATCTCTTGAGGAATTTCCCCAAGGAATTTGAGTCAACCAGTCCAGGTAGTTTCTCGTAACAGTAAACTCAGACATCAATGGCTCCAAAGTGGAGAGCTTATTGATTTCGTCATCATAAACCTTCTTCACCTCCTCAGGCATCACAAGATTTTTGACACGCTCGTTGTACTTGGCAATGAGCTTATCACGGCCATCATCGATGCCAAGTTCCTTCTTGATCCACTTCAGTTGCTCGTTGAGATGATATTCTCTATGTCTCTTGGTCATACGCTCTTCGATGTCCTTCTCAATCCTTTTTTGCAACTCCTTGTTCATGAGCTCCTTCTTCAGTACTGTCAAAGCCATCTCCAACCTCTTCTCAATGTTTGTACAATCAAGAATTTCCTGAAGATCCTTCTCGTTACCAGCTGTGACGGCAGCGGCAAAGTCCGCCAGCTTCTCGGGACAGTTGAAGATATCATTGTGCAAAGAAGCACTGAAAGTGGCCAATTGATCGCTGAACATTTTGTTCAGACCAGACATTTCCTTCAGAACCTCCAAAATGGCAGCCGTGAGCGAGTTGATGATGGGGTTGTCTGACTCAAATGGATCGTCTTCGACATTGGAAACGTTGACCAAGGTGATTGGATACTTCTTCAGGAAGGCAGTGGGGTTATCTTCTTCGTCCTCCTCTTCTTTGAGGGACTCTGATTCTGTCTTGGAGGCTTCCTCAACTGGTGCATCTGTTCCCTGCTCCACGATCTTGGGGACATCACCTTCCTTCTCGCCTCTAATACCTTGAATAATCTCCTTGTGATCACTTTCGTCAATTCTAATCTTAGAAACACCCTCAGAAGACTCTGGAGGAAACAAATCGTCAATTCTGATACGCTTGTGGGGATACAACACGGTGGTCAGGGTTTCCACTCCAGTCTCGTTATCCTTCGTGTAGACATTGGAGGTTATCTGGGCCAACACACCCGTCTCGTAAACCTGGTCCTTGCTCTCAATCACGTCCGACTCGGCAAGCTCATCCTTGAACAGAAAACAACCGATGAAAGGATACTCTCTGTCCAAAGACTCTTTCACTGCCTTGATGACGTTCACGTCGGTGATGATCACCGCCTTGTAGAACCCCGGAAATAGCGGTCTTCTGGAAATCGGCAAGGCAATTATTTGTGGATATACTTCCGGCAGCTCAAAGGCGGTCTGTTTCTTTGGAGAAGGAGCATCTCCAGCTGAAGGTGGCTGATCGCCAGATCCCTGGGATGGTGGAGTGGCACCAGTGGCACCACCAGCAGAAGAGGCAGAGGCATTACCTTTGGAAGAATTGGATTTGGAAACCGCTTCTTCACTAATAGGCGGCTTTTCGGGTGTTTTTTCCGTTTCTGGAGTTTCGGTCTCTTCGGGTGTCTTGTCCTTTGGAGTCTCATCCTTGGGGGACTCTTTGTCAGCAACACCGGACTCAGGCTTGGACTTGTCTGACTTCAAATGTATGGCAGGTTGAACCGCAGGAACCACCAAATCAGGCAAGTAATTAGAGGTAAATATGCCTCCTCTAGCTTCGCCAAATCTGGGAGTGTAGGTGTTTCTCATGATGTTCTTGACCTCATCGTCAAACGACTTCTTAATGATGGACTGGGCCTGGAAGTTGGACAATTGTGATGCATAGCGCGGTTTCACGACAAAGTGCAATGCTTTGCCGGAAACCCTCCTAGCACACTTTCTGGATGCAAGCATTGAGATGGACTAGTGAAAATCTCTTCCAGTTTTGAAGTAGAGTTGAAAGAGCCAGAAGAGTCCAGGTTGAAGCGGGCTTTCCCACAATCGCCTCCTCGTCACCGACGTCGACCTTCCGGGGGTATTCCGGGGATCGGAAAGGCTACTCGGCCTCTGAAGGACTTTTAGATACTGCCACGTTTTATAACCGAAATAGAATAAATATACACGCATAACATACACAGCTTAAAAATACAAACGAATAGGCAGCGTCGGGGAAATAACCAGGATAATGGGGGCGTGGGACAAGGTACACTATGGGTAGCCACGGCCCTCGTTCAACCATCATTGACTATCGCCTCTTCTTTTTGATAAACACAAACTCTTCGTCAAATTCTTCGATATGAGTCCATATCCTTGCAATGGACCCTTGCTCACCCTCAGAAATCACTCTGATACCGATACAACACATTTTCTCCGTGGTGCCCATTCGCCAACGATGCCAGCTCCTCCGACTCCGAGACAACAGAAGCCATGTTATCGTTCAAGTTGAGGCTCAGCGTGGCCTCGTTGTCTACTGTTTCCTCCTGCTTGATCAATTCTTCGTTGATCGTTTGTATTTCATGGTTCAGGTCGCGATGCGAGTTGTTCAGCTGCCCTAAACCATTTCCGTTCTGATCCTGCTCGTATCTCGCATCGTAGTTATCACCAAACCTAGCCTCACCTGAGGTAGCCTGGTCTGGATATTCTTCTCCATATAGCTCTTGCACGTATCTGTTGTGAGTGCCAGGTTCAAAGTCCGGATTGGCAGACACCTGGGCTTCTTGGTCCTCGTACTCGTAATATGCCGGGGCAACTGCGATCGAATTCTGTTTTTTCTTGATTTCACCTCTTTCCTGCTTCAAGGCCTGTTGCTCTCTATATTTTGCCAGATAAATTTTCAACACCTCGGAGTAGTTCTCGAACCCCAACGAGGTCATCGAGTACAGGATGTCTTCACCGTTGATGGTCTTGCGCTTCTCAGTCAAACACCGGTCTGAGGCCTCGGACGTTATGAAAGATATGAATTCGCTGACACATTCCTGCATACACTCTTTGGCATCTTTGGATACTTTGGCAGTGGGAGGAAGAGTGTTCTTCATGAGTCTTGAGACATTGGCAATCGGTAGCCATCTGTCCTGCTCTCTCAGCTCTGCTTCCTGGATGGACTGATTTATCAACGAAGAACTATCTGACATGGTGTAGCTGATGTTGATGTCTTTGAGAGAGCTATAGAGCTTGGTGTACTCTATGTCTCTTGTTCTCTGGACCTTTATTGTTCAATGTCACCACCCCTCCGCTTGCGATGTAAACCAAGAAGTACTCGGTGCTGAGATTTACGCGCCACTGCGGTAAATTGTGGTCCCGGAGATGAGCTTCGGTTCAGAGAGTAGACCGAAGTCTGGCTATTGAACATGTGTACAATTCCAGGAACAAAACAGAATCGAGGTGAAATATGCTATGGATATGATTTCTTCGCCGACAACTGACGAAACTGTTCGTGCAGAGCAGCCCAAAGACTCGCTTCTCAACAAATCGGCTTCGGGTGCGACTATACTGGTTCTGGGCCAAGTTTTCAGCAGACTCTCCACATTCACCTTGAACCAGCTGGTGATCCGGTTTGTTTCTCCGAGTGCTTTGGGTGTCACCAGTTATATCGAGTTTCTCGTGAGCTCAATTCTATTTTTCAGCAGAGAAGGTATCCGTTTATCGTGTCAAAGGCTGAAAGAGGCCAAAATCACTCCGGGCGAGGCGCCTACAAAAGGCCACAGTCTCCAGAAGGATGCAGAAGATGTCACTATACTGTCGATAATCAATTTCTCGCTCATTCCCGTTCTTTTAGGAGCTCCGGTGACGTTCCTGGTGTTGTATACGCAGCTATTACATCATGCGGACGAGGCTATTGCCAGCTTACCCCATTTGCGGTTGGAGGTGATGATCATAGCTTTAGCGGTGGCTCTGGAGCTTCTGTCTGAACCTCTTTACAACGTGAATCAGTATGAACTGAACCTAAAGAGACGAACAAAGGTAGAGAGCATTGCTGCATCTTCGCGATGTGTTGTTCAGTTTCTATCCACTTCGCTGTTTTTCAAGCTTTCTGAGAGTGACATAGTCGCGGATGACAAACTGGTGGTCGCATACTGCCTGGGCCAACTGGCCTATTCGGCCTCTGTTTTTGGTCTTTATTTCTTTTCTGACTTAAAACCGAAGGTGAAGTATGCTTTGTTTAAGCTCTCTTCGGCGACTGGAGGCTACTACTTCAATACGACTGTTCTATCATACTGGAAATCCATATTCTTCCAGCTCGTCCTCAAACACATGCTCACAGAAGGTGATCGCTTTCTTATTAACAAACTGTGCTCAACAGAGGAGCAAGGAATTTTTGCATTAATTAACAACTACGGATCTCTGATCGCAAGAATGTTGTTTTCTCCCATCGAGGAGTCTATTAGGATGTTCCTGACAAAGATTTCATCCTCATCCTCACTCACCAGAGATCAGCGCAATACGCTGGTCAACTTTTTGAGCCTTCTTTTCAAGTTCTACATCTATCTCTGCATTATCATTTGTGTGTTTGCACCTCCAAACATAAAATACCTATTGGAAATTGTCATTGGCCGCGGCTGGTCCAAGAACGATGAAAGCTCCAGATTGCTCTTTTCTGCATTCAAAACATACTGGTTATACATTCCTTTTCTGTGTGTTAACGGAATAATGGAGGCCATATTCTATTCTCTTGCATTTGACCCTAGTGAGATTTCCAGATACTCTAGAATTATGGGGGCCTGTTCGCTCCTATTTTTCGGATCATCTACCCTGTTTATCAGATACTTCAACCTGTCCGTCTCAGGTCTTGTTTTAGCAAACATGATCAGCATGACTCCAAGAATTGTTTATTGCTGGTCGTTCGTGAATGCGATGTATAGAAATGACAATAAAGGTTTATGGTCATCCGTCATGTTGCGGGGATATGCTTTCTTGCTCCCCGTGTCTGTATCGATATGGGCCATACAGACATTTTCTCTCGGAGATACTTCGTCCTTTACTGGACTTCTGCTGAGTGGGGCACTCGGCTTTGTGTTCCTCGTGTCAGGTTGTTTGATAGAAAGAGATTTCATTCGGCGCAAAGTGGGGATGTTTCTGAAAACGAAATCGCAATGAGGACAAATGGTACGAGCTGAAACGTTCTCATGACGAAGCAGTAATGATTATAAATGTATGAATGGAGGTATTTGCCTCCGGTATGTATTCCTGACCAACCCAAAAAAAAAGTAGCAAAAGTAAAGTTCTCGAGAAAAACAGCACATGAAACTAGTAATGCATCGTTAAAGCTTGTGACGGCATAACGGACAACTGGATGATCTTGACAACCAACTTTCCAGGCATTCCACGTGAAACGCATGGTCACAAACCAACCTTTTCACGTTCTGTTTCTTAAGCTCTAAGGCTTCTCTGCAAATGATGCATGAGTCATCTGTCAAAGCAATCGACTCTAACGACGGCTCCCTCAGCTGTTTTGTCAGTTTAAGCAGACGGATTGAATGTCTCTGTAGCTGTATCAGTCTTCTGGACTCACCGATGACTAGCCGAAGACTGTTGTAGGATGCTGGAACGATGTTCAATGCAGGTAGAGAGAACCTCTCCATGAAAATTGATGTAAAAACGATGAACATGGCCAACCTGACCACATTGAAAAAGATATCTGCAAAAGAGAGCAATCTCGTCTTTTTAGTCCATGCAAAGTCCGGGCCCTTCTTGAGTTGCATGACGAACTCGCGGAACTGGATGAGATAGGCAAACGAGGTCGAGAGAATGAACGGATACAAGTTGACGATCTCGAATCCAAACACATACAACAACACGTTGTCGTTGTCATATTGTAGCTCATTTCTGAACCATATCATGAAGCGAATATCGATGTAATGCATCAACAATATCCCTAAAGCAAACCTGAGATGTAGCAAGGTTCTGTTGCAGTCCTGCTTGTTCAATGACAGGTAGAAAATTGTAGAAACTCTATCCACGGATAAATAGTGGAAACATTTCAACAGTAAAACACATAAGAACAAACCCGAGTATTTTAGCACTATCGAGATGCCAAAAGGCTCCACGTTCAACAGTCGCACCATGAGCAACCCCAACACCAGCTCGTGGAACGTGTACAATACCTTTTCCCTGAGCTTATCCACCTCGTATTTGCGAAGTCTTCCAAAGAACAGCCATTTCAGAAATCGACATGATAAGTAAAATATAATCAAGGCGGCATTTGCTAGACCAAACCTTGTGAATGGAAACGTCTCGATGCATTGGTGAACCACACCGCCTTTATTACAACTCATGTAAACTAGGGTCCCGGCCTGATATGAAAGTTAGTATAGAACAAATAACTCAGAAAGCGCTCCACACTCACAGCTCCAACCCCTATTCCTCTCTTTGTGCTCACCATGATCGTTATCCCAGTTGATTAGCGATGTGGAAGCAAATTTGTTGGTGGGATCATTTACTTGAAGGCGGGCGCATGTGACAAGACAGGTCATGTGACCTGAAGATTGTGGGTTTGGAGCATGTTCAGTATCCCTCCCACTCTTGGTAGGATCGGACGATTAGAAGCTGATGATCAAAAACTGCGCTTATGGATAACTTAGCATAACTATTAATATTTCATACATCGCGAATAATCTTTAAGAAATATGAAGAGTATATCTTCGGGCTAACTAAGTGTTAGTGTCTCAACCACTTTAACCACGAGGTGCAGAAAATTGGAGAGTCTCATGCAGAAGGCATAAGTGATGCAGTGAAATATGCGTGCTTAGGAGGTTCGTGAAATGAACTGTTTTATAATTCGATTGCAATTTACAAAGCTTTAATTGGTCGCCTCAGAACTTTCTCCAGCTGGTGTCTCGGTGGTTTCAGTGGTTTCAGTCTCCTCGACGGTAGCCTCACCTTCCCCAAACGTAGACTGTGCCAATGGAGCGGTCACCTTGGGCTTGTCTTTGGCAGCATCCTTTTTGGTGGTCTCAATACCGTAGATTCTGTACAGATACTCAAATGTCTCCTGTTTGGAAACCATGAGGTTCAAGTTGTTCTTTCCTCTCCATAATGGCAGGAAAAGACTCTCGTCATTCTCGTTTCTGATGACATTGATGAAGCAGCAGCCCTCGCTAACGTCCTTGATTTTGTCCAAGAACTCGCTGTCCAAGTCCTTCTGTTTAAGAATGCTAAAGTTGGGGAAAGTTTCCTGCAAAAATACCAAGAAAATCTCCTGGTTACAGCTAAACTGTCTCTTCGAAGAAAGGTGCTTCTTGATCACGCTCAAACTCTCGTTCTGGATTCTCCAAGGACACGCGTCCTGGTTGTGATCAGTTTTTTGTGAAACAAAGAGCTTGGTTCCAGAGTAAACAACCTTGAGCTTCGACTCGTTGTTGACCAGGATGTTCTTGATGATTGGAGCGACAAAGTAGATGGTCCTGAGAGGCTCTCCAGTTGCGTTACGCACCAGAGTACAATCCTTTGGAAATTCGTCAGCTATTCCGTAGAAGTCCCAACATTTCACGAGCTCCTTGTGACTTGGTGGTAGAAAGACGAAGGGCTCTTCATTGGCATCTCGGGGCAATTTCTCCTTCTTCTTCTTGGACTCTTCAACCACTGGAGTGGATTTCTCAACAGTTTCCATTGGAATATCCTCAACATAAGTCTCAGGAGCGAGCGGAGCAGTGGTCTTTTGCTTCTTGGAAACCTCTTCATCATCATCCACATCTTCAGCACCTCTCTTCTTTGAATCTTCAGCCTCGGCAGGCTTCTCAAATACAGTCACGAAGAATCCACCAGTATTCTGCAAATGAGGGTAGATCCTCATACAGTTGCTCAGATTAAACTTGGCCGCCTCCTCTTCAGATGGAGGGAAACAGGTTTCAGCAACATCCTCTGCACCAACCTCTCGTGGTTGCATGTCTTTTCCTAGGACTGTCCACTGGCTGACACCGGGGCGTCTCACCAAACCGGGAAGTCTATCATCACAGTTGACGGTTCTGATTTGATCACCCCATTTTCTCAAGGCAGCAGCGACAATGGCCTCGTTTTCGATTGGGTTCATGGAACAGGTGGAATACACCAATCTACCACCCTTTTTCAGAAGTTGAAGACCACGGTTCAAAATATTCAGTTGAACCTGGTGCAGACCAAGGGCATTACCGGTTCCCCATTTATCCCAGACATCGATGTTCTTTCTCATGGTACCGTCACCGGTACATGGGACATCACAGAGGATACGATCGAACTTGACAAATTCCTTCGCATCGGGCGAAAGCTTCAATTTGGGAAAAAACTGAGCATCGTGGTTGACCACTATGAAGTTAGGAGAGTTCAATCTCTTGACCTGGTGGACCAACATGTGAGACCTTTTGTAATCGGCATCGTTGGCCATGACAAATCCGGTAGGTTGTTGAATGTCATCTTGAGATTGAAGGGCCTCAACTAGCTGAATGGTCTTGGAACCAGGAGCGGCACAAAGATCCAAGACCGCATGGTGAGGTTCGACATCCAGCACCAAAGGAGGAATCATCGAAACGGCCTCTTGTCTGGAAATGTTGCCCACTTCGGTCTCAACAACCAAAAATCTCTGAGTCTTTGCAAAAGCTGAGTATTTTCTGACAACAGCTTTGGGCAAATCGATCTGGAAACCCAACTCGTTTGGGTACCATGGGAAAGGCTTTGGAGCCTCAAACTCCATACCTTCCACCTTGATTGAGCTCAAAAGAGGCAGGTGCTCGTTCACGAACAAAGACTTAATCTCCTCGGCATGTTTTTTGGAGCCGGTGATCCTGAAAGTCAGAGGAAGGTTCTTCTGGCAAGTGGCTTTGAAGTCCTCCCATTCCTCTTCTGGAATCAAGCCCTGGTTCTTGTAGTACGACTCAAACTTCTCGTTCTCGCGAACAATCGGTTTCCAGTCATCTCTATATCCGCTGTTTGGTCTGTTGCCAAACTTGTTCTTTGCGCCCCTTTTGTTGAATCTTCCCATCGTTGAAACGAGTCTTCTTATCATAGGGCTGTAGAGCTCTGAAAACTTTCAAGAATTTTTTTCCCAGTTGAAGATGAGCTCCAAAACCGGTTTAGACACGCGGCTTGGGATTGCGGTGAATTGCCCTCTTTGGAGGTAATTGTTTTCGGAAAATTGTGAAAAAAGGTCAAGCCGAGTCTTCTGTGGCTCAGCTTTCAGTGCGTGGGTTGATATTTCGCTTTAATAATATCGACAGGTTGGTCTGTCGAGCGTTTCTCGAAATGAGTACTGTGAGCCGCACCTGTGCAGGAGTTTGCATAAATTCACCTGTATTCAGAGCCTGAACTGGGATCAGAAATTTCGGCTTCCACCATAGCATTATCGTCGCTGCTGGATAAAGAGTCATTTCCAGTGGTATCGTCTTCGTTATTGTCGACATCGTTCTCATCGTTTTCTCCCTCCTCTGATCCAGTATCTTCTTCTTCTTCTTCTTCTTCATCTCCCTCTGACTCCTGGCCGTCAATCTCCTGCTGAAAAGAGTCCACACGAGCAGATATCAAGCTATCAATCCAAGTCTCAACAGCAGCTCCCATCGCCAATAATGCAGTTTCATCCAATATTTGCGAAGTCCTCCTGTCCTCTTGGCTCAACCTTCCGATACTCCTGTGGATCCTGTTTGAAGTGTAATAGTGTAAAGCGTTAAGTAGGTCGGAATCCGGCAATTCAATTCCCTTTCTCATGAGCTGATCTCTTTCATAAATCGGTATTTCGGTGATGTTCATGTGTTTGCTCAATATCTCATCTGGAGAGACCAGGTGCCCCTTTCTGTTGTTCTCGAGACTAGCTGATTGCCTATACCAATCAGCAGCAGCTTGATATATGGATGCATTTTTTAATTCGGTCTTTGAGGCATTCATGACGGATACGAGTCGTCTAGAGACTCGGATAGGGCTTCCAAGCTATTATAAACTGCTCTTGCTTTAGTATGAAGAACCTCAAAATAAGCCTTTGACTAGATGAAATATTAGCTGCAAAGCTCATCGCGAGATCCTCAGCTCAATTTTTAGGTAATCCCCAAATCTTTCCATCTGAAAATTGGACCAAAAATCACCAACTAAACTCACCAAAATGAACGAAATTAACGACACAATAGAAGGGCTGGCAAAAATAATCTCCCAGAAACAAAAAGAGCTGGATGGCAAAATCCGCACGTACAATGCAAAGATAGCAGAGCTAGAGGGGTATCTGGCTGAAGTATCCACCAGACTGGATGTGGCTTCAGATATGGATTTGCAGCAGGGATTGGAGCTGGCAAAGCAGCTCAAATGCTCTCACTGTCAAAATGACGTCTTTGGTGAAGATCAGAAGTTTGTAATACTCCCCATAGTTGCCAAGAATACTGACCTCACTTTGGCTGGGCTACCTGGTTCTACAGTGTCTCATGAAGCCAGTGCGCAACCACAGATACTGCCTGGCCAGCACAAGAGAGTGAAAAAAAAGAAGTTTACGTGCTCTTATTGCAATTCTCATGATCACAAACGAGCAGAGTGCCCGAAGAAACTGGGAATACAGTGAAAAGAAAAACCTCATTAACAGTTCATTATATAGCTTTACCGCTTTCTGCAAGTGCCTCTGTACGATTAGTTAGTAGCTGTTGATTTAATGTCCATTTGCAGCCTCTGAAAAGTCACTTACCCCTCCTTGAGGCATCCTGTAGCAAATCTGTGCTGATACTCTGTGGATTGAGATGAATGTATCTGACCATGGAACCTCTGATGAACAGGTTTCTGACAGCCACTAGCTGTGGGAATTTCACTTCGTCTGTAATCATGGATATGTTATCAAGCTTAAGGTTCAGATATTGGTCCATCGACTTAAGAAATCCTTTGACTTCGATTCCGTTTTTCAACTTTTAGACATGAGTTAGTTCTGGATATTTAGTGCAAAGCCAAACAAGGTCTGCTTACCTCAACGGTCACCTATTAAACGGCGTTAGTATCAAATAATTCCAAACACGAGCAGTACCAGTACATACCTCTTGGTCAACCAATGTTCTGAAGAACGAGAAAAAGAGCATGATGAGAGTTCTTGGGTGGATTGAATATGGTGGTAGTACTGCTCTAAGCTAGTGTCCATTTGAACATTGAAGAGCTTCACCAGGCAATAAGTGGCACGTGAAAAACTGGCAGATTGAGAGAACGCGATTATGAGGGACCTCGGGGTGAGGTTTGCGAGAACGTCAAACGAAAAAGTTTAAAATGATGCTGTATACGGATAACTAGGGATCAATGCAAAATTACAGAAGATAACGAACCCAGTTGTTGGCACTGGAATTCCGAAATTTCAGAATGATAAAAGCCTTTCCACGGTAGAAAGCTTAATACGGCGGGTGGTGATAAACTTGGGGTGGACTTAGATAAAGCACCACATTAACCCCCATGGACCAGCGCTCTAACGCACTTAGCAAAATTCATCGGTGAACGCATTAACACCCCCTCCCTAGTATTGACTGTCCCAATCCAAGTTCTGAGCCGCGTTCCAAGGTAGCCCACCCCGTCATGGCGGAGACCGGGAACCAGATGGAAACTCGTATCCATACCGAGAGAGAATATGCCACCTTTCCGAGACTCGCTGCAAATGCCGACTTTCTGCTTGGAAAGACTTGATGAAATGCGAGTTTGGTGTCTTTGCTTCAAGAATATTTGAATATGCAAATCTTCAGTTTTGTGCCTAGGTACTTGTGAGTCGGAATCCGGTATTCTATAAGCCCGAGGCTCAATGTTACTTGGGATTGCAAGATGCACATGTAGGCAGGGTTGAATCGGTTTGGATCCGAGTAATACCGACGTGTCACAAAATTCAGCGAGAAGTTGGTAGAAATTGGCGGTGCATCGAAGATAAATTGGGCATCACATAATAAAGAAAATCAGAAATCAAAAAACAGCTTGCAGATTTTGAACGTATGTTGGGAAGCCACCCTGGAAAGCCGTGGCGGTTACGATGCAAGTGAAAGAAGGAGGCTTACATAGAAGCTCCGAGGGAATTCTCGGGACGTTTACAAGGAAGCTGTAGTCAACCTCCACCCAAACCCTTCAGGTTTCTGGTCTCATTCTCAAATCCACAATGCAAAATAAACAAATTTCATCAGCGGCACGATTTAATCATACATTAACAGCGCTCGGCCTCCGCGGGTAAATCCAAAATACGAGGGTTTGGCGGGTTCAGACTTGTTTACCTATACCCCGATTGGGAAGCCTGCAGGCAGTTTAACCTTTGACTAATTAGGAAGCCCTTTCACTGACTCTGGAAAATTCTGGAGGTAAGCATTTTGAGTCGGTTTGCGTGAATTTATACTTTTCTACTCGTTACTAATTTCTTAAATTAATGATTTCATTAACGCAGATTAAATGAATGGGTCTCATTCTCACATCAAAGGAGCGGGCTGAAACAAATTCCTGTACCCCTGTTTCCTGATTTTTCTATGTCGTGGTTGGGATATGTAATAATAGGTATGGTTTGAGCATGTGGGCATTAGTTTTGTAATTGGATTTGCTTCGCTTACATTTCAGCATCCTGACCAGGGTTGGTGGTTTCGTAGTCCAACCACTTCCAGATCTGCCACACAGACCAGGCCAACACGGCACCGAGGGCTGGGCCAACCCAGTAGATCCAGTGGTAGTCAGTGAACGAGGCAGCCGCAATACATGGACCAAACGATCTAGCTGGGTTCAATCCGGCACCGGTGTAGTAGACACAGATCAAGTGACCGATGAAGAGGGCAATACCAATGACGAAGGGAGCAAACACGGCAGCTCTGGACTTCTCAACAGCCATCATGAGGACAGTGATACACAGAATGAAAGTTCCAAAAGCCTCAATGAAGACACCTCTCGATCTGGAACAACCACCACCCAATCCGTTGGCAAACAGAATCTCACCAGGGGTCATGGCACTGGCAGCAGCAGCGGCAGCCATACCGGCAACCATCTGGGAAATCCACATGAGAACACCACGAACTGGTGGAATAGCTCTGGCAAGCATCAAAGTCAAGGTGACAGCTGGGTTAAGATTACCACCGGAGACACGGAAGGTCATGAAGACACCCACCATGACACCGAAACCGAAACCGAACGAGATCATGATGATCTTGGCAGCATTGGCTCCCTCAGTGATTGAGGTGTCGTGATTGGCGATCTGAGCGATCATGAAGGCGGACCATAGAAAGGTGAAGGTACCGACAAACTCACCCATCATGGCGACAAAGTGGTTGCGGACGGTGTCCGAGCCGAAACCAAACTTGGCATAGTTAGGCTTGTATGGGGGGGTGTAGCCCAATTGGGTCTCTTCGTCAACGACTGGAGTGGACATGGATCAAGTAAAAGACAATTTATCGGTGGAGATTAAGCAGAGAAAAAGAATGAAGCAAAATTGACGTTGTCAAGGATGGTTCCAAATATTTATAATAACCGTGATGCTGAGGCAGATGCCTTGCTAAGTTTTGAGTTATGCATGCGATGCGGCACAGCTGAAATTATAACCGGTTTTGAGAAAAAAAGAAACAAAAATTGAAGGGGTCCGACGGGTCGGTTTGGCGGGATGCTTCGAGGTTTTAGCCAGTAGCCTTCGCCAAGTTTCTAAATTTAGAGACTCGCAGAGATGAATTGGGCACTGGGCCGAAGGCACGCTATTTTTTAACCCTTGACTCATCGCAACGTCGTCAAAAACTTTACGTCAAGACTGAAATTCTCTGTCGAGCTGAGATAGGCTTGGAAACCGACAAGGAATTCGTATAAAGAATATCAACAGTTCAATATTTTCCTCCAATTGGATGGCTTAGTACATCATGTACGAGTCACCCCTTTTGGTTTCCACTATTTATATTTTCCCCTACTAGGGAATTCACCTAGTAGTGTACCTCCCACCTAGTATGGTAAAAAAAGAAAAAGCCTAACCAATTTGGCATGTCACCGATGTTAGTTACAAGAAGTCAATAATAAAAGGGAAAACGTGAGAGTTAGTTTGTGAGGCCTCGTTCACAATATTCAAGGTTCGTTACAGTCCTTAATTCTCATTAGTTTAGACTTATTCTGCGTGGTTGCCGAGTTGTGGAATTGTGTGCATACCGGTTTCTGTAAACGTTCAAACAGCTTGCATATGGCCAGCATCTCCAGCGTTTTGAGGCAAAGCACAGTGCTCGAAATCTCGCTTGAGTTGCCCGTTGGGGTTAGAATTGGGCTGGATCGAGGTCAACGGGCATTGCTATCCACAATTTGAGGATGTATGATGCTACTTGTGAACGATGGATTGTGATCTCGAATCCGAAGAGGCCTGGAGATTATTTTGGGTATTAACATGAACACACGCCAGATAACGTACTATCCAAGCAGTCACGGAATTGCCCACTTAATTGACAGTCTAAATCACAACTGAGGGCTCTAGGAAAAGTCAAAAATTCCGCAGCAAATTAATCCAGTCTAAACTTTATTTCTCTGGGTTTAGCCTTTGACTTTTATAGCTGCTTTATGTAAGTTTGTGGGGCTGAAAGGCTCTGCGCTGAAAGACTCTGAGCGGTGCTTGAATTTACCCGAAACCTAATCCGCATCTGGAGAGGAGAGACTAACTGACATATGGATAATTTCGAAAATATTTCCTGAGTAGTTTTAATACACGCCGCATATGAACAGGAACAACAAGTACGTAATAGTCTCAGGAACGCAGTATTCTATCCCGGGTATTCTCGGATGGTCGTGTTCGCTTTATTATGCAGGTACGAATTTTGCATCCCATGTTTAGCCTTCAGATTTGAGTACAATTTTGCAAAATTCATGTTTTTGGTAAATTACGGGAAGCCTGAAATTACTCCTCGCATGAGAAGTTGAAAGTCATGGGTCCAAATATGTCATATCTCAAGATTAAACTCCTCTCATTTCAGACCCACCACTTTCCGAAGCCTGAAATGATCTACAAAGCCGCATTATGACGACTAGGACATCATACCCAGGTCTGTACATCATTGACATAGTCCAAAATACCATATTAGGTCATCTGAAGTGTTAACACGACTGAAAATATGATTTTACATACCGTAATCTGTAATATCCAGCCGCATTTCCAGCTCTAAACTCCTGTCATAACAAACAGCTGAATACTCGATTCTTAATGTACCCGTCAGAAAAAGGCAGATACTCAAAATTGAGGTAGACACCTCCTTGGTGAAGCACCATCGAGTGTATTTTTCAGGGAGACAACTCAATCAAATACCTCATTTCTGTTCAAATCCCCAATTCTTTCCTCATGCCTCCTAGAACTAGATCTTCAGGCAAGCCAGTTGTTACTCCCAAGGATGTAAAGCCTGTCAAGGCGGTAAAGCCCAAGTCGGCTACCAAGCCAGCCCCTAAGGTCAAGAAAGACGCGTCCGAATTGTCCATCGGTGATCCAATTCCAGATCTCGTTTTGCTGGATCAGAACGGGAAAGAAGTTAACCTAGTTGATTTAGCAGCGCTGAAGCCTTTGTTGGTGATTTTCGCTTATCCACGTGCATCTACTCCAGGGTGTACCAGACAGGCCTGTGGATTTAGAGACAATTATGCTGGATTGCAGAGCAGCGCTACTGTGGTGGGCATTTCTAAGGATTTGCCCAAATCACAATTGAACTTCAAAGTTAAGCAAAAATTGACTTATGACCTTTTAAGCGACCCTAAGGCTAGCTTGATTGCTCAGCTTGGAGCTGATAAGCCTGGTTCAACAATCAGATCCCATTGGATCTTTAAGGATGGAAAATTGATTAGGTCGCACGTCCAGATAAGTCCAGAAAAGAGTGTTTCTCTGGCAAAGCAAGAGGTTGAGGAACTTGCGTAAGGTGAGGACTCTTCTTGAAAAGTTTGCAGTTATTTTTTGACATGATTTTTGTTCCATTTTTTTTTATTCATGTCGAGCGCTTGACAACTAGAATCGTTAAAAAAAACACAACTTAGAGCTACAGGGGTTTCTTCCAAAGAGGCTACTCAAAACTTAATATTTTTATTTAACAGTTCTTACAAGCCAATGTGTAGGTATATTCCGAGGAGCACAGCAGGAACTGAGGCTAGAAAATGCATGGAAAGTAAAACTTTTAAACATATTTCACCTATAATGAGATCATCACTAGATGGAATAAAATAGAGTGACACTTTCTTTCGCTGCAATCAAGATGATCGCCGTTAAAAAGTCCACATGTATGACGTTTCTGGGGCCGATGAGCATTGGCTTCGCTCGGATCACATGAATGCGATAATGGGACGTTTAAGGTTTCTACACGATTACAGAAAACGCATATAGGCCGCAGTTGAACAGGTTACCACAGGCGGCAGCAGAAAAAACCTTGCCAGGACCGAAGAAGCGGCGAGCAATCGGCGGTGCGGCTAAGTGTGATCCCAGGGGCACGTACGCCTTGGAAAAACATGCTTCTGCGCCCAGATCTGAAACAGGGCGCAAACAGAATTTTACGTCCTACATGACTGAAGTCTTTTTGGGATAAAAATTTGCTGCATTAGTTCAGAAAACAAGTTGTGCTTTATGATCCCAGTAAAAAACTTTCATCAAAATATTCGAGGGACCTTGAGACATATGGTCCCAAGCGCATTACCCCTCGATTTCTCCATTCAGCTTACCCAAAAAACAAAACGAAACTCTGTCAGACATCCCACATTAAAGTAGGCGGCATGTACATGCGACTCCTGGCGTATAATTTATGCCTGGGGAAGAAAAAGCAATACCCGCCCAGCCCCCTTCCCCCTTCTTCGGAAGTGCGCAAGCAGATGTTAGGTATGAATTTTCCCAATGTGCAATAGAAGGACGATCATTCGGGGGAAGATCGAATTTTTCAAGCCGACGGGTACATCCGGGGACGAAAGGCAGAAAGCAGAATGGGTTAAGCTGGCCGGCTCCAATTTAGGCAATGACGCCCCTACCGAAAGGGCTCGCTAGCGCCCCCGGTACAGCATTCGCAAAGATATCGGAACACTTGTTGCGCATATAAATGCGAACAAAAAAATAAAAAAAAATAATAAATTACATTTTCCGAAGCAAAGTTTGCCTGGCTCACCGAATCAAATTTTCAGTGTTCATGAGACCTGATCAATTTCAACAATGCACACCGTCTCAATGGAATTTCGTTTAAAGCTTCAGTCGTGTTCTCTGTACATATCCAGAATTTCACTCACATGTACCCGAGAAAGCTACTCCAGCACCGGTTTGTACCCACATCTAACTCGATCACACCTCCCATCTATTTGCTTTTTGTTTATGTCGTAGGCGGGAATGGTATTCCGAACAAAAGTATATTTAGTTTGTAAATATATTCAACATGTAAAATAATTATCCGGGTCGACGTCCGGCGGCAGTGCAAAGACTCAAATTTCATCACAATACCTATGCATCAGAATGCGCATCGCAATGCATCTATTAAGTTGAAACTGCTTCATCATTCTTGATTCGGGAACTTTTATGTTGCCGGTTGGCGCTCGCCTTGAAATAACGCTTTTTTGGGTTTTGGGCCGCACTGGAGTGCATACATATATAATCAAGTCAGCGATTTCAAGAGGGTTCGTGCGCGCTGAAGTTGGACTACGCCTGTTTTCGTAGCACTCTCCTACTTTTTCACCCATTCTCTTTCCTTTAAACTTTTTGAATTTTTTGACACACCTTGTCGCTGCTGTCAACTTGTGACCCTTGGATAGCAAGAAGATGAAATTGGGCGCTTGTTGAAAAGAAAATCGACTAATACATCCTTTTAATTGATTTGCGTATTCATCATCCTGGATCCTCTTTTGCAATCACTTTTCTCTTCAAACCTCGTTGCTAACTTTTCGCCGATCCACTCTCCTTGACTGGCATTACGTTTGAATAAAACTTGATACCATTGGCGAATTTTTGTTTTCGAGCAGTTACCAGCCTTGATCTTTGAAATTTCACCAGTCTCAGTCCCAGTCGCCCGTTTCACCGGTTGATCGAACGAATTGGGCTTTAGAACTTGGGGGATCTCACTGAACTACGCAGGTCCCGGAATTCAGCTGTGCTAAATACCACCGGATTGCGGTGGGTGTATATTTTTTCTGTTACCGAGACCTTATAAATAAAGACCATCACATGTCGAAGCGAATCAAGCTCCCCGGAGTGGATGACCTATTCCAGGAGCGGAACCAGGACCACCAGCAATTACAGGCTCAACAGCAACAGCAAAGGCAGCAGGTTCAGCAGCAACAACAGCAGCAACAACAACAGATGCACTTGCAGGCTCAAGCTCAGGCTCAAGTTCAGGCCCAACAGCAGATACAGCTCCAACTACAGATCCAGCATCAACAGCATCAGCAGCATCAACAGCTCATGAGCCCACCGACCCTGTCGGAGAGTCCGCAACCCTCCTCCGGATCTACACCAGCACAATCAGCCATGTACTACAGGCCACCTCCACCACCACCGTTCTATCTGGATTATAGTTCATATTCACAGCCGCCTCACCTTCAGCAGCCCCAACAGCATCCTCCTCTACAACATCCGCAGTCGCAGCTCAACATACGACAACCCCAGCCCTACCCTCCGCATCTACAGCCAATCGGAGGTGCTCCAATTTCGGTTCCACCTCCACAGCAAAACCTACCACATATACCTCAACAATTGCCGCATCATTACGGGCCACAGGGGATTCCAATGGCCCAATCCCCACAGATTCCGCCTCAATTGGGGTATCCGTATCCGATGATGAGCATGAATCTTCCTCCTTACCAGTACGCTGTTCCGTCGCATCTTCCTCCACAGCCCCAGATGACGAACTCTGCGGCCAGAGGAATATCTCCAAACCCGCTGTTATCAGTTTCGAAACAGACGAATGCTTGGAGTGCCGAAGACGACAAGTTACTGCGGATTCTGAAGGAAGAGAAGAAGTTGGGCTGGAGAGAGATCTCGTCATATTTTCCCACCAGGACCCCAAATGCCTGTCAATTTCGCTGGAGAAGAATCATAATTGGAGTTGCTAATGCTAATCCTAGTTTTTCCAGTGGTGGAAGCAATACCGCAAGCAGCGCAAGTTCTGTGAGTGGGCATACCAGTGGGCCTGCATCAACGACCTCAAAGGAAAACGGAACGGATAACGTGAAGAGTGATGCCGTTACTGAAAAAGATGTTGACACTACTGCTGTCACTGTGACAGAAGATGAGACACGAGAACCTACTCCGGATGAGACTATTCCCAAGACACACCAGTCGCCTATAGCGTCAACAGCACCAACAGTGCCAATGACGCCGACTCCGACGCCTGCTCCGATTTCTACTACAACTTCGGTTACAATTGACAAAATCAGCTCTTTAGAGCAGCCTTCCTCAGTTGAACCTGTAAAAGAGGTTTCTAGTTTGGAGCCCAAATCGGAGCCGAAACCAGAGTCCAAACCAGAGCCCAAGACGGTATTGGCTCCTCCCCTGGAACTCAAACCGACAGTCGAGATTACCGCTGCACTTTCCACGCCGAAGGAAAAAGTGGTCGAGCTTGAGAGCTCCAGCGAGTCACAATATACTTCTACTCCTGCTCCTGAGCTCAACTTCAAAAAGAGATCGTTGAATGATTTGCTGAATTGAAGATGTAAGGTAAGGACGAAAATTGAAGAGCCAGTTGGATTTGAACTAAAAAGGTCATTGAATGATCTGTTGAGGCTCTTCATCCTGTATAGAGAAAGTAGACTAAGTCATATGTACGTCATTTGAGAGAAGTGTAGGTTGGTCAAGGTCGATCAAAGGTGACTTGAAGCTCAATGCAAGGCCTATGCAAGGTCCATGCAAGGTGAAATGAAGGTGAGCCCAAGCTCAATTTAAAGTCATTTCGAAATTTCAATCGAATTCAACTCAAGACTGACTGATAATTTTTGCTTAATTTTCAATCTGGGGTGCTACAGATGTAGTTGAATGCTTGACAGCTTTGGGGAGTTCAGGTGAAATTTCTGGAGCAACGCGGTGTTTTGTGTGATCGCGGAAAAATATCAATGGTACATTGTACTTGTTCAAATGAGAGAGAGAAGAAACTGATATTGACTAGTATTAAATCAGAAGACAATTCAGTAAAACAGAAGTCAAATAAGTTTCCAGTGATGCCATTATAGCTCCAATACCACACCATGGACTTAACCTAATCGGCGCTGACTTACCATGTATTCCAAAGATGCTCAGAATAAAATACAATAACTATCAGTATACTACTTTTCGTTTTTTTGTTATCCAACATAATGTAATTAGGTACAAAGATTAACGGTTAGACTTGGCAACACGCTCCAACTCATCCTTCTTCTTGATAGCATAAGAAGTGGAAGAACCCTTAGCAGCGTTGATCAACTCTTCGGCCAAACACTCAGCAATGGTCTTGACGTTTCTGAAAGCAGCCTCTCTAGCACCAACAGTCAACAGGGCAACGGCCTGGTTAACTCTTCTCAATGGAGACACATCAACAGCCTGTCTTCTGACGGTACCGGCAGAACCGATTCTGGTGGAGTCTTCTCTTGGACCGGTGTTGATGACGGCGTCAACCAAAATTTGCAATGGGTTCTGGTCAGTCAACACGTTGATGATCTCCAAAGCATGCTTGACGATTCTGACAGCCTTCAACTTCTTACCGTTGTTTCTACCGTTCATCATCAAGGAGTTGGTGAGTCTCTCGACAATAGGACATTGAGCCTTTCTGAATCTCTTGGCGGCGTATCTACCGGCGGTGTGAGAGACAAAGACTGGCTGTCTGATTTGAATGTAGTCGATCAGGGAGATGTCCTTGATGGAAACACCCTGGAAGGTCCACTTGTTGAAGAGCTTGATCTCGGCGGAGCCGGCCTGGATCTCCTCTGGGATAGGAGTAGCCAACTCGACGATTTGCAACTCAACGGGTTCCGAGATGATCTCTTCTTGTTCCTCGAGTTGTTCTTCAACTGGGATTTGTTCTTGCTCAACGTCACTCATTTTAAGTCTGGTTTGGTGGATGGGAAGTGGTGTTAAAAAGGGTGGTGGTTGGTGGTGAAACTTCTGAAAAATTGTCAGAGGTCCCGCCAGCCACGGTAGGCACCGTAGGGATATTTATCGTGCGCAACTCAAAATATTACCAAAAACATCGATGGTTACGCAGCGATTTCCTCAATTTGTGTGCTGATGTGTACGCGTGGGCAAGAGTTAATACAGTAACGGTTGCCAAACCGGGTAAAAACTTCAATGAAAAACAGTCACACAACACCATCCTTATCCGCAGAATTCCCACAAAGGCCCAATTAGGAAGGTTAGTGTTCAAAAAAAAACTCTTAACTATGGCAAGTCACGTGAATACTTGTTTCTTACATAATGTCTTTGATAATCATCCAATTCTTCGCTCCCGCGCACGACTATCGGCCAAAGGGAAGTTTGCGACCGGTCCACCCCACATTTGGAGGGGTCATCTTTTTGATACCGTGGAGGTGTTGATGGTATCATCTGTTACATGCGGGGAGAACGCTGTTAGTTAAACCACATCTCTTCTTCTTGAGTGCGGTTAAAGCTTCTCTTCTTGTTTCTCTTAATATTCTTTCAGTTCTCTCCAATCTTCAAATAATGGGCAAGACTTTCGAACACGAATCTGCACTACCCAATTTACCTGTACCGAGTTTGGTCTCTACGGCAGAACACCTTCTGGCAGCACTCAAACCACTGATTCCCGCGGAAGAGCACCAGATATTATTGGATCGATCTATTGATTTTGTTACTTCCGGTTTGGTGCGCACATTGCAGCAGTTTCTACTGGAATCGAGCCATTCGTCAGACGGTTCAAATTACCTGGATGCAGAAGGTATATCAGCATCAACACCGGGAATCTACGGCGAATTACGAGGAAACACTTTGCCAAGGAACCCGTTTTTTATTCTTGAAGATGACCCTCTCTCGAAAACAGCACTGCCTCCATCGCAGGCTTCACGGGCGGCTGTATTGGTGACGTCTGCACTGAGGTTCATATGTGCTCTGCGGTTGGAGCAGATATCGCCAGATGTGACCCCGAAGAGTGGAAAGCCACTTTCAATGAACTCCTATAAGAACCTATTTGGAACATCGCGGGTGCCCATTGATTTGGAAGGAAGACAGACGGGTGTGACCATCACATCTCCAAAGAGCCTTGATGATAGTAGACACATTGTGGTTCTATCGCATTCACAGTTCTACGTTCTGGAAGTGTTGACCGAATTCACGGAACAAGGCCACATGGTGTGGTTCTCTAAACATGAGTTGAGGGTTTTGCTGGAGACTATAATCGAAGATTCGGAAAGAAGCGATGTGGTTGATGCCACCAAGCAGTCGATTGGTTGTTTCACCACCGAGAGTAAGGGTGTTTGGAAATTGGCCCGAAGATGGCTGAAAGCAGAAAATGAAGAGACTCTGGACCTTATTGACAACGCACTGTTTGTTTTGTGTCTGGATCACGAGTCCCCGGAGACGGACGTTGAAAAGGTCCAGACTGTTTCCCATGGCACTTCCAAGTTGAACGACGACGGTGTTCAAGTTGGAACTTGCACCTCCAGATGGTACGACAAGCTGCAGATTGTGGTTACCAAGAACTCCGTGGCTGGTGTAATCTGGGAGTCCACGTCCATGGATGGAACATCAGTGCTGAGGTTCATCAGTGATGTCTACACGGATTCGGTACTACGTTTGGCAAGAAAGATCAACGGTTTGGATTATACTCTTTGGCCAAAGGGTGAGACCGTGAAGATAAATGATCAGATTGAAAAACCCAATATTCGCAAATTGGCGTTCAATCTTTCAGCTGAAATGCGCACTGGCCTGCATCTGGCCGAGACCAGACTCACGGATCTGATCAACCAGCACAATTATGTCACTCACATCATTCCCGACTTCGGCACAGATTTAATCGTCAACAAGATGCGGCTTTCTGCGGACTCCTTGTTCCAGATTTGCGTCCAGCTCACGCTTTATGCGCTCTACGGCAGGATCCCCTCGTCCAGTGAACCTATCTCCACGAGGAAGTTCAGGAACGCCCGAACGGAAACCATTACCATCCAAAGCGACCACGTGTTGAGATGTTGTCAGGAGTTCATAACGCAAACTTCTAGTCATCAGAAATGGAACTCAATTACCGATGCTTGCGCCGAGCATAAACGAAAAGTGAGCGCTGCCTTGAACGGGAAAGGGTTTGAAAGACATCTGAGTGCTCTGAGATCGGCCTATATTCAAAGAGAGTTGCTGTACAAGCTTCATCCTGACGTCGAAAGACATTCCGCCGAGGAGGTGCCACCATTGATATTCGAGCCTGCTATTGATCTGCTGTACAAACCTGAATTGCTCATTGCGAACTGTGGAAATCCAGCCTTGCACCTCTTTGGAGTCACACCCGCTGTCCCCAGTGGGTTTGGAGTTGGATATATCATCAAGGATGACCATATCACAGTGTGTGCCTCTTCTCAATGGAGACAAACAGATAGGTTTCTAAGTACACTGGGATTGGTGGTGGAGGAGGTGAAGACTTGTTGGCGTGCTAGCGTTCCTATGGAACGCACTGGTTCAAGAGCAAGGGAATTGGAGGTTAACTCGGTAAGGAATTTGACACTTGATAATCCTATTCTTGGTTCCGTTCCAGAAGCGTTGGTATCTGCTAATACCAGTTCTGCTGAGCCCAAACCGTATAAGGCAATGGATACCAGTTCCGATTACATCCTAGGTGGCTATGACTATTTCGATGTTGGTGACTTGGAGTCCCGCTCGGATCTCGTGACACGGGCCTCTAACTCGAGACTTGTTTCGAGGTCTGGATCGAGACAATTGTCCAGGGTTGGTAGTGCCTCCAATCTGAAAGACAGTGACGATGGAAAGATCAACAGCATGTGGCTGGGCCGGAAGGTGGTTATTCAAGACGAGATTTGAATAGCAAAGCGCAAAAAAAACCTAAATAATGAAAATTGAAATTCGCATTTCATTTATCAGGTTCTTTCATTTGAACTATCCGAAATTGGTGTTCGTCTTTTGATGTAGCAGGACCTCCTCGTCCAAACTCAGAAACGACCCCCAAAGAACTAAATTACTCACAATAAGACATCCTCCGGATATAAGGAAGTTAACCCACAGAAGTCCAATGCTGGCGAGTTTTCCAGTGAAAATTGGACCAATAGTGCGTGCTGCCGTCTTTCCCACCATGATCAGACCCAAGGCCTTCACCACATCTCGGTGTGGGAAGAGAGAGGTGGTAAGAATTTGTCTGGGTACAACGTCCATACCTGTGGTGAGCTGTTGAAGGGTTAAGAACACAGATGCTGTGAAAAAGTGAGTTCCGCAAAACGGAATGGCTATCGAGAATAGACCACATGGTATTTGTGATAGAAGTGACGATCTGATAGGTCCGAGACTTTTGGCAAGGTAAGCAGATGGGATTCCGGCCAAAGCACTAACAATTGAAGTTACGAAGAACAACGTGCCGAGAATTGTAGCTGAAATTCCGAATACTAGCTTGAAGTAATAGACCACCCATGCTGAAGGCATGAATCCCCAACCGAAGGAGTCCAGCATGAAGCAAAATAGAAGTTTGAACAGTTGAGTTTGGTGTCTTGGAGTTAGTCCCGTGATTGTGGACGATTCCAGATCATTCATTAAAGGAGAAGCTTCGGATAGTTCACTAGTTTCATTAGAGGTTGCACCAGCCTCTTCATTTTCGCTAGCTTCTTCATCAGCTTCATTCCCAACAGCACCATACTCAGGTGCAAATTCAGGCTCACACTTCCTAGACAGTCCAAATAGCAAAACCACTTTGAAGACAGCAACCAGACCATAAGCTAGAAAAATAGTCCTGAATGCCTTTTTATCACTCCACAAGTAGGTCGCTTTTAAATAGTCCACCGTAATACCACACACGATGGACCCTATGGCGGAACCAACGCTCGACAAAAGTCCATGTATTGCAAAAACTTCGGGCCTATGGTTTAAAGGTGTCAATCTCGCAATGACACCTTCCTCAATGGCTCTAAAGGGACCCGTATCAGTTCCAGAAGGAGATATAACACCAAATATGGCAGCTACTAGCAAGATAGTGTAGTTGGTGATGCCTGATGCAAATACCAATCCAGATAGAAACATCACCAAGGCCCCCGCCACCATTATGCGCCTGTTCCCGAGCAAATTGGCATTCCATGTGAGGACATACGATAGCAATGTATCTCCAATCATTGTCAGCGTCATAAACACTCCAATCTGGGGTTCGCTGATGCCCAGCGAAGCCAGGTACAGCGTGAGAACCTGGTTGCACAGTCCGAACGCCAGCATCCGGATGAACACGGAAATCCACAGGATCCGGATATCATTTGTAGACTCCGAAATAGATCTGATTATATGCATTTCCAATATCGCAACGGTCGGTGGATTTTTCACTCCTTTAGTCTGTTTGGCCCATCAAACTGAATAAAACTCCAGGTCGTGTACTTACAACCTCTTGCGCCGCGGTACCAAGAGGCACCTGCTCCGAGTCATAAATAGCAGAGCCCCCCAGACTTCGTAACAAGACAAGATTCCCTCGCGCAAAGCTTTGTATATTATAATTTTGACACACTGGTAGCTATGGCGTCACTTGAACAGAGACCACTGGATGAGGGAATATCTCTCGAAGACAGTGCTATCGTTTCGCCAAGCGGCTCCTTGCTTCTGTATGCAGATGGTGAAGCCAAGAAAAATAGAAAGCATGATTCCAAGCGAACGAAGAGAATGGCATGCGTCGAATGCCGGCAACAGAAATCAAAGTGTGACGCGCAGGTGCGAGCGCCAGAAGCATGCACGAGGTGCACCAAGAAAAGACTGCATTGTTCTATGGATACAGAGTATAAGAGAACTGTGAAACGAGACAGGGTAGCCCAAATGGAAAAGGAGTTTTTGGCTTTGCGCAAAAGTCTAGAAGAGGCGGGAGCCCAGGGTTTGATAGCGAAACATATGCCTGGGGTGGATACAGTGTTGGCCAACCAGAGACCCAGTGCGTCTCCCCCACAACAGGCCCACCAACCTGTATCGCAGCCCACTTTGTTCTTACCTCCAATAAGATCTGCTTTGCAGATGGACAACAGGACGATGTCGCCTTCTATTCTTCTGAGTCATAATAAGTCGTTGACTCCGCCAATAGCATCTCTGAATAATAGTCGCGATAATTCAGTTTCAGCAGCAAGAGATGAACATTCACATTTCAAGCGGCCATATGATTCGTCAACGGTGATCGACAGTGGACCCTCTGTCTCCAGAAATGAGGACACAGCATTCTACTTTGGAAGCCAAATTCCAGGTCCGAGTGTTGTGCCTAGAATGGAGTGTTCAGACGAAATGTGTGCTTGTGAGCCAAAGACTCTGGGAGAAGTCTCTCTGAACTCGCAACAGATAGCCGCACTTTATCGCGAATTCGTGATGAATTACCATCCCATGCTGCCTGTGGTTGATGTGCTGAAGGGAATAGAGAGACTGTTCAAGCTGTGTCCTGTTCTGTTCTGGACTATCATGTTCACGTCTTCGAGAAGACATCATTCAGAGACCATTTCCAAAGAGGAATCGCACGATCTTTATACCAGATTGTCCCCGATCCTGAAATCTGCACTTGCAGAACTAACTATTTCACCGATCACACGATATGCCCCTACAGAGCTTGATGAACCGATCTTGAATGTGTCGAGTGTCTACTCAGTCCAAGCCTTTTTGCTCTATTCTTTCTGGCCTCCACTGACATCTTCTTTATCTGCAGATACCAGTTGGAACACCGTCGGAATTGCCGTTTACCAGGCCATTAGAATAGGTCTTCATTTGCCAGGCCATTCCTCAGACGGTATCAAGACTTCAAACTTGGACTTGCTCGCAGAGCAGATGAGAACTTGGATCGCCTGTAATATTGTTTCTCAGACGGTAGCGACCACTTTCGGATTTCCAGGATTTACCCAGTTTGATGGGACTGTTTCGGTGAGTCGAAGAACTGGAATGGGTTCTGACATTCCCCAGGCATTGAAACAGATGGTTGCAATCCAGCATTTTGAAGACCAAGCAGCGAAAACGTTAAACTCAAATCCTTTGGACCCATTGATGCTAAGCAGTGCTTCTGATAAGTTGTCTTTACTTCAAGTTTTGTCAAGAGAACTAGATCAACTGGAGCTGAGTTTTGCTTCTGGAGACATGGATCCCATGGACGATGCTAGGAGATTCTCGCTTTTGGCTGCAAGATTGCACCTTTCAACTTACCACTTCCTGGACACCGCAAAAGTCGCAACTTTTGAGCTTGAAAGAGGGTTGGTGGTGGCATATAACGCAGCCCTAGCTCTCATATCGCACTGTAATAATGCTCAAATGCGCGACAAAAAGTTCATCAAATATCTTCCGGGAGTTTATGTGGTGACTCTTTGGCAAGCCACCTGCATCATCGCAAAACTAATCCACTCTCCTTTTGGTAGGGTGTTGGACATTGGAGGAGGAAAAGAGTTGTTCCAGGCTGCTGTTGATCTTATGATGAAGGCCTCAGTTATCAAGCATGATATGGCATATCGGTCTTCGGGAATCATGAGAAGCATGTGGGCGTTATTCAAGGCTCTGAATGATGCGGGAAGAATATCTGGAAACGGCGTCGTCGTGAGAAGCAGGATGTCTGCCAGTGTCTTTTTCGATTGTCTCTGGGTTCTACGGGAGCAATCTGGTATGATCAAATTAATGCCCAAGAGGCTCCATAAACAATCGGTTACCACTGACATGAATGGGGAGTCTGTGGTAGTTGTAGATGAGGAAGGAGAAAGCAGCAAAGAGACATCAAACGACCCTGAATCAGAGTTCGGAGATTACTCTTCAGAAGAAGGCGGCTCGGTTATTGAAGGAGACGACCCGGAGCAAATTTCACCCGAGAATAAGTCTTCCAAGAGCACTCCAACTAGCATTCCTTCCATGGGGTCTTCGCAAAGACGGAAAACTAGAACGCTGTCGGCTACCATCCATCCTGAATCTTCCGCAAGAAAAATCATTAAGACGATTCCACTGGACCCAAGACCAATATCCATAACCTCGCCCACTTCTACATTTTTACAGCAGGTGGTGAACCCTTCAAAGTCACCGGAGTCTGAAAAATCAAAGAGATCGCCAAATTTTCAGCAGGCCAACAGGGCAAGAGCCAAAAGACGTCATGCAGATATGGAGACGTCGTCTATAAAGTCGCCAATTATGATGGCAAAAGGACTTCAGGCAGGTACCCCGGGAAGCAGTCTTACGAATGGGTCTCCTGTAAGTGAGCCGCAGCCGTTGGACTCGTGGGACGTAGTGGAGAACTGGGATTCAGACGTATTATGGAGAGATATAGACTCGGTGATGAATGACTTTGGTTTCCACGCAGACGACACTACAAGGCACTCATCTGGTATCGAGACCCCAATCCACCCAAATATTGTTAAGAAATAAACCCAAATAATCAAGCAGTTTGTACAATTAAAATCAAAAAGTTCAGTATGCTCGCCTGCATCGTGCAGCATACTCAACGTGAAAATTAGTCATTTGGCGTAATTTTGAGCACGGCTGGGTTTATCCCAGACCGGCAATGGAGGATGAAAAAAGATGAATGTTCCACGAAAGGCACCACAAGTGTTGAGTTGCAAGAGCCGTACCGTGTGAAATCATATTCGAAAAAGACCTACGATGTCAGTTGATTTGCAGGATGCTATTCCGGATATTGTGATTGGTTCCATCGAGGAGCCGGTCGAGGAGGAATTCGGCTACGACCAAGAGGGCGAAGAGAGTGGAGACGAGCAGCTACCAAAGGCCAAGAAGTCGGTGACTTTCGCTGATTTGAGCGACAAAGAGGACGAGGAGGACGAGGAAGAGCTGAGGAGACAAGAGTTCATTGAAGGAGGCGGATTACCAGAACAGCCCGACAACCCAGACTTTTCGCAGCTGACACCCATATCGCCAGAGATCATCAACAGACAAGCCACCATAAACATCGGTACGATCGGCCATGTTGCCCATGGAAAATCGACGGTGGTGAGAGCAATTTCTGGTGTTCAAACTGTCCGTTTCAAGGACGAGTTGGAGCGTAATATTACCATCAAACTGGGTTATGCCAACGCCAAAATATACAAGTGTGACAACGAAGAGTGTCCTGAGCCAGACTGCTACCGCTCGTTCAAGTCAGACAAGGAGATTTCTCCAAAGTGCCAGCGTCCCGGTTGTAGTGGCCGCTACAAGCTTATCCGCCACGTTTCTTTCGTGGACTGTCCTGGTCACGATATTCTCATGAGCACCATGTTGTCTGGAGCTGCCGTGATGGACGCGGCTCTATTGCTGATTGCCGGTAATGAGTCTTGCCCACAGCCACAGACATCCGAGCATCTTGCAGCCATTGAGATCATGAAACTGAGACATGTGATCATCTTGCAGAACAAGGTGGATTTGATGAGAGAAGAATCGGCCTTGGACCACGAGAAGTCCATTCTGAGGTTTATCCGTGGAACCATTGCCGATGGTGCTCCAATCATCCCTATTTCCGCTCAGCTCAAATATAACATAGATGCGGTGAACCAGGCCATGGTGAGTACCATTCCTGTCCCAGTGAGAGACTTTTCCGCTTCTCCCCAGTTGATTGTCATCCGTTCTTTCGATGTCAACAAACCAGGTGCGGAGATTGAGGAGTTGAAGGGTGGTGTTGCTGGTGGTTCTATCTTGACCGGTGTGTTCAAGATTGGCGATGAAATCGAGATTCGTCCTGGTATCGTCACCAAGGACGACAACGGACGCATCCAGTGCAAGCCTATCTTCTCCCACATCGTGTCTTTGTTCGCCGAGCACAACGACTTGAAGTTTGCCGTTCCAGGTGGTTTGATTGGTGTTGGTACCAAGATCGACCCAACGCTGTGTCGTGCTGATAGACTGGTGGGCCAGGTGGTTGGTGCCAAGGGTCATCTGCCATCTGTCTACACGGATATCGAAATCAACTACTTTTTGTTGCGTCGTTTGCTCGGTGTTAAGACCGATAAGCAGGCCAAGGTCCGCAAGCTGGCAGTTGATGACGTTCTCATGGTGAACATCGGATCCACCGCAACCGGTGCCCGTGTCGTAGCCGTGAAGGCCGATATGGCCAGGTTAGCATTGACGTCTCCAGCATGTACAGAAGTGAACGAGAAGATTGCCCTGTCGAGACGTATAGACAAGCATTTCCGTTTGATTGGCTGGGCTACTATCAAGAAGGGTACCACTGTTGAACCGGTAGTTTAATAATATGGAGCTCTAATAAGTGTAAACGATAGTATGGCGATATCATGTAGATTCTTCATTTTTCAGACATGAGGCACAACCGTAGCTGAAGCATCCTTGTAAACCTCCGAAGAAAAGAACTTGGGAAGCGAGTCATTCTCTAGCAGAAAGTACATTTCTCTTTTAATCTCGGAGAATATTAACTCAACCTTCCTCAAGATGTAAAGAGAGCTGGATGTGGCTCCATCCAAAGGTGAATTTGGTGACTCAAATTTATCCCAGCCTTTCTGGTTTTCGCATAGCGACTCGTCTGCAGATGTGGAATTTGGAGACAATTCCTCGTCATTGACTGGAAAAAAAGATTCAGCCAATGGGGATTGTGGATGCATAAGCGTATTGGTGATTTTGAACCTCAGATCATGATCAATGTTCACCTCGTATGGAGCTCCCACAGTCAAATAAGAACTGTAAATATTATAGGCTTTGGATAAACACTCACTTGTAAGTTTGGAAATAGCTGCGTTTATTGTCCGATTTTGCATATCGGTAGCAGCTGCTGGAGGAGTCCTCTCACCTCGGTGAGGTACTGTCTTCTCCTGCTGTTTGATCATTAGCAATTTTCGCAGAGCGTTCATCTTCCTTTCCAAATTTTTGATCTCAGTATATACTTTGAGATTTTCTGAACAAAAATCTTCTTTAAGATGTGCTTCGAATAAATATCTCAGACCAGGATCTCTTAGCACGCGGAGTAGACTGATGTTAGGTATTGATCGACTATCACTGGAACTTCCCTCTGATGCTTCCAAGGAAGGCGGCTCAGGCTTAGAGGGCCCGTTACCTGTTCTGCTGGGAGAGGAAAATCTCTCGAACCTTTTTATAGGCCAGTAGGTTATCTCCCTACCCATTGGCCCAATGGTGTAGTATGCATCGGCAGTTGCAAGAAAATGGTCTTTCTTGTTAACGGAAGGAGGAGAAACAATCGGCTCAATAAGTTGGTCTTTTTGGAGCAATTCTGCTAACCCTACAGCTTCTCGTGGGTACATTGTGTCGGTACAGTCCATAAACCACTGGATCAGTGCTTTCCCCGTGAAGCAGTAGTCGACCTCACCACAGTCAAAGCTCTTATCCTTGAACACTCTCACGCCCTTATTAGAAACGTAATACTGAATCTGGGCTGAAGAGCCCGGGTTAGTGAAAAATTTGTGAGCAAAAGGAGAGACCATGGGAGTGACTGATTTGACCTGTTCAGGGCTTGGAAAAGTAGTTGATTCTTTCAAAGGACTCGCCGAAATGCCCGAACTAAAATCAAAGTGACTCGAGAAAGATGAGAATTCAAAACAGTCTTCATCATTGAGATCTGAAATGGGTGGAATCGGGTCTGGCCAGTTTGTGGGTTTCCAGACGTTTGGCTCAGCTTCCGTGATCTTAAGAAATATCAACCTCAGCAGGTAGTTGGAATAGATGATAGTATCTGTCCGCGGATCTCTGTCAAAATTGATCAGAATCATAGAGTTAAAATTGCTCTTCAAGATACTAGGCATTCGATTTCCCTTTATTCCAATAATCTTGCAAAAGCTGTGAAGTATATAAACGCCTTTTGGCGTGGGTTGAAGCAAACACCCTGCCTTTGGTTTATGTCTCGTCCTGTCTGTAGGACAATGCAACAGCTTTGCATCCATAAACAATTCCAGAAGCGACTTTGCCAGCCCAGCCTTAATCTTGTAAGATATAGTTGTATTTGTATCGTGTAGCTGGGAGCCGACACTGAGGTCTTCCATCTGGGAAACTGCTCTTTCCATGGTGAATGAATATGGGTAACTCTTCTGCACCTGAAAACCCAGGAGGGTGGTCTTTAGCTTGGCATCTTCTTTAAGGTCTAGGCATAGCAATAAGGTGGCAAACACGTCCTTGATATCCTTGGAGAATATTGAGCCGTTTCGGGTTCGGTTGAATCTTCTGGAAACGGTCTCGTGCAAGGTTTTCTGTTTAAGAGGCGGTGAATTCATAGCTAGAGCAGTGAGCGTGGGAAAAAAGCGACTCAGCAATCCAAAATGCAAATTCAAACACGTCAGTAAGACTCGATAAATACTGTAGCAGATCAATATATTTAAACCCATTCGAAATGTAAAACGAGTGGATCAAACGAGTAGATTTTGGTGTTTTAGAATCTATGCCGCATTGTCTGAAACATGATCTGCAGCTGACTCCTGCAGAGCTGCATGAGGCTCTACGATGTAGGAGATATATCGCGGCTAATAGGGACAAGTGTTTTATGGTTTTATATACCCCGAATAGGACATCGCAATTTGACAAAGGGGAAACTTAAAACCTGTTAGAAGATGCCAGAAACACATGTTATCTTAGCCGCAACCAAACAGCTTCGTTTTAGTTAAACGATAAGGTGGGAGTAGAGTGCGTCGGCCAATGGTAGAGTCGTTCGGTATAAGGCTTGCACACCGGGCTGATCCAGGATTTTGAATTGGTAGAATCTGGCCCAAAGTATAGCTCGATTGGTGGGTCTCGACACTTTCGGGCCCTTGTGCGGTGCTTTGCTAACGGTGCAAGTCGTTCCTGTCAGCCCACCGCTCCATAATATCCGTTTGATGTGCCCTCCCCAAAATATTTCCGCATTCCCTTTCCCCGCTTCCTGCCGCCATTGCCCTGGCGAGCTCGACCCAACCAAATGATCCAGTCTAGTAGTTCTAAAGCATTAAATCCTGCTATCCACAATGCTGATGGTGGTACAGCAATAACCAGGGTGCCTCTTACAGAAGCCTCGATGATACCCCCGATATTATACCCCCTAACACCCATGGGATCGGAACTGGGGGGATCGCTGCCATTTTCAACCGTGCCAGCATGGAAGCGCGCCAGAATAGGCTCCCCCCACCCCGAAATATCCTAATTCTCGTGGACTGCCGCAACCGCGTTATATTAACCGCACGGTGTTCCCTTTCCTCAACTCTTCTCCCTCTTCCTGTCCAATTTGCCTAAAGCTATCGACTTTGCTCAATTGAACACGTCATGTCCAACAAACACTGGAACTACACTGAAGACCTGGTCCTGCCCCACCTTCGTGGTTTATGCCGCACCAACCCAGACCTGCGGCTAATAGCCTCTGAGAGAGTGGTGTTCACCACGTCTTCGCCCGAGTCAAAGGTGATGATCCTTTCTGGGGGTGGATCTGGTCACGAGCCTTTGCACGCTGGTTTTGTTGGTGACGGTCTTTTGGACGTTGCTGTTGCGGGGTTTGTCTTTGCGTCTCCATCCACTAAGCAAATCTTCAGCGGAATCAAGTCGAAACCTTCTAACAAGGGAACTCTTATAGTCGTCAAGAACTATACTGGCGATATCCTGCACTTTGGACTTGCTGCCGAAAGAGCTAAAGCTGAGGGAATTCCCGTGGAATTGCTCATTGTTCAAGATGATGTTTCTGTGGGAAAGACCAAAAACGGTATGGTCGGACGTCGTGGTTTGTCGGGAACAGCCGTCGTCCACAAAATTGTAGGAGCAAAGGCGGCATCAGATTCTGGAGCCACTCTTGAAGATGTTGCGCAGTTGGGAAGAGACGTGATCTCCAATTTGGTCACTATCGGAGCCAGTCTGAATCACGTGGTGATCCCAAAGAAGATTTCTTCGGCTGACGATGAGATTGTTGAGTCTGACAGTGAAGACGAGCATGAAGGGTTGAAGGAGGACGAATATGAGATTGGAATGGGTATTCACAATGAACCAGGAGTCAAGAAGAGCTCTCCAATCCCGACGGTGGATTCCGTGGTGGAGGAACTGTTGGTCTATCTTTTGTCTGAGAGCGACAAAGACCGTTCTTATGTCAAATTTGACAAGAAGGACGAGGTTGCATTGATGATCAACAACTTGGGTGGAACGTCTAATTTGGAGATCTACGTTATCCAAGACGCCGTCTGCAAGAAGCTCAAGGAGATCTACGGAATCGTTCCGGTAAGAGTGTATACGGGTACTTTCACCACTTCCATAGACGGACCTGGTTTCAGCATCACGCTGCTCAATGTGACCAAGGCCGGTGGTGATAATGTTCTTGAGTATTTGGATTACCCTACCACGGCTCCTGGCTGGAACTCGGCTATCTCCACGGCCAAATGGTCTGCTGGTGAGACTGAAAACTTCGTTGTTGAAGACCCACAGGCTGAAGCAGCATATCCGACTTCGCAAGTCAAGTTCGACCCGGAGGTAGTTTCGGCTCTGTTGGAAGCCGGTGCTAAGAGTGTCTTGGCCAAGGAGAGCAAGATCACACTGTACGACACGGTTGCTGGTGATGGAGATTGTGGTGAGACGCTTGCAAGTGGCTCAAACGCCATCCTCAAGGCCTTAAAAGACAAAGATCTGGAATTGGGGGATGCCGTCAAGTCGCTTTCGCAGTTGACTGACATCATCGAGACTGCCATGGGTGGTACCTCTGGTGGTCTTTACTCAATATTTTTGTCTTCGTTGGCCAAAAGTTTCAAGCACACCGAGAAAGCCAAGGGTGGTTTCCAGGTGACATTGCCAGTCATGGCTGCTGCCCTAAACGATGCTTTGGAGTCACTGTTCAAATACACTAGGGCAAGAACTGGTGATCGTACGCTGATAGACGGCTTGGAGCCTTTCGTCAGAACTTTATCGAAAACAAACGATCTTGGCAAGGCAAATCAAGCCGCTTTCGAGGGCTCTGAATCTACGAGAAAACTGGATGCTAAGTTTGGCAGAGCCTCATATGTTGCCAAGGAAGAATTCGAGCAGTTTGAATCTGAAGGTGGATTGCCAGATCCAGGTGCAGTGGGATTTGCCGCTTTGATCGATGGCTTCACCAAAGCCTACACCAAGCTGGGAAGCAAGCTTTAGGCTAATATTCCGTTAATTCATTTTATAAACCTGAAAATTTTGATTGAATATTACCCGTACTTGGTAGACTATCCCAGAGGCTATCCCAGATTGTTGGTTGATGCACAACCTGATTTGGGAAGAGAAGACTCACTTATCTAAGTGATCAGTCCCCCCACCAACAACTCTAGGTATTTTCTCTACATTGGACTTCTAACAGAGTCCAAATTCGTTCAAAAGATGACAATTGACACGGAAATAGTTGATCTAAGATATTTGTCAAGCTCTGTTACTAACACGACGCTCCCAACTGTATTGACGGTGGCGGGCTCGGACTCGTCAGGCGGAGCAGGGATTGAAGCCGATATAAAGACTATAACGGCTCATGGCTGTTACGCCTTGACCTGTATTACTGCTCTGACGGCTCAGAACACAACGGGTGTCAAGGCCATTTATCCTACGCCCAAAGAAAGCATCAATGGCATCTTGGAGGCTAACTTTAGTGATATCAATGTTAATGTGGTCAAGACTGGGCTTCTGACGGCCGAAGCAGCTGAGTTATTGCCTAAATATCTTGAAAAATACCATAAGGGAAAACCTCTCGTTGTTGACCCAGTTATTGTGGCGGCATCAGGTGACTCCTTGGCAAAAATTGAGGATCTCAAAATATCAATTGACAATCTGTTTCGCAAGGCCACCATCATCACTCCCAACATCGAGGAGTGCGGTGCTATTGTATCCACCCTTAGAAATCTGAGCACAATTGCGCCGTGCAATATTTCCACTGTGGAAGACTTGAAGGTCATCGCTAAGACAATTCAAGAAGGGACCAAATGTGTTGGTGTTCTGGTAAAGGGAGGCCATTGTCCGTTTGATTCTGAGGGCATATCGGTCAAGGTTTCCAAAAAGAGCCCAGTTAGTGTGTTTGATGTGTTTTACGAGGGCCACACCCAGAACTTCACCGTTTTCAAGGCAAATTACATTGTTACCAAAAGCTCTCATGGGACTGGGTGTACGCTGGCTTCGGCAATTGCAGCCAATCTGGGTAGAGGCCTCAAGATGAAGTTTGCAGTCGACTCTGCATTAAAGTACGTTCATTCGGGAATTCTTTCGGCAGACAGCACCTTTGGAAAGGGATCAATCGGTCCTCTAAACCATATCTTCCATGTTGCTGCTCCAATTGCGATTGCGTCTGCGTCTCGTCTCCCTTTCACTGAAGGCCATTTCGTGGACTATCTCCTGGGACATCCAATAGTTAAACCTGTTTATGAGAGATACATTCACCACGATTTTGTTAGAAGGGTGGCAGATGGATCCTTGGAGCGTTCAAAATTTGAGCATTATCTTCAACAGGACTATGCCTATTTATTATCCTACGCCCGTGTTCATTCATTGGCCGCTAGTGTCGCGCCTGAGCTCAAAGATATCGAGGCGGAGGGAAGAATACTTCTAAAAGTCGCTGAGGAAATGGAGCATCATCGCCAGCAGCTGGAGAATTTGGGAAAAGACACCAGTAACATCAAAATGGGAAGAGCATGTCAAGAATATGCGGATTACCTCCTGGATCTTTCCAAGTCTGGAGACTGGCTGGAGATCAACGTAGCTCTTGCACCATGTCTATTGGGATATGCCTCTGCTGCCAAATGGGGATTGCAACTCTACCACGGAGATATGGATCCCAAGGATGAATACTACAAGTGGTTAGCGGATTATTCCTCGGATTGGTACGAGGAGTCTTGCGATTTGGGCAGACAAGTTTTGGAGTCACATGGGGCAAGCATCTCGGTCACTAAGTTGTCCAAGCTTGTGAAGATCTTTGCAGACGTTACCCAGTTAGAGGTGAACTTTTGGAGTGCCTCTTTAGCTTACGAGGGAAAATGAAATAAATACGGAGTCTATGCTCAATAAACTAGGCTATTTTGGAAAACTGAAAAAAAATAGTGGAGAAAAGGCGGCTGGTGGAGAGCAGCATGCACTTCGAAATAAATCTGGGGTTCGAATGCGCGTCTGATATGCACTACTGAGGGTTGGAACTTGGCACGAGCTAGATGTGCCACTCACAGAAATTGGGTCCATTTAACCAAAGAGAAATGTACGTTCTTGAAACTCAGTGCTCAGATCTTCTCACTAATGTTGATACATTCTACAAAGTAACCCTTTGGCGCAATCAAGTGCCTGGCGCTTGTTCTTCGGTCCATCCTTGCCCCCGCAAGAAACGATCTCCCTTCGAAGGATAGTCGAGTTTGCGTTTATTATTTCCAGAAAAGGAAGTCTGCACGAAATCGTGGGGTACACTCCAAACAATACGGAGATATATAGAAACATTTAATGATTCTATCTTTCTTCCTGAGTTTTTATTTGACAAGTTTTTCAAGATGTCAGCAGCTAAGCCCGCTATTGTTGAGGAGGTTTCTGTCAATCAAGCCACCGGTAGTGGTGATGGGAGATTGCAAGCGATCAGGAAAACTCCCGTAGCCACACTTTGTTGTGTTGGTATGCTTTCTATTCTTGCATTTGGCTTGTCCGGAAACCAGTTAAATGGCACAGTTCTCTCGAGTCCAAGACTCAAGCAGTATTTTGGGGGTCTTTATACCGGGAAAACTGGTTACGCAATAGAGACCAACTGGCCACCATCACTTAATGGTGTTCCTGTTTTATCGGGCGTTGTCGGTCAGTACTTAGGCTCGTACGTGGTAAGCAAAGTCTCAAGAAAGTCACTATATTTTGTACATCTGTTGTTCTCTGTTGGCTTAATTTTACTAGATCTTGCTGCAAGAGATTACCAGATGTTCCGCGGAGCTCAAAGCCTTGGTGTTATTACCAGCATACTGCAAGGATTTGGAGTTACTTTTGTGGCAGAAAATACTCCTGCGCACCATCGTAGTAAGGTTATCACGATTCTTAATGTTGCTTTCTTTATGGGTCCTCTCATCGGCCTGGTCATTAACTCTGGAAGCCTAGTGGGCAAGCCATGGCGCATTGACTTCCCGGCGACGGTCTGTCTGCAATCAATAATTCTGTATTTCTTCCTTCTTCCGGATGAACAAGACTCGAAATCTTGAGTTTGCAACTTGATAATGCTATAGAGAGAGAAAAAAGATAAAAACAACCTCGCACAAAGTAGCACTACATTGTCACAAAGCATGTTTAGAGCGTGGAATGCTTCAATTTCAAAGTGCATTCTAACGCTGGACTGCTTTAAAAGAAACTAAAGCAAATTTACTCGTGCTACGAGGTATTCAGCAGTTACGCAAAAAATACAACTCTATTACGTGGTAGTAATAGAGCAGCAGCTCCAAAATAAAAAAAGAAACCTTAGATTAGTCGGAAGATGAGCTTCTGAAGGGTTTGCGCTTCAACCATGTAAAATACCCTTTCCTGACAGTGCTGTGAATGATATCACCATCAACTGTAAACTTCACCTTGTCAAAGTGAAGAGGATTAACATTGTTCTCAAACATTTGGTCCATTTCAGAAGCAGTTCTGCCTTTAGTTTCAGGCAAAAAGGCTAGTGCGACGAAGAACAAGACTGCACCGGTAGCCATCCAAACGAATTGAATTTTCAATCCAAGATTAACCTCATCTGGGTTGTACAAGTATGGGATAAGATATCCCAAACCAAAGCCGACCAGATTGTTCACGTTAGATGCAATTGAAATTGATTTTGCAAGTAAACGGGAAGATGGAATTTCAACAAGAATAGCATAGGCATTTGCGCCAACTGAAAATTGATAAACAAAAGACCAAAGGAAGATGAACACAACAACCACGTACCCAGCTGCAGATGAACTTGCGTATGTCATACACCCAATAATGAGATTGCTGACGGTTAGAAAAGCAACACCACCAACGAACATGCCTCTTCTAGGGAACCTTTGAAGAATGAAGTACGACAAGATGTTACCTCCAACTGCAACTGTGAAGTTTCCCACAGTCTTTTCATTTGAAGAAGAGATTCCTGCATTTTCAAAGAAATAGTTGATGTAAGGCAACACAAAGCTCATACCGACCCATTGTTGACCTGTGATCACCACAGAACAAAGAAACGTTCTCCAGAGGTTCATTCCTTTGAACACTTCAAGATAGGAAACTTGTTTGCTCAGCTCGTGTTCGATAGTCTCCTTTTGTACTTGAGCAACCAGCTCATCAAAATGAGCCTCTTTATCATAGTCTGTGGTGTCACCGTAGAGCCGTGCGATGTTGGCTTGGGCTTTGTCCAAATTTCCTTTTTGAACCAACAACGTAGGAGATTCAGGCAAAAGAGGGGACAACATCAAGAACACTGATACCAGGATGAACTGAATCGCCATTGCGACGGTATATGACCTTTTGTCATCGATATCGGTGTATGATTTGCTGCACGCCATTACCGTGATGGCGGCCAGTAATTGACCAAAACACATGGAAAAATTGATACCAATAGCACCATAACCTCTGAGATTAGGTGGTGACAGCTCTGAAAGGTAAGGAGGCACAACAGTGATCATAATACCAACACTAAGACCCATTATGACTTTACCTGCAACCAAAATTGCAGCAGTTTTAGCAGTAATTTCAACAATCGCAGCCGCTATGGCAATAACACAGGCAACACGAAGTGTGTTGAGTCTGCCAATAACGTCACTCATTTGACCTGAAAAGAGGGAACCAAAGATCTGAGCACCTTGGGAACCACCGTTCCACCCCGACTGATAGACCGCTTTGATAACCCAGGACTGCGACCCTTCATTCCAATATCCGTAACGTTTTCTGAACCCCTCATCTCCCAGCAAGAGACTGAACAGTAACGCATCGATACCAACTCCAGTTGCACCAACATAAATAATCAGCATGTACTTGAGTACACCTTTTGCTTGTTTGATTTGCTCGAGAACAGACAACTTCTCTTCAGTGGCCTCTGGCTTCTCATTGAGTTCACTCTGGATGTCTTCCTCGTCCAGTTCGGCTACCTCTCTGTGCTCAATTTCTTCTTTCATTTTTAATGTGTAAAAAAAGACCGATTGCAGTAACAATAAAGAATCTCAGAATAAATCCGGGGTAATGACTTCGCTATTTATACCTCCACATAACAGAGGTAGTGCTGCCACAGGGGTGTAGTGGCGGGTGATCTTTGCGCGTAGATTCGCTGAATTGGAATTCGGTATTGGCTTTCAACATGTAAACAACCATGGGACGCCGGGAACACCGATGCAATTGACGTTTTCTTCCTCTCCTTCCACGCCCCTATGGTTTGGGTTTTTTCTTCCCTCTTCTGAACGGGAGGCAAGGTAGTACTACACAGTTTAAAAATAATTTTTGAGCTACCCTTTCAGCTACATCAGTGTCGCTTGACAGATTCTTGAATATACGCAGTAGCTGTGCTGAAAACTCAGCAGTAAGACCAAGCAGTAGATATGCAACTGAGTGCATATCCCCGTGGGGTACGCGTGATGACGTCTCAAATTAGAAAAAACAGACGCTTTGCGTACAGGAGGCGGATTACATCACACACTTTTTGTCACCCTTCCCCACACAATTTCCAATTTGAGTGCCTTTCTAAGTGATTATTGAGATGCAAAAAAGATTGGCGCGGGTATATGAAATATCTTGTAAGCTTACGTGCTTAAATTCTTGATGATTTTGCGGAGATAAATACATATAGTGAAATCAAGACGAACACAAGTCTTTGCTATCAGTCTTTTGAGGAAGCAATATGGAGCATCTAATTCAAGCTCTCTGAGAATTTCATTTTTTGTTTTGAAGATAAAATGGCGTCAGACGAACGCTTTGCACTTCTCAAAGTTCATCGTGCTTCGATTCCTCTTCTTGCTTCTTTGGTTTGGTGTGCAAAATAACTCTTCTATAAGATTTCATTGGAGGTGATCCGGCATCAGTCACTTCCAAAATGATATGGTAAGAGTAGCAGTGATCGTCGCCCAAGTATTTTCCCAAAACATTGTAGCATGCTGCTTTGAGATCAGGGACTGTAAAATGAGCTTTTCCTTCGGAGCTGTTGATGTCTATAGCGGCAACCTCTTTCTGGGCATTGGACATGGTTGCGCTAGCATCCCTGTACTGGAACCACTTGAAGCTCAATTTTCCGTCTCTTCCGGAATCTAGATCATAAGAAGCGGTTGCATCCAAATAAACTTCTGATCCAGTTTCGACTTGTAACTCTAAAGGTTTTACGGACTCGCTACCGTTGACAATGACCACTGGTGCATGGTTCGCACTTTCGAAGGACTTCACCGTCCATTGCATCCTGGCTGCAAAGTCGTTTTGAACATCTTCGCGCCATCTCCAAATAGTGGCCTTATCGCTTAGGTGAGTGATACCATTTAGGCCAACAACGTTATCGGTGACGCCAGCGTAATGGTTGAGGCGCCCGGAAATGTCAACCACGTCATAACGACCACCCCATCCACCATGCTTTGGATTTTCTGGATCGTTAAGTCCGTTAGGTATAATATGCAACAAAGAGGGAGTGTCACCTTCCATGATAAACATATAGTCAGGATAAACAGTCCCAAGGTTACCGCCTGCTTTCTGAATGTTTTTGGATATCCACTCTTTTGAAACAAAGTTTATGTCCGGACCACCGCTGTCGTAGCTGTTATATAGATCCCCTGATATGCCAACCCAGCTGGATAGGGCATATTGATTCCATCCATGGATAGATGCAATATAGAATAACCTTGGATATGTGAGTCTAATCCATGAACCTGCATCATCTTGGTCTGAAATGGAATAAACCCTGAGTTTCTCCACAAATCTCTCCACATACTTCTTGGATTTGGTTTTCGAGATCTCGTTCAGAGATTCTGCGAGAACACCCGCACCACCCCACATCAAGATCCAAATTTTTTCGGTATCTGGAGTCGCATCAACGGCTTTGATCAGATTTGCCGCGCCTTCGCTTATCTTTGGAAAGTCAAAGGCAAGAGTTCCATATACCGGATGCCCACTGCTGACAATTGAGCGAAGGTAATCAGCTGTAGGGAAATGTGGCGAATGCTTCAAAAGGTTTGAGTGATCTTTCTCATAGGCGTCAAGAATCGGATATATGTCTTCAACGTGAATTGTATCATTGAGCCAGTAAGAAGTGGTTGCCACAATTCCTTTGTAGTCTATCTCGTTGGAGTACAACAGAGCTCTGACTAGACTCTCTGCATCGTCTGGCTCGTTCGAGATATCTGTTAAAATGAAGGCCCTTGGCTTCACATCCTTGACAACCAATTGAGCCTGGATCAAAGTAAAGAGCAGAGCAGCACAGGCAATTATACTATATTTTATCATTTTGTCAATTACAACAGGCACTCTCCTAAGGACAACAAAAGAATGAATGTGAGAAAGACAGATGGGAAATCATAAGTAAAAAAGTGTCCCCAGATCGAAAAGGGAACGCGCTTAACATTTCTCTTCATGGGTTTCTTTGCGGCAGATACACCCTTGATAGCATTTACCCCGGGAGTCTACGATAGCCTCGATGCGCTGCTATTTTTCATCGGGCAAGCAAGCAGGCAGGCAGGCAGGCTCAGGCCATGCACGGGCTTTAATTTCGGTTCCGTCTTCTTTCGAGTGTTAGTTTAATAATAGTTCACTTTCAGTACAAAAAGCTAATTTTCTCAATGGCCCGTCAAAGCTTTGATCTCAGTGTCTACTTGGTTACCAATGCTGAGATGGTTCCCGAGGGAATCGATTTTGTCACTCAGGTGGAAAGAGCCATCGAAGGTGGGGTCACCATAGTCCAGCTTCGTGAAAAGAACCTGGAAACCAGAGAGTTTATAGAAAGGGCTAGACAAGTGCATAAGCTCACAAAAAAGGCAGGAATCCCACTCATCATCAACGACAGAGTGGACGTTGCACTTGCTATAGACTGTGAAGGAGTCCATGTTGGCCAGGATGATATGCCCGTTCCGCTTGTACGCAAGCTGATTGGGCCAGATAAGATCATTGGAGTGAGCACTGGATACGTTGACGAGGTAAAACAAGCCGCTTTGGACGAGGCAGATTATATAGGTATTGGGGCCGTTTTTGCCACCCAGACCAAGAAATTGAAGAAGATTCCGTTTGGTACTGAGGGTATCAGGAGACTTTTGGGCGCTCTCAAAGAGAGTAATGCCTTACACATGAAGACGTGTGTGATTGGAGGGATCAATGGCTCTAACATACAACGAGTGAATCTTTTGGGCAGAATTGAAGGCAAGAAGGTGGACGGTTTTGCGGTCGTCTCGTGTATCATGGCTAACAATGATGCCAAAACTGCGACTCTTGCGCTGAAACAGAAAATCGACACGTTGCCATCCTGGGCCACTCCAAAAAGCACTCGGTTGTCAGGAGATGAGATTGACGCATCAATTGGTGAGAAAACTCCGATGGTGCACCATATAACCAATGACGTGGTGAAGAACTTCAGTGCAAACGTCACTCTTGCAGTAGGTGGCTCGCCCATAATGAGCGAGTGCCGTGAAGAATTTGGCGAGTTTGCGAGCATACCGAATTCTGCGTTGGTATTGAATACAGGAACGCTTACGGATGCCAAGATGGACATATATATAGCTGCAATTGAGGCATACAACAAAGTGGGCACTCCAATAGTATACGATCCCGTCGGGGCTGGGGCCTCCGAGTTCAGGAGACATGCTGTTCGCCAGCTATTGAACTCGGGCTACTTCAGTGTTATCAAGGGCAACGAAGGCGAGATCAGTGCTGTTGCTGGGTTAACAAAGCAAATGAAGGGTGTGGATAACGTGGGTTCCTCGTCCATCGACGACATCGTTGAGATGGCTAAAAAAGTGGCTTATGATAACAAGTGCGTTGTGGTGGTTACTGGCGTTGCAGATGTGGTAGCTGGGTGTGTCTTTTCTGGTGAAGACGAGCCCGACTTGGAGTATAAAATTATTCAAGGAGGCCATCCAATGATGGGTCAAATTACCGGAACGGGTTGCTCGCTCGGAAGTGCAATTGCAGTTTCTGTTGCTGCCAACCCTGAATCCCCTTTCTATGCAACTGTACGGGCAGTTGAGAAATATAAAGAGGCGGGAAAGGTTGCGGGGACTCTGGCTTCCGGGACAAAGGGTCCTGGAACGTTTGTGACATCGTTTCTTGACGCTTTAGCAACGCGAGGTCAATAGTAAATTGGCCGAAGAAGTGGTCCATTGGTTGATTTTGTAGTCAAATTGCAAACGACAAATACCAATAACAACCAGCAAAGCCCAAAACCTCAATTGGCCGATAACCAATTGACCAGAAGTTTTCATTAATCACTTAGACTTTAAAACTTCCTCGGATCAATTCCACACTTAGACGTGCATGATGCGAAAGCACCACTAAGTCGCCTCGGCCTTTGTAAGGCTTCCCAAAATGATGCCTTTATCGCAACGGATCGGCATTTTTGTAGATACGGCGGCCTCGAGGACTGGTGGCGATTTTCGTTGTCATTCCGGGCTTTTCCTTACGAATAATTTGACACTTGTGCGAATCCCGACCATTCTACCTGTCAAAAAAGCCTTGAACCCACCACAGCTCCGATCGGTGTGTGGCGCGCACCAATTGCATAATCGCACGTCATTACCCCAGTTTGCTTGTTCTTGACGTGATAGACATTAATAATCAAATGGCGAAAGTTGGTTGAAAATGTAGTATAAATATAAAGGGTAGGGTTGTTTTCTCGTCATTATATTTTTCGTAATTTTTTGAGACAGTTTTCTTACAAGCTACAATGAGTCCATCAGCTATCCACACCGATCCAAACGAAGCCATCATTGCGTCTTTGACGCAGCAATTCAAAGATAAGGTTGGTGTTGGTTTCACAAAGAATGCCGTAAAGGACCTTCCTGCACCAGCCGTTAAGCGCTACCAGAAATATGGTGTTGATCTTTCCAAGGGTTATCCGGAGAGACCCACTGAAATTCCAGTTTTCCTGGACGAGGCCTACAAAGTGAGAGGAGAGGGTTTCGAGTTCACTGACCGCGGTATAAATGCTGATCCTGAGAAAAAGGCTTTATTCGGGGCAGCCAAAGAGGTTATCAATCTGACCAAGTACATTGGTACTGAAATTGTGGGACTGCAACTTTCGGAATTGACCAACCAACAGCGTGACGAACTGGCCAGACTAATTGCTGAGAGAACGGTTGTTTTTTTCAGAGACCAGGATCTTTCTCCCCAGAAGCAATTGGAGTTGGGTAAGTACTTCGGTACTCCCGAGGTTCACCCTTTGGTTCCCCATGTTCCAGGTTTGGAGGGTATCACTGTTTTGTGGCCTCACCTGCAGGAGCTAGATACCGGGAAGGCTTCCTTCAAGCATCCGGTTGGAACTGCTTTCTGGCACACCGACCTGACCCACGAATACCAGCCCCCAGGAATCACTCATTTGCACAATGACACCATTCCAGACTTGGGTGGTGACACTATTTGGGTTTCTGGATACGGTGCTTACGATAAGCTGTCGCCAGCTTTCCAAGAGTTCCTGGACGGTAAGACAGCCATCTACAGTTCTGCTCACGCTTACATCGACAGAAACGACCCATTGAAGGGTCCAGTTCATGTTGAAAGGGAGCATCCTTTGGTCAGAACCCATCCTGTCACAGGTTGGAAGGCGTTGTTCGTCAACAAGAAATACACGAAGAGAATTGTTGGTCTGGAACCACAAGAGTCGAAGGCCATATTGGACTATTTGTTCAGCGTGTTTGAATCCAACTTGGACCTACAGGTTAGGTTCAACTGGAAGCCCACCAAGCCGGGTGTTGGTACCTCTGCCCTTTGGGATAACAGAATCAGTCAACATTTTGCAGTCTGGGATTACGAAGGTACTGAACCAAGACACGGTACCAGAGTCACCTCATTGGCTGAAAAGCCTTTCTTTGACCCAAACTCCAAGTCTCAGCGTCAATCTTTGGGATTGCCACTCAATTGAGGCTTGAAAGTTTGAGTGAAACTTTTGCACTTCTGATACTTTGTATTTTGTCCATGAGTTGTTGCGGGTTGTCATAATCAATATGGTTTATTTTGTGAAACTGTGCGTAGTCATTTCTTCATTAATGTTAAATCGTCCGTAAATAATTATCTGACTGTGAATCCATTATCCACAGTTAACGTTGATCCAGTTATTGATTCGTGCTCGACGAGAAACATTACCAGATCAACGACATCCTTTTTGACATCGCCCTGTAGCAACTGGTCAAACAGCTTGGAGTTCACCATTTCACCCATATCTGTCTCCATAAGCCCTGGTAGAATTGCGTTGCACCGAATCTTGCTCCTGGTGAGCTCCAGCGCAAGTGCTTTAGTCATTCCAACCATTCCTGCCTTTGAAGTAACGTATGCTACCGAACCGACCATGGGTCTCTCAGCCAAAACAGAGGCAATATTGATAATTGAGCCGTTTATTTTTCGCCTCATCATTGCCTTGGCCGCAAGTTTTGACAGTATGAGGCTGGATGTCAGGTTGGTGTTGATCACCGATTGGAGCTCGGTAATGGAAGTATTCACCACCAGTGACCTATCTGTTTTCCCGGCGCAATTCACTAGCAAATGGTAGTCTTTGCCAATAAATAGCGGTCCAATGGCATCTTCAATCAATTCTGGCTTCGACAAATCGAGTGGAACATAGTTGTGTTGTTTGGGGTCTTTCAGCTTGGATATCGTGTCTTTGAGCTTTGGTTCGTCTCTCGCAACCAGTGTACACGACCAGCCTTTCAAAGCCAGGGCATCTGCTATCGACTTTCCGAGCCCTCGAGACCCTCCAGTGATCAAAGCCTTGGACATTTTGACACCGAGGTGTTATCTACCGAAGGTCGTAATAAAATGCATCGCTACAACAGTTCAGCACAGTAAGTGGTAGTGTGCGGCGTAATCTGATAAAAGACGAAACGGCGAAGCGCCGAAGCTTTGGGCGTGGATGGCCCATCCACGGCAGCTGGCATGTTATAATTCTCGCTGCAGTAATTGTTTGGAGGTATGACGGCATCACATCAGTAGGCACAGAATAGGCGAGGCAGTTGGCTTCGTTTCTTGTGGCTTGAGATTAAATGGGTGGTTTTGAAAAACTCAGAGGCGAGCCAACAGGGTTTCGAAGTATATCTCAAGTTTGTTCTTTGAAAGTGTTTAGGGTGTTTAGGCTTTCACCGAATAAACCGATTATAGCCGTATTCATAAAACCTATTTCTCTTGGATGATACGAAAGGAATAGCGATAACCGGTGATACGGCTCTGCTCATCGCGCCAGGAACAGGCCTAGAGCAGTCTGGGAACCGTCAATGCTAATATAACACTGGATAAAATACTTTGAAGGAAGGGGTGGCGATTGCAGCGATTTGTGTCCGAAACAGGACCGTGCCGGGAATAACCAAGTGAAACCAGGGGACGTAAGGATTAATAATGTAAGAAATGCGCATCAGCAGTGACAGGCCAATCAGCATCGAAAAATTTGGAATCTCAAAGAATATTTACAAAGCTCGTACATTCCTTCGCATATAGTGTATCATATGACACACACCAAATCGAGTATTCAGGTGATCATCTCCCTGTGCATAATTTTGGTCGATCTTAACACTCGCCTGATGACTTTAACCGACAACAAAACCAATAGATCGCTAGACTGCATGAATAATGCATATCGTTATTGCCGGTCATGTTGGGGCAAGGGTTGGGGATCACGAAAAAGCTGCATAGTCGCTTCTTCATATGGTCAATTCTCCGTGAGCGATGGTCCAGGGATCGATTTTCTCCGGCCCAGAACAGATTGATGTCGACACGTGCATCGGTTAAAGTTAGGGTCCAAAAGCAACCGAGGATCGATAGAAAAAATAATCGAATAACGAGTCAATTTTTTTAACGAACGCTTTTGATACTAGATGAAAAAACCTAAATATTTTTCCAAGAGATGCCGCAAAAAGAATTTCCGAATAAAAGTTTAATTCAGTGGTTAGCCAATGGCCTTTCCCGTTTCTTGTTTTTAGTTCCTCGACCCAACAGCGAAGCAAAGCGCATATGATGTCTTGATGCGCAGGAGCGAAATGTATTGCGCTGATCCATCAAAAACTTTAGGCGGCAAAAGAGAGCCTAACAAGGCAGGTGTATGCAACATTTTACACAGCACACGTCTGTGACTGCAGGTTGGGTCTCCGACGACGGTGATGAGCAACGAGGCGAGCGAATCCAACTTGGTCTCCTTTTTTGGAATGTTTTGGTTTTAGTCTGTTCTTCAATACTTCTGTGCTGAGTATATTTCTACCATAGAAAAGCTTCAGTAAAAAACTCGCCAAACTTTCTCAACCCATCGAATCAGCCTAATGCAGTGTCGTACATGCCGCTCTGCATTATAATCTGACCATATCTTCTGTTGAGTCCGCAAACCTCTAAAACCTGGATCGCCTAGACGTGTGGCGCGCGATCAAAAGGCTTTAGGCTTCGCTGAGTTCCCGGTTAAACGGGGCTAGCCGACCCCACCAGTAGTGCCCGCAGCGAAATTACTTTCGGTGAAAGTTTTCTTGGATTTCTTCATTTGACTTTGAGAGTGCACGATTAAAGCGCTTGTCAGGTTTGTGTTGTAAGTTGAGCTTTCCCCCTTTGCCTGCGTTCACCTCTCCGCTTCTGAAAAGCAGTCAATATATCTGGCGTCCACTGCAATAGAGGGTGATAAATATAAACAGAGTGTCAGCAGTTTTGAGCTAGACCTCTTTTATTGTGCGCCTTTGCTCTCTAGTCACGTTTTTTCGCATCTAGACTTGTTCCGGGCCGGTTTATACAACCTGTTGTCCATTTACTCACTTGCCCAGAAGGGAATATATCGCGAGGAAGGGTGAATCGTGGTTAGATCCCCGAGAAGTTTCAATAGGTTCTCGTCATTTGTTTTCAATTACACTCGGAAGTGAACTTGCTGTCCTCGTTTAGTAAACGAGACATTGACTGGTCAAAGGCGAATCCATACTCAAACGTTGCTTACTGAGTTTTCTTATTAACAATTACTCTGTCGATAGACATTGCTGTCTCTGCGTTCCTTTGACTTTTACATCTCCAACGAGCCCTGTGATATTTAAAGGGGAGCAGGTTCGGATCTCATCTGTCTGATTGAGGTATTTGCCTTTATTTGCTGTTTCCGATTTTGAGCTTCGTCAATTTATTTGGCTATTTCTCCGTGGTACGCCTTTTGTTCCCAGTGTATCCTCGAAAGAGTTACCAAAATTTTTGAGCTGACAGCTAAGGGGTTGTCAGAGGATATTTCTTATCTTCTAATACTATCGCAAACGCACACCAAACATGTCCAAAGAACCAAAGAAGTCTGCCTTCGTGCAGAAGCTTTACACGATGCTATCGGATCCAAATCTGAACAATTTGATATGGTGGACCAGGCGTGATGACGGCACTTTCGCCCTTTTGCCAGGTGCCGAGTTCGCGTATGCCCTCACGGGCTATTTCAAGCACGGAAACGTTGCCTCCTTCGTGAGACAACTACACATGTATGGGTTCCACAAAGTTTCGGACTCAGAAAACAACAACAGTACAATCTGGGAATTCAGACATTCAAGCGGAAAGTTCAGAGAAGGTGATGAGGAATCGCTGGCGTATATCAAGAGAAGGTCGTCTTCAAACGCGAAGAACGAAACTCAACAACCAATAGCTTATGAACCAGTGTATTATGTCCCACAGCACCAACCACCACATCCTCACATCCAACAATACCATATTCAGCATCAACCACAACATCAACCACAACATCAACCACAACATCAACCACAGCATCAACCACAGCGGGAGCCTCTTGAGCCTCGCAATACGCAAGTTCCAAATATGCTACCAAGACATAGTTTTGATACTTTGGAGTTGGCACACAATGCTGATCACGACTCACAGGCCCTCGTACACGGACAGGCACAGTTGAGACAAAACTCCGATTCGCTGTTGCTGGGAATACAGACTCATTCAAACAACTTGCTGCGAGCTGCTGATGTGATACCTGATTTGGTAGATTCGCCGTTTTTACAGCAAAACCTACGTCCTCACCACCAACACCAACATTTCCACCACCACCACCATCAGGCGCAGCAACAGTCTTACCACAATCCGATAGACGAAAAGCTTGCGTCCCTGAAAAATCTAGTTGACTCAAGAGACGGGATATTCAAATTCACTGAGGGTGGTAACAACAATCACCCCGTCAATAATAGGCAAAGACTGCCGTCAATGTTTTTAGACCCTCTGGCCCCGGACCCAGAGAGACCAGTACCGAGGTCGGTCCCACATTCATCTACAAATAGTCCAAGTGCTCTCCCACACTCTGGAAACAGCTTAAGCGGCATGCCGGGCCAAACATCACTGTCGCTGGGACACTTTGGATCACATGCATTGCACAGAAACAATTCTTCGATATCGTTGAGTGCCCAGATAAGACCGAGTCTTGTTGAGATTCACAGTGCGAATCCAAACCTGAACAGTTCGATATCAAGCTCAAAGTCGCAGCAGGACTCGATCTTTTCCAACAAATCTAATTCTATTGCATCGGTGGGACGGTGTTCAATTGTTGATCTTCTCAACGATGATAAGAGAAAGGATGAAACGACTGGGGTTCAGGAAGAAGAAAGTAATGATTCAGGGAAACGGAAGCTTGAGAACGAAGAGACGTTAAATAGGGAGGAGAAGAAACAAAGGGTTTGATTTTATTTTGGTCGAGAAGAGAATCTCGAAAGTGACAATTGGTCGAATGTTGTAATTATAGTCGAAAAGTTACAATGATGGATATCATGAAGGGACAGTAGAGTATGGATAAGAGTAGGCAAATCTCAGTATATATAGCAAACTATGACGGTCATAGCCGACAATCGCTTCAAATTTTATGGTATGTCCTTACGAATCAAAATCTAACATGACTATTATAGTATATATGTGGCTATGGTACAATGTTGGGGTCATTCCTTGCTTTCTCCCTCACTTCTTGATCTTCTTCTCAAACATCAAATTCGAACCGGTTTTCGCCTTTCTGACAGGAACATCGTCCTCTTCATCTGAGTTAACATCAAGACTAGGCTTGATCTGACGTTTCGCGACTACTCTCTGTGGATTCTTCGCCTTCGTCTTTTGGATCTTCTTCTCTAGCACACTGAACGACCTACTCTGAGGAATTTGTTTCTTCTTCTCGCGCTTGACATCCTTTCCCTGAATGAAATCAGCAACTGTGGAGTTCTCTTGCACGTTGCTGAAACTTAACCCGGAACCCTGTCGTATGATCGGTTGCTCGAGAAAGAAATGATCTGATTTTGAAGGTTTTGATTCTGCATCTGATGCGTTTTTCTTTGTATCATCCTTCTTGGAGGCATCTTCAAGCCACGAGGAAACCTTAGAGTTGATCATGGAGAGCCCCATTGAAAACTCCGCCTGCAGGTTTTCTTTTGACATGGGGGGCAGGCTTATTCAACAAATTGCTGCTTGAAACTGTTCAATAACTTCCACCAAGTCTGTACCTTTGGTTTGTCCCCTCGTTTAACACGCTCACCTTGCAATCTTAAACACTAATCTCTCAGACTTATTTCTGATACCCAATTTTTTTGGTCGTGCACCTTTCCCAATGCTGCCCGGTAGCTGCCACCCGGAGAACGTGTCACCATCTCAATCGGGCCTCTCCATTCCATCAACCAAGACAACTTGATCCTTCCTTTCGGCGTTAAAGGCATCCTCTAACCTTTGGAAGTTGTCCAAATTAAAGAGTTATGTTTTCGAGAAATTTAAAGCAATTGGCAAGCCAGGTAAGTTATATCCATTGGGTATCAAAATGCTCCCGAAATGCTAGAATTCCACAAATTCAGTCTCGGGGCAATGATTCCCCCTCAACGTTGACATCTTCAAGACCATGGTACTAACATTTGTTGTTGCAGTCCCTGCGCTACCAACGTAGGAATCTATCCATTCATGAATACCGTTCAGCTGCGTTGCTGAAGAGTGTAAGTGTCACATTTCTGTTGCTCTTTTCGATTCTGTTGCTAACCAATCTAGTACGGCATTGGTGTTCCAAACGGATCTGCCTCTGAAACCGCGGAAGGTGCTTTCCAAATTGCCAAGGACCTCAACACTGAAGATCTTGTTGTCAAGGCCCAGGCTTTGACCGGTGGTCGTGGTAAGGGCCACTTTGACAACGGTTTGCAAGGTGGTGTCAGACTGGTGACCTCTCCAGAGGAGGTGAAGGACTTGGCCGAGAAGATGATTGGCCACAAGCTCATCACCAAGCAGTCCGGAGCTGGTGGTAAGGAGGTTACCGCCGTTTACGTTGTTGAACGTAAGTTTGTCAGAAAGGAGGCTTACTTGGCCATTCTGTTGGACAGAAAGAACCAGTTACCATTGATTGTGGCCTCCTCTGAGGGTGGTATGAACATCGAAGATGTTGCCAAGACCAACCCAGATGCCATCAAGTCTTACAATGTTGACTTGGAGGCCGGTGTCACAGACTCTCAGGCTTTGGAGATTGCCTCCGTCTTGGGATTCACCAAGCATGCCCAAGACAAGGCTGCTGACACCATCAAGAAGCTGTACCAGATCTTCGCTGAGCGTGATGCTACTCAGATCGAGATCAACCCATTGAGTGAGACCATCGACCACGACGTTTTGTGTATGGACGCGAAGTTCGGGTTCGACGACAATGCTTCTTTCCGTCAAGAGGAGGTCTTCTCCTGGAGAGACAAGGCCCAGGAAGACCCTGAGGAAGTCAAGGCTGCCGAGTCTGGTTTGAACTTCATCAAGCTTGATGGAAACATCGGTTGTTTGGTCAACGGTGCCGGTCTTGCCATGGCTACCATGGATATCATCAAGTTGTACGGTGGTCAGCCAGCCAACTTCTTGGACTGTGGTGGAGGAGCCACTCCTGAGACCATTGAGCAAGCTTTCAGACTGATCATGTCCGAATCCAATGTCACTGGTATCTTCGTCAACATCTTCGGTGGTATTGTCAGATGTGACTACGTCGCCGAGGGTCTTATTGCTGCCACCAAGTCTTTGGGCTTGGAGATCCCAGTTGTTGTTAGATTGCAAGGTACAAACATGGAGAAAGCCCAGAAGTTGATTGCCGAATCTGGCCTGAAGCTCTTTGCCTTCACCGAATTGGACCCAGCCGCCGAGAAGGTTGTTCAACTCTCCGACATTGTCAAGAAGGCCAACGACGTTGGTGTCAAGGTCAACTTTGAGATCTAAGTAACCGCATTATTAAAGAATATGAATAAAGAGGTCATCTATTATGATACATCCTAGCACGTCCCCCAGTAGAGATGATTTGTCACGTGACCAAGATTCTGTTTGTTCCACGTACGACTCCACCTGGTCCGTATCTCGAGTCAAGGACGGTTTGCCACACAAGACATATCTGATTTATCTACACGCCAGCATGTTTTTAACCAGAAGTGAATATGATAGAGGTGTGAGCACCTTCAGTCCTGAAGGGAGATTATTCCAAGTGGAATATTCCATGGAGGCAATTAAGGTATGTGATGATGGAGAGTAAGCTCACGACTTGACTCGCAGTAATACTAACACCCGTCTAGCTCGGGTCAACGGCAATTGGAATCGCTACATCGGAAGGTGTTGTTCTTGGGGTTGAAAAGAGAGTGACATCGTCCTTGCTGGAATCAGATTCTGTCGAGAAGATCATGGAGATTGACCGCCATATTGGCTGTGCCATGTCGGGTCTAACAGCAGATGCGCGCAGTATGATTGACCATGCCAGAGTTTCCAGTGTAACACACGATTTGCACTATAACGAGTCGATTGGAGTTGAGTCGTTGACTCAATCCGTTTGCGATTTGGCGCTGAGATTCGGAGAGGGTGCTTCTGGTGAGAAGAGACTGATGTCGCGTCCATTTGGTGTGGCATTGTTGATTGCTGGTGTCGACGAAAACGGGCCTCAATTGTACCATGCCGAGCCTTCTGGAACGTTTTACAGATACGATGCGAAGGCCATTGGGTCTGGATCCGAAGGTGCCCAGGCAGAACTGCAGAACGAATACCACAGCTCGTTGACCTTGAAGGAGGCCGAGCTTTTGGTGCTCAAAATCTTAAAGCAGGTGATGGAGGAGAAGCTTGATTCTACGAATGCTCAACTAGCAAGTGTGACTAAGGAGGAGGGATTTAAGATTTACGCGGATTCAAAAACCGCTGAGATAATTCAGGAGTTGAAGGAGTCGGAGATTGACGAGGATTAGATGGTGTACTTTCATAGCATGAAATCTTTCGGAAACTGAATTTTCTGTACTTGAAATTACGAGGTAAGAAGCACGCTCTTTTCAACTGGCTTTGAAGAAAACAAGGTACTCTTTCAGCATCTCTGAGAAAGACCCTTTGGTGAATTGAGCACACACTCAAACGATTTTTTCATCTCTAAAACTACACTCGCTAAGCTCGCAATGTAGATTCTGGTGAAAATACTCATTCTAGTGCATCTAGTTGAATATTCCTGACGTATGCCTCAAGCCACATACGTTTCTTGCGATGCCATGATGGTAATCCGTTCAATGGTGATGTCTATAATCTCGATGTGATAATAAGGGAAACATATAAATGTACATATATGCATTTCTCAAGTAATATTTTGTTCACTCCACATATTGCGCATACTCAGGCAACTCCTTGATCTTCGAAGTCATGAACTTCTCGAGCTTTGTGGCATTCTTGTAGTAGGTCGTACTCTCATTATTGTACGACCTACAGTTGTTGAAAATGAGACGACAATCATAGACAAAGTCCTCGAATGTCTGGTAGCGATCGTTCTCCAACTTAGTCTCCATCGTGCTGAGATCCATCGGTTCTTTGATAACCTTGTAGTAGTCCGAAACCTCATCCTTGTTGACTGGTTGTGTGAATGGCCACGAACTTGGGTGGTTCTGCAATTCTGTCAAAATATTAGCCATAACAGCATGATGGGGGCCTCGTTTTGGTTTCTGTGCCAATTCGTCCATCTCTGGGGTCCATCCGGCCGCTTTCAGTTCAGGTATAGTGGATGCATCAATGGGTTTGGCTCCTGGTTTCATAAAATGTTTCAGTCCAGGACGAACCACATGAGATTGAGAAATTGATCTGATCTTCTTGTAGATGGCAGCTTTCTGTAGAACCAAAATTTTGGCGGCATCCAAATAACGTATCCTGGGAAGCATGGTGCACTGCATCAGCGTTCCTCCTTCGTAATCCTTGATATAACCCATCCAGGTGGATTTTGGCAGAGTGATTTCTTTGGTGAAGCCTTGTTTCTTGAAATAACCAATGGCATAGTTATCAGCATAGGTCAGAAAGTACTTGATTTTTGAAGTGTTTCTAACATAGTCCTTCAAGTGGTTCATCAAGTGCGCACCATAACCCCTCACCTGCTCGGTTGAAGATATGGCACAAAACACGATTTCCGCAAACTCTCGGCTCTCAAAAGGTCTATATGTTATTCCACCAACCACAGTGAGCGGTTTCCTCACCACTGCCATGGAAATGTGGGATCTATCGTATACCAAACGGGCAATATACGATTTGGGCATCTCGGGTAATTGTTTCTGGAAAATATTCTTCAACCCAGTTAGCACCATCATGTTCTCTCTGGTATTATCATTGTTCACCACTCGGAACTCAATTGTGCCCTCTTTTTCTTCAATAACCGAAGGTCTCTCTTTGAAGCTATACGTGTGACCCAGAAAGCTGAAGGATGTGGTGCGCTTCTTCTCGTCTTCTTCCTTGGTTTCTTCTCCATCCTTTTGAGCCTCTCCTTCTTCTTCTTCCTCCTCTTCATCTTCCTCTTCATCATCGTCTTCCTCGTCGTCATCGTCATCATCGTCTTCTGGATCCCCGTCGTTCTCGTTCTTGTCTCTATCAGCTTCTTCCTTCGGCGTGGCCACGTCCGATCCATCCTCCACCTTCATTCGTTTTGCATCGCGCTCTTCGTCCGAATCGAGCCTTCTCTTGCTGTCCGTTACAGCCATTCTATTGTACAGGGTGAATTGTTGCGGTAATATCTGCCTGCTGTGGAGACTCAATGTCGCGGTCGAGATGTTGAGGGACCTGTGGGGTGCGCGGCTCAAATCGCTTGGTCTATTTTGGTTGGTGCACTAAAAAGAGCAAAGAATCCCACAAAGACAAATGATTTATAGGACTTTATATCCTCAGATGGGTTGGAAAGCTGATACAATGCTGTGATCACTAGTTTAGAGTGGAAAGAAGATCGTTGTAAGAACGTATGTCCTTGACAATTGCAGGTTCTGTCAAATGTTTGGTAGGATTTCCCCAGAAATCCAACAAATTTCAAAAAACTAACCAAATTATCTTGCTCTCGACTGAAAAAGTTCTACCATTGGCCAATGCATAATTTCAAAAATCAACATTATTCAATACTACTATAACAATCCAGCATAATATAAACCCTGAAAGTCTCAATCTCGTCTCAATCTCGTCTAAATCAGGTATAACTACCCGTTTGGTACAATGCTGTTGCGTCCGCCTGCTAAAAACCATTTTCAGGGCTGTGCTAGTCTTACCTCATCACACAGCCTTCTACGTCATAATTTTTGACACGGAAGTACAACAAGCCTTCACGTTGCGTTTGGTGAGTTCTTGATCGACCTGGACAAGCACAGCTTTCCAGAGAGCAAATATAATTACTCAATGAAAACCATCAAAAAAAGAAGCAAGGAAGAGCATTTGCTGGAGGTGACGGTCATTCGCTCTGAGGGCTTACTTCTGGATCAGAATCTTGGCACCAAATGTAACCCGATCTGTGTGTTGTCTATACCCGAAATTTCTTCTGGAAAAACGTCTAAGATCAAAGGTTCATCATCACCTCAGTGGAATGAGACTGTAAGTCTGAGATTGGCCAAGGGAAGGGAGTCAGGGTTTGCCTTTTGTGCCACCATCTGGGACAAGCATCGCATCAAAAGGGAGTATTTGGGAGAGCTGCGGCTGCCTCTTGATGAAGTTTTGAACATGGCAATGGCACAGGAAAGCGAAAAGACGTTTAAATTATATTCATCCAGATCGAGACAGAAGTATGTGACTGGTACTTTGGTTCTCAAGTTCTCTCTGTCTAAGAATGGCACCAAGGTGTCGTCACTGGAAAACACTCCAGATGGGTTGGTCGCTTCACCTAGCAAGATTTCAGAGCAAACGGTTTGTGACCTTGTGAGAAATGTGTCCGAGACGGACCGAAAAGCCATGGAACAGATCATCCAAGTAGACGAACAAGGCTTCTATCCTGAAGACTGGAGGTTTTCCATACCTGACAGCGATGTTCCTCAGGAACAGGAAAATGTGGAGCCTTCGTCATTATTGTCGCCTAATGACAGGCCTTCCAAGTTCATGAACTCTTTGTCATCCCCATCAATGGCGCCATCTTCAACTGCATCGTCCATTACCCCGCGACTCTCGAAGAAGGGCCACTCGAAGCTCAGCTCGCATGCCTATTCGACTGCCGATTTTTCAAGTGACTTTTCAGAGTTTGATCTCACTGACACAGATACGTCCAACATGTGGCCTGTTCCCTCCAAAAAAGCGGATAAAGCAGACAAAGCATCTAAAGCATCCAGGGCCTACAAACTTTCTTCGAGAAACGATATTTCCGGCATATTGGTCCTGGAAATCACCACAGCTTCTGATTTACCACCCTATAATAGTTTGACTCGTACCGGGTTCGACATGGATCCATTCGTGGTGATTTCTTTTGGGAAAAGAGTGTACCGCACCTCGTGGAGGAAGCATACGTTGAACCCACAGTTCAACGAGAAGTTGGCGATCGAAATCTCTAATTTAGAGACTGGTTATGAACTGCAGTTTAGTGTTTTAGACAAGGATCATTTCACCTTCAATGACCAAGTGGCCACCGGATCTCTGAAGATTGCTGGGCTAATGAAGGAAGACAACCAATATCCAGAGGAGCTTTCTTTGGAGCTGAAGCTGGACGGGACTAAGCGCTACAGAGGGGCTGTGAGAGAGTACAGACCAGTTTTGAAAATGAAATACAAGTACGAGCCGTACAAAAGGTTGCGCTCGCAGCTTTGGTCAACTCTGCTCTCGCAATATGACACCAACGACGATGATAAGATGGACGTCGTAGAGCTGGCACAGTTCCTGGATACCTTAGGATCCACATTGGACGACACCACTGTTGAGAATTTCTTCGAAGCATATGACCTAAACCCATGGGTTGGAGAGAAGCTGACATTCGACCAATGTATTGACCAGTTTGAAAACTTTCTAGAGCAGAAGCATAAGAAGAATCTCTATTACCATGAAGATTCCTCTTCCAGCTCAACTGTTGTTGGCGAGCAAGATCTGGAAGAAGAGATCATCAGCATTGAGCAATGTCCGCTTTGTGATCGTGGAAGACTATCCCATAAACACGACATAGACATCATCACCCATATTGCTCTTTGTGGAAGTAAGGATTGGTCCAGCGTAGGAAAAGTTCTGAAACCGTCGTTCGCTACTCCAAATTCAGCCACGAGAAGATGGTACTCGAAACTCTTGATCAAGTTGACATACGGAAAACTGGCTTTGGGTTCGGACAATGCCAACATTCTGGTTCAAGATCGGGATACAGGAATCGTCATTGAAGAGAAGATGAGTGTATATGTACGTTTGGGAATCAGACTGTTATACCGTTCGTTTGACACCAAGGCCAGCAGATGGAAGGAAGTCAGAAGACTACTGAAGAACCTTTCAATCAAGCAAGGAATCAAGTATGACGATCCGCATTCCGTCAATCAAATCTCCTCATTCATCAAGTTTCACAACCTTGACATGTCACAATGTCTGATGGCTGCAGATGAATTTAAGACTTTCAACGAGTTTTTTTATAGGAAACTGAAGCCCGGCGCAAGACCACTGGAAGGTGAAAACAATCCTGGGATCGTTACATCTTGTGCAGATTGCAGGTTTTGTGCTTTTGACACCATAACTTCCGCGACATCGGTCTGGGTCAAGGGACGGGACTTCACCATCAAAAAACTGTTTGGGGGTCATTACCAGGACTTGGTTGGTTCCTACGAGAACGGATCAATGTGTGTCTTCCGACTTGCTCCGCAAGATTACCACCGGTTCCATTGCCCCGTGGATGGAATAGTGGGCGAAGCCAAGTATATCGAAGGAGAATACTTCACGGTCAATCCTATGGCCATTCGTTCGGATCTCGATGTCTACGGTGAAAATGTCCGCGTGTTGTTACCAATATATTCCGATAAGTTTGGCACAGTTATGATGGTTTGTGTGGGTGCGATGCTAGTTGGCTCCACCATCATAACTGCCGAGAAGGACCAGTACGTTAAAAGAGGTGAAGAACTGGGATACTTCAAATTTGGAGGCTCTACGGTGCTTCTGCTGTTTCAATCAGACCAAGTGGTGTTCGATTCTGATTTGACAGAAAACTCCAAAAAGGCCGTCGAAAGTCTTATTAGGGTAGGAATGTCTATTGGTCACAGTCCTGACACTGTCGAGAATAACCGTGAACACCGCAACTTCGAAGAACAGAGCGAGGAGGCACAGATGAAGATTATTCGCACCATCACTGGAGGTGAGGGTGTATATCGCGGTATCAGGCCGAACATTGCAGAGTTGGCTGAAGTGCCGAATTGGGAGGCCCAGCAGCTTGATATTGATGACTCGATTGATTTCTCGATTGACTTGAATAGATGATAGGCATTGGCCGAGTGAAGTTGACGATTTTTAATGCTAGACTGTTCGTCAAAAGTTTGCTTTAATGCTATGACATTATGAAATATCGTCTTGTAGATTTCTCTTAAAACTTTGAGACCGTCACTGGAACTCCCTTTACTGCAGCAGTATCGACAAACCAGGCCGTAGGAACGCCAGTAGCGTTGACCAGTTCACAGGGCAAGCCGGACTTAGCCTCAGAGAAGATTTGCGTCAGAATTGGGGCTTTTCCGGCACCTTCAGCAACGAAACAGATACTGGAGGCAGCCTCCAAGACTGGGAAGGTAAAGGTGATTCTGCGTGGAGGTGGCTTGGGGGAATTGGTAATGTTGGCAATGGTCTTCGATCTTTCCTTCAAGAGTTCGTGGCCTGGGAAGAGAGAGCAGGTATGACCATCTGGTCCGCATCCCAACAAAATCAAGTCCAATTTGGCAGGAAGAATCTTGGAGTAGGCTTCAGCAATCTCAACATCTTTGGAACCATCTTCCTTCAGCAGAGACTCATCAATGGTGTAGACCTTAGGCAGGGTTAATGCCTTAGCCTTGAGCGTTGAAAGCACCATTTCGTTGAATAGACCATAGTTCGAGTCCTCATGGTCCAAAGGAACCAGACGTTCGTCTGAGAAGTAAACCTCCCATTTCCCCCATTGAATTTTGGCCTGGTTCTCGTCGTTCTCAATGAGTCCCCTTTTCAGAACCTTCCCCAAGGAACCTCCGGAAACAGCGAGCTTGAAGGTTGGGGCACTGGCTAGCACCTCGTCTTGGATTTTGATAATGTATTGAGCAACGGAATTGGCAACATCTGCCGAGTCATCGTAGGCAAACACTTTAACCATGGTGAGATTTGGGTCGGTAGTTCTGATACGTGGACAAAATTGAGCAGAAGCGATAGTTCAGCCAAACGGAATCAACTAAAAGATGTTACGTCAGCCTTGCACGTGCACGACGGACCCTTGCCTTATTTCGGGGAATTTTGGGGATGCACGCCTCATTTCATGTAGAGCAACTGTATTTCAGATTCTAATCTGGCGTTGTAAAATTTGCTTTTTCTCTACGACAAGAGTTTGATATCGAAAATGGTCGAGGCATTGAATTCAAATTGGTTCGACCCAATCCCCCTCGAAAGATACAGTGAGGTAGTGTCCAAAGCGTCCGAGCTGTGCGGTCCAGATGAAAAATGTCCTGTAGGCGAAGGTACGTCAATTCCACCTTTCGGAATTCTTGATTCTGTGTTAGTAAACTTTGATTTTGACCAACAATCTTTTAGCTGTCGGAAGTCCAGCTCTGTCCATCAGATGTGGCCCTATTTTGAGATTTTTGGGAAGCCATGAAGATGGTAAGAAAAATTACAGAGCTACGATCTTGGTTGTGACAGAAGATGAAACGAGTGACTATTCCACCGAACCTTCTGCTACTTTCTTCGTGGGACCTGCTGCGCCACCTTCTGAAAACTCCAAGCTCACACTTGAGAGCGGCTCTTTCCCAGTTACCCTGTTCCACCAAGAACAGGGATTTTCGTTCTGGAGGTTCCTGATCGAACTACCATTGCTTGGCTACGAACAGAAGGTGAAGTACGCTATCAATGACTACACGAATGACTATCAGTTTATCGTCCCAAGTGCGGAACAAACCATGAATATCATGTCTTATTCTTGTAACGGGTTTTCTTACAGTGTTCCCACCAGCGACTTTAAGAGTTCCCTCTGGTTGGATGTTTTGAGAAGGCACAGCAAGCTTCCATACCATGTCATGATCGGCGGAGGTGACCAGATCTATGCTGATTCGATCTCTTATGAGTGTCCACCCTTTGCAGAGTGGCTGAAGCATAAGAAGCTCCTATCCACCGATCCTCTAACTCCAGAGATTGTCACTGCGTATGAGGAGTATTATCTGCACCATTACCTGAAATGGTTTGGTTCCGGGTATTGGAAGGGATCAGCTGGAAGTACCTGGCAGCCAATGCTTCCAATGTCAATGGCCCAGATTCCTTCTATCAACGTGTTTGATGACCACGATATTATAGATGGGTTCGGTTCTTACAAAGAGCACACCATGAGCCAACCGATTTTCAAAGGGGTCGGTAAATCAGCCTTCAAGTATTACCTTCTTTTCCAGCAGCACACCTCTCCTGACGAAAAGAATTCCGTTGACAAATCGTGGATTTTTGGAACAAGACCAGGGCCGTACATTGGTGAAAGATCCAGGTCGATGTGGGCAAGACTGGGCAAGGAAGTAGGATTCGCAGGTTTTGATTGTAGGAGTGAGAGAAAGAGGGACCAGGTCATCACGAGATCAACTTATCAGGCCATCTTTGAAAGACTTTCCAGAGAGATTAAGGCCTCCAACGGTGATATAAAACATCTGTTGGTCCTGCTGGGTGTTCCTATAGCGTATCCTCGTATGGTCTGGGCTGAGGCCATCATGAGCTCAAAGCTTATTCGTCCGATCAAGTACATGGCCCGCAAAGGCTGGATTGCCAAAGGACTGGTGAACCCCTATGACGGTAGCATCGAACTTCTGGATGATCTGAACGATCATTGGTGTGCTCATGCCCACAAAGCGGAGAGAAACCAACTTGTGGCCGACCTGACTACCTTCGGTGCTTCTCATGGTGTTAGAATCACGATTCTATCTGGAGATGTTCATCTGTGTGGTATTGGTAGGTTCAAAACTAAGGTTCACAGACATGCGCCAGCTGTATCCCAGCACAAATTGGAAAGCAACGAAGAAACTCTGAGCAACGGTTTGACAGACCCAAGGCTGATTTTCAACCTCATCTCCTCTGCTATAGTCAACGCTGCACCACCCAACGGAATGGCTGGTTTGCTAAACAGTCGCTCCAAAATCCATAGGTTTGACAGACATACTGATGAAGATGTGGTTCCAATTTTCACTCACGATACTGATGGTGCGGAAAGATCCAATCTCCAGTTCTTGAATAAAAGGAACTTTGCTGACCTCATTCCTATGAAGAACTCTCAGTTTGATCTATCAAGTGGCTCGGAGAAGAATGTCTATCCTGGACCTGTCGAACACGCGCAGGTTGTGGATGCTGATAGTCCTTTGAGTGACAAAAAGACCGGAAGAAATGCACCATATCCTATTCATCCAAATTCGTTGATTGCAACTTTGCATGTTGAGAAAGACCCGAAGAATACCGAGTCAGAAACATACGATTATCAGTTGCTGATTCCGTCTTTGGAAGCAAAGCAGACTCTGGCCGATGTTGGTGTCAAGGATTGATAATTGTGTAATGATAGTGTGATACTTGCGAAGTATTCTGTTTGTAGTTCTTGCCATTAATATACAACATTCTATTGGTTTTCCTCCTCTGGAAACATAAGCATAACGGCATCGTAGTTAATCTTTTTCGAGAAAGGTTTCCTCTGCAACATACTTCTGGTGCTTTGGGCTGCACTCATCTCTTCCCCAAGTTCGGTGACCGCTGCATTAAGCCCCATCTTGGTGGGATCGTTGGATGCCAGCTCCGCCAAGTCTGGGTCAACATTCTCAGTTTTATATCTTCTCCTCCGCTTCGCGGGTTGATTATGACCTGCCACACGGTCAGCTTCCTGCTTGAGACGTTTGTTCTCTGCCTCAATGAGGAAATCTTGGTTGAGGCCAACCCAGACTCGTTCTTTCAGCTTCGACTCTTCGTCGGACAATAACATCGAAGCCATCTCATCCTCGTCCATATCATCCGGACCTATAGGTCCTGACGACACTTTTGCCAAAAGGTCTTGGGTTTTGGGCAAAGATCCAGCCAGGTTCTTCGGTCTGTTTTCATCGATCATTCTCATTATAGGATCTATCTCCTTCGATTTGTAGTTGATCTCGAGTACAGGAACGCTCTTGAGCTGTCTAGATAGATGCTCCCTCTGTTTCTCCAATATTCTTTTCAAGTATTCCGACACTTCGTTTTCAGCCAACACACCGTCCTTTAACACACTCTTCAAAAGATCGCTGTCGCCGTTCTCAAAAGTTTCAGATTCCTGATACTTTTTGTACTTCATGCGCATCACATCTTCTTTCTGTCTGCTCCTGACAAATGAGGGTGGTAAGGAACCTTCAATTCGGTCAGCCTCGCGGAATTCATTCACCGTCAAAGTACCGGCTTTCGTACTCTTAAATTCGTTCAATCTTCTTTGAATAGTGATTTCACCTACGCGTGTCACTGCAACGATCTCAGAGTGAGTTCTTCTGAAGTTGTTCATTCTGGCCGCAAGAAGCAAGCAGGCGCCAGCAATCCCGGCTGGTCGTCTTCCCTCATTAATCCAGTCTTTTGCCATGCGATGTGACAGTTTGGTGGCATCAATCACCACCTTGGACTTCAAGTCCCCGAAATCTAGCTTCTCAGCGAAATGCTCAATAAACAAAGAAGGGTCGGCCAAGGGAAGATCGTGAATGTGTAATGTCTTAACCAGCCTCAAGAAAGTTGCTCCAACAGCAAAAACCGACACCTGCAATCTTGAAGAGAAATCTATTAGCATATGATGAGTCTTTTCCTTTCTGCACGCTATGTAAAGGCAAGCAGCAATAACGTTCTGGGACCTTCTTCCCCTCACAAAGTTTTGGGCTAAAGCTAGTTGAAACCAACTATATGCCGAGTCAGAAATATAATCGGGTATTCTCAGGGCCAAGGCGACGTTTTTTATCTTCCTTTTACCGTTGGAAAGAGTCTGTTCTCTGGATTCCAGTGCGTTTCTGTTCCCAGAAAAGTTAGCACGCGCCTGGTCCGAGCCAACAAAGGCACCGGTAACGGTTGCAGCTCCACTTGCTGTCTCACCAAACGTCACTTCCGAGACGATCGGGTTCTCCTCTAGCACGACACCACATACCGTACAGGACAAGTCGGAAGAGGACGTATGTATGTCCCTTGTGAATGTGTTGTTTCCACAACTGGAACACTTGAGCGATGATGTAGTTGCCATAACTAATCTGGGCCTAGTCAGACAAAATCAAGACAAAATATTACTGACAGGGCTAATGTTCAAGAGGCTTGTGTGTTGTTAGAAGCTATACAAATTTGTTGTATACAGGAAAAAGGATAGCAGGGACCAAAACATATAATTGGGATGGTACACTACTTCAATAACCCCAGGCTCTCATTCTGCCTGGAAAATATAGAGAAGGGCCAACAGAGCTTGGATTATAATTGAAACCGGGTACTTTGGAGTTCTCATTTTATATAAAGTCTGACCTTTTCCAATTAAAGCGCTTTTTCAATAACGGAAAGCTCATTCATACTAGTCTCAAATGGTGAATAAGCCGCTCCGACAGGTTTCGACATGGGTGGTCTACCAGTGAGATAATCACCACCAAATCCATACAGGCTGTTCAAGGCATGCTTTACACCGTTCATATTCAAAGCACCAATCATGTCATCTGCTTTTGTTACCTGACATTGCAATTCCAGCGCTTCTTCGAACTTCCCCTCTTTACATAGGTTGTGCAGTTTCACCATCACCTTGGGGAAGATGCCAGACATCCCGTCAATTGCACCATGAATACCAACTGACATTGCTGGGATCAACACCTGGCCCAAACCTGTCAGAAGCGTAAAGTTGACATCTTTTCTTCTGGAAACTTTGCCCAGCAAAGTATAAAGGGCCAGATTGAAATGGGTTAATTTGCAGCCTGCAATATTGGGGTGCGATGCCAGCTGCTCGTAACTCTCGGCAGAAATTTCAACATTGTTACAAGTGCCCGGGTAATTGTAGATAAGAAATGGAAGTGCTGCCCCGTCAGCTACGGCTGTGAAATATTCCACGATTCCTTCTTGGGAGATCAAGGAACCGAAATACCCTTGAACCAGCAAAATTGAGAAGTCGGCACCGGCCTCTTTAGCAGCTTTGGTTTCTTCAATGGCGTCCTCGATACTAGAAGGAGGAGCTCCTGCAATGATCTTGAATTCAGGATCTGGAACCGCTTCCCTGAGCGCTTTCACCAAAGACGCTCTCTCCTTTCTAGTCATATGAGGACTCTCACCAAGTGAGCCAGCTACCACTAGACCGTTGATTCCGGATTGGTAGAGAAATTTGGCGTGTTTTGTTTGAGAGTCTAGGTCTAGTTCTTTCCCCAGGGGACCTTTGAAAAAGGTGGGAATTGGAGTGTACATTCCAGCAGGAAGCAAGGACGAGGAATTTGTGGGCATTGAGACAAGAGTGTGAAGAGGCTAGAAATCACGAATTTTGTGAGCTGAAATCAATGGAAAGCTATTAGAGGCCAACAGTCTATGAGCGAAATATGTTTTGTTATATGGTTTTTGTCGCGTATTCATTTCAGCAAATCTAGGGATCCCGCGCCCCGAAATGTGGGGTACATCTCCCCCACGTATCTAGGCGATGGGATGAGCAAAATGTCAATATTCAGCCGGTCATTCAGCCGAGTTATTGTGTCAACAGAAGGGGAATTCAAAGAGTTCGCTGAAGGAGGCATTTGTAAGAGGAACCGTAGAAGAACCCTTCCTGATGTGCTTGATGCAATCAAGTCAGGTTTTTTGTCAGTCTCTGGTGTTGTTCGCAGTGGGCTGCAGACATAGTCCGGTGACCAAATCAAATAAAATAACCACTGGCCACGAATATCCCCGCAGCCCACTGCGAACTAACAGATTTTGTACTTATCTATTTGTCAGAGTCCCCCCATTTCATTGTTTTGCAGGTTTTGATAATAAATCTCTCTCATTGCGAAGCTGGAATCTGTGTGGAGCCTCTCAATTAAGTAGATAAGGAGAAATGGGGGCCACTTGTTGCCAACCATACACTTTCAACTGGCAGAGCATTATCGGGGTATATAGGAATAAAAGTGGGGGGAGCCGACGTTGTGACTCAAAGGCAATTCTAACTCTCGAAGAATCCGCGCGGGAGGGTCGTAGGAATAAACGGGATAATATAGTGTGTTAATACCGATACTACGCCGCACTTAACGAGGGGGTGGAGGCATCTCAAGTGATCCCTTGTTATTCCATTCGGTATGGTTTTTAGGAGCCAAACGGGAATCTGCAAGCTTGAGCGGTGATGTGACCAAAAGTGGGGCTCGGGGTAGCTATAAAGTGCAAATGTAAGACTTGAGGAAATGCAATTCGAATTTGCATAATTATCTCGAAAAATATGGATTGCATTTTTATTTCTATCAGCCGGAGACTGCAGGCAGATCTTTTGAGAGAATTGATGAGATGTATGACAAAGCCGTGCCTGCAAGAAAATGGAAAACTTTTAAGACGCAAAAGGAGTCGCAAAGCGAAAGATTTTATGAGGTTCTCAAGCCAGAAATGTCTCACCTTATACGCTGAAGAGGAAGATTGAGAGTGAGGCGAGTTTCTATCCAGATAATCTGAAGGAAATCAAACTTTTAGCTTTGAGGAAGCGTAGGGAATTTATTCGAAAAGCCAGAGCTAAGAATCTTTTTGGATTTCATTTTGTCCGATTTTCGGGGCACCAAGACTTTTTTCCAACGACGGAACTAACAGAATCGTCATCTCGATTCGAAGGGGTAGATAAGCAGATAAGGGCATCGGATGCGACAGATAAGCAATATTATTTATGGATCAGGAAACTAGGCCGCGTCTTGGATTTTCCTTCTGCACGCCCATTTTATATTTGAGAGCCTCCTGTTGGCGATCTCAACCATTTTGTCTTAAGGAAATCACATCACAGGCACTTGACTGGCACGTTTGATATTTATTTTGGTAATTACATGTTTGCCTACTGGGAGAGCAACGACCGCCATATAACCTGACGAACTATAAAGGTTGAAGCACCATCGATGGAGTAGAACTACCATTTAAAGAGATTCAATGAACGGCGAAGATTGAAAGCGGGTATGGAGATCCGCTTTTATGCTTAATATGGGAAGTATGTCGTATCTTAGACTCTCCATATAGAGCGCTTACTGTCGCGCTATATTGAATGTTATCGGACTGATTGGATCTCGTTATCGCTCAAGCGATAGGAAAGATAGGCGTACTGCCTATTTGGGTAGCAATTACGACGGCGCATCCGATCACTTCCCCTCGGAACTAATGATAAAGGGGAAATTACTGGATTGCGCTTATCAACGCGACCACAAAAGCATATGAAGTAAAGCATAAATAGTAGGGAAACTCCAAAACTGTCACTGCGCAAGGTTCTGGAAATACATATAGTTACATCAGAAAATTGTAAAATAGAACCATCGGAATTTGCAATTTTGGGTGATGTCATCTATAGCCCCTGCTTTGACAAAAGAACAAGTAGCCGCTGAAGTGGAGGAAGAATGGATTCCAGGCACGGTACATCTGGTAGATGTTGACAAATCGTTAAATGTCAAGCACAACGGCGATTCCGATCTAGTTCTGATTCCCCAACCATCGGATGATCCCAACGATCCACTTAGATGGTCAAAAAAGAAGAAGTGGGGTCAATTCGGAATTTTGTGGTTTTGGTCTTTTTTCACGGCCGTTGCTACTAATTGGTCGGGTCCCGCGTGGACTGATTGGACAATTGTATTCAACACCACTTACACAAAATTGAACGACACCTCAGCCGTCGGGTGGTGTTTCCTGGGAATCGGATGTTTTGTTCTTCAGCCAGTTGCAATGAAATTCGGTAGAAGAGGTGTTTATCTGTTTGCAAGTTTATGCCAACTACTTGGGAATATTGTAGGTGGAAAGGCATCAGGGTTGGGTTACTTATATGGTGCAAACATCATGACCTGTTTTGCTGGCTCACCAGGTGATTCCTTGATTCAAATTTCGACTACAGATGTGTTTTTCCAGCATGAGAGAGCAAACATCATTTCATTGTTCACATTTTCTCTTTACTCTGGGAGCTACCTGGGCCCCATTGCTGCTGGTTATATTGTTGAATCTCAGGGCTGGAGATGGTGTTATTGGTGGTTGGTTATCTTTTTTGGTGTAGTCTTTGCAGTGCAGATTTTTTTCATGGAGGACTCCACCTTTGTCAGAACTGAAAGCAAAGAACAAGAGATTGGTGTCATGACTCAGATAATATCCAGAACCTCGCAGGCAGTTGACGAATCAGACGAAAATGAAAAGCAGCCCAAAGCAGTGATTGGCGAAGAAGAGATCAAGCCGTTGCCCAAAAAGAGATCCTACAGGCAAAAACTGAAGGTTATTGAACGCGAATACAACGACAAGAGACCAATCTATGTAATTTTCTTGAGACCACTACTGGCTTTAGGATTGCCTGCTTTCGTCTGGGGTGGTTTGGTTTACGGAGTCCAGGTAATGTGGCTCTCCTTGCTTGCTACTACCCAATCCGAGTTCTTCTCATATGCACCTTACAACTTCAGCGCTGCAGCTACAGGAGATACTTATTTTGCCTCTTTGATTGGTACCTTCCTTGGTACATTCTGGGGTGGAAATCTGTCAGATATGTTTGTTGCTTGGAAGGCGAGAAGGAACGGGGGAATTCTGGAACCAGAATACAGATTGTGGTTTATTCTTCTGCCTGCGGTTATCAATTCTGCTGGTATTCTTATGTATGGACTTGGAATCAATGCGGGAGTACATTGGATTCTTCCCGGTGGGTTCGGAATGGCATTCATGGGATTCGGAATTGGCTCCGCTGGTGCATTGACTATCACTTACTCATTAGACTGTTATCCAGACATGCAAAGCGAGGGGTTAGTGCTTATGCTGTTTTTGAGAAACATGATTGGCATGGGTTTCACATTTGCTATTCAACCTTGGCTTGATCGCGATGGAATGTCCACAACCACCTGGTTAATGTTCATGCTTTCCATGATTTTCAACTTCAGTTGCTTGATTTTCATCAAGTGGGGCAAATACTACCGAAAGCAGACTAAACAGTTTTATCTGAAATATTCAGACAAAAACATTCTCTGGTAGCGCGTTGTGCACCATGCTTAGCTGCTGGAGCAGATTTACAGTCCTGTCTATTGGAGATAAATCCAATTTTAGAATTAAAGAATTTTTTCATGAAATGCAAGACAGATAGATCTATGGAATGAATTTGCATAATAGCGAAATTTGACGTTTTGAATGGTACACTACTCCACAAGCCCCTTATTTAGCCGATCTATTCTAGATAAGAGTCATCCGAATTCAGTCTTCGATTTGCAATCATTATTCCTTGTGTAGAACCTTTTCCAAATGGTAGAGAACTTTTATTTAAGCGTCGGCTCTGCATCTATGGAGGGTTCTTGGGTATCAACTGGTTTGGAAACAAACTACAGATATCTTACTCTGCTTTCGCAATCCTTGAGCCCATGCATCAAGGTCGAGGTATCCGGGGCTTTAAAACGTAGCTCTCGCAAAATTTCCATTTTGAAGCCAGAATCCCTGGAGTGGGAGTTGCTGGTTATCATCATGAGTTTCACGGATTACCAACTGACGGAATTTGAGAAAGGGGAAGGTTGCTTCAGCTGTGATAGTTCTTATGATTTCGGAGACCCCTGGGATCAAAAAAAAAGCGTGCGATACAGCGTGGATGAAATCCAGTCTAGGCATTTGAACCAAAACCCCATAGCCGTGTTGAAGCTATCGAACAAAAACATGGACCCCGTAGTATATCCTGTTGATTCGACAGGACCATATTGTGTCTATACTTACTTAAGTTCTGCAGAGAAGGATTTAGAGCTGAATCTCATGGTTTACTTCCAACAGTGGTACGGGAAATTGAATAAATGGGATCACTGGGATATGTATGAAAATGCCTTCATTTCTCTAATTTGCCTTTTCAGTTCCTTGTTATATTTCTATTGCTTTTCCTCCTCGCTGCAAAGTATCTATGA